TCCAGACCTGGCCGATTCAACCGTTCAATTGTCCCTGGGTGTCAACATTATGGAACAATCTGCCTGAGGAGGCTTTTCTCAGTTATACTAATCTTGGCTAATCTTGGGCAGTTCAAGAATCGTATTAACAAGGTACCTTCCAGCTCCTTATAGCAGCCGTGGTGCCTCAGCCTCGGCGGTTACTTCGGTATAAATATTAATAATATATATGTATGTATATACTAAGTGACATATAAATCCGAACACCCAGTTTAAATGGTTTTATTTTAATAAAAGTTGGTGAATGTATTTATCTTACTGTAAATAACAAGTGAAAAAATTTTCAGCCTTATCAGTTGGACATTCCGGTTTTTATACTGCTCTTTTTTAATTCACTAACGCTTTAAAAATGAATATTTCAGCCGCAGTAAAGAATCAACGTTGGCGGATTTTGGTTCTTGACATCCTTTACGATCGGTTACGATGCCTAGAGTACGGAGACCTGTACGATTTCGTCAACTTAGTGAGTTTGATAGGGGCCGTATAGTGAGACTTCTGGAAGCTGGACTTTCTTTTCGGGCAATTGCAGTTAGAGTGCAAAGAAGTGTAGACACTGTGGTTAGGTGTTGTCAGGCATGGCTTCTAGAAGGCCGTACGCAAAGAGCAAGGGGCACTGGACGCCGCCGTAGAACAACAGACCGTGAAGATCGCCGCCTAAGGTTATTGGCCTTAAGGGACCGTTTGTCCACTACCAGGTCCATTGCAAATGAATGGTTTGCAGAACACGGAAGACCTATTGGCATGCGAAGTGTTTACCGACGAATGAGAAGTTTTGGCTTGTTTTCATACCGGCCACACTGGGTCCTCCCTTTAACTCGAGAACACCGACGTAATCGCCTTGAGTGGTGCAGACAACGGTCACTCTGGGATCAGGAATGGAACGTTATTGTCTTTAGTGACGAGTCTCGATTTTGTTTAGGCATGCACGATAGTCGTGCTAGGGTTAGAAGGCGACGTGGTAAAAGGAGGAATCCACAGTTTTTTGTTGAAAGACATGTTCATCACACTGTTGGAGTTATGGTTTGGGGTGCTATAGCTTATGGTTCCAGGTCACATTTAATCTTCATCAGAGGTAACATGAATGCGCAGCGTTATATCCACGAAGTTCCAGAACCCCATCTTTTACCCTATCTTGACACCCTGGCAGATCCAACTTTCCAACAAGATAATGCCCGACCACATGTTGCAAGAGTCACAATAGACTTCTTTCAACATAATGATGTCACATTGTTACCATGGCCACCAAGATCTCCCGACTTATCCCCAATTGAGCACGTGTGGGATATGATGGGTAGGAGATTGCTCAATTTGCAACGTCCTCCTCAGACTCTAGAAGCACTTCGAGAGGAGTTGGTGGTTGCCTGGAATGAGATACCACAGGAGGACATTGACCACCTGATCAGAAGCATGCCTAGGCGCGTTGGAGAATGCGAAGCACATCAGGGTGCATCCACACATTATTAAAGGTCAAAGGGCTTTAAAGCAGTGCAATCATTTTGAAATTTTTATCATTTACTTATTATGCTTCATTAAGTACTTATACAAAATTTTATTAAAATAAAACCATTTAAACTGGGTGTTCGGATTTATATGTCACTTAGTATATATATATATATATATAATAATTTATTTCATAGTGACTCCGTTATTAAGAACATTCAAAACAACTCGGATTTGAATATTAATAACATGGAAGTTAGTCTCTACTGTTAGCAAACCCATCTAAACTTCCGGACACGTTCCATCTAAACTTGTATATTTAGTAATATTGGGCAACGCCGCATACTAGAAATTATTTTGCATATATTTTCTTCCTGGGCATTACGTGACGTCCAATGGAAAGTGTGCTTGCATGCAATTTGGGCCGCCAATTTGCTCAAATATTCAGATGAAGAGGGTTGTTGACTGAGGAAAACTGATCGAGGAAATCTGTAAAAATACCGTTCAGCTTATAAAACGGTCTCATTAAAGCTCAAAAGGTCAAAGTTACGGGTGTGCAAGATTTAAGAGCAGATTCTGCACGATGAAATATACTAAGTGACATATAAATCCGAACACCCAGTTTAAATGGTTTTATTTTAATAAAATTTTGTATAAGTACTTAATGAAGCATAATAAGTAAATGATAAAAATTTCAAAATGATTGCACTGCTTCAAAGCCCTTTGACCTTTAATAATGTGTGGATGCACCCTGATGTGCTACGCATTCTCCAACGCGCCTAGGCATGCTTCTGATCAGGTGGTTAATGTCCTCCTGTGGTATCTCATTCCAGGCAACCACCAACTCCTCTCGAAGTGCTTCTAGAGTCTGAGGAGGACGTTGCAAATTGAGCAATCTCCTAGCCATCATATCCCACACGTGCTCAATTGGGGATAAGTCGGGAGATCTTAGTGGCCATGGTAACAATGTGACATCATTATGTTGAAAGAAGTCTATTGTGACTCTTGCAACATGTGGTCGGGCATTATCTTGTTGGAAAGTTGGATCTGCCAGGGTGTCAAGATAGGGTAAAAGATGGGGTTCTAGAACTTCGTGGATATAACGCTGCGCGTTCATGTTACCTCTAACTCCAACAGTGTGATGAACATGTATTTCAATAAAAAAACTGTGGATTCCTCCTTTCACCACGACGCCTTCTAACCCTGGCACGACCATCGTGCATGCCTAAACAAAATCGAGACTCGTCACTAAAGACAATACTGTTCCATTCCTGATCCCAGAGTGACCGTTGTCTGCACCACTCAAGGCGATTACGTCGGTGTTCTCGAGTTAAAGGGAGGACCCAGTGTGGCCGGTATGAAAACAAGCCAAAACTTCTCATTCGTCGGTAAACACTTCGCATGCCAATAGGTCTTCCGTGTTCTGCAAACCATTCATTTGCAATGGACCTGGTAGTGGAGAAACGGTCCCTTAAGGCCAATAATCTTAGGCGGCGTTCTTCACGGTCTGTTGTTCTACGGCGGCGTGCAGTGCCCCTTGCTCTTTGCGTACGGCCTTCTCGAAGCCATGCCTGACAACACCTAACCACAGTGTCTACACTTCTTTGCACTCTAACTGCAATTGCCCGAAAAGAAAGTCCAGCTTCCCGAAGTCCCACTATACGGCCCCTATCAAACTCGCTAAGTTGACGAAATCGTACAGGTCTCCGTACTCTAGGCATCGTAACCGATCGTAAAGGATGTCAAGAACCAAAATCCGCCAAAGTTGATTCTTTACTGCGGCTGAAATATTCATTTTTAGAGCGTTAGTGAATTAAAAAAAAGCAGTATAAAAACCGGAATGTCCAACTGATAAGGTTGAAAATTTTTTCACTTGTTATTTACAGTAAGATAAATACATTCACCAACTTTTATTAAAATAAAACCATTTAAACTGGGTGTTCGGATTTATATGTCACTTATTATATGAAAAACACATAGTGCAGTAGGAAGAATTATAAATAAGACAAAATGATGGCGGCTGCTAGCAGCAACCACACTCTTGGAGGCCGCTTCTGAAGGTCTGGACAGCTCGTTTGTACATATCGTGGGGAATAGTGTTTGTTCACTTCTACAAAAATCCGCATTCAACTCCAATAGTGCGTGGTAAGGACGCCTGGGCGCCTTTTTCTTTAGATATTCATAAGGAAAGAAGTCACAGATTCTCAAATATAGTAACCGACAGCTCACTCCATATCACCTTTCTACCAGACGAGGAGGATGTCTCCTGCAGACATTTCCTTCGAAACAGTAATTGTATCCTGGACTGTGTAGCTTTCTCCTCTAATCCCTCTCTCTCTCTCTCTCGACGATTTTTTCCAAATTTGGAGGGATGAGGACACTTGTGATATGGAGATGAAACTCGAACCGCCATAGCATTCAATTAATGTTTTGAGAGAAATATATCCAGGACGTCTCATCTCCTCTCGTTGAAAGGTGATGTGGGGTGGCCTGCTCAGTCACCAGATTTGAGCACCTGCGGTTAATTGCTCTGGGGATATCTCGAGGAAAAAGCTGTCAAGCATCTTTGCATTCTATTGGAGCAAAAAGAGTGGATTTTTTAAAAAGTTCCTCGCATGATATGCGTAAACAATGTGTTCAGAGACCAATATTTTCAAAACTTGATAAATGTAAAATGGATCCATTCTTGAAACGGCTCAGCTTACTATGACGCATCAAACTGTATTATCATTGGTCTGGAAATTCCCGGATTCCATATTGTTGTTGTATTCGAACTTGCTAGAAAATTGTACATAACTGCTTTCAGCAAAAATAAGTGTGGTTTTCTCAAAGCTATATTTATTTTGCTTAAAAGTTGCATTTTGGTGTTTTTCGTTATTTTGGTGCATACAACTTTGGGAGGCGGTTGGTTTTAAGATACTGGCAACATTTTCGCAAAAAAAAGTGGCGTATTGTATCTTCGCTAAACATAGAGGCTTGCCAGCAGGAACGCTACTGCTATAAGATCTTTCGAAAACATTGTACGTTTCAATGTGTTTGTAATCTATCCCTTGATTTTTGGAGAACAAAATAAAAAGATTGACTCTCATTTGTTTAGAGCCTGAAAATCTTGGATTATCGAAAAACTTTACCAAAATAACCATTCTGACTGTTTTTAGAACACACTGAACAGTAAGTGGTGACAAGAGCAAATGAGCTGTCAAGTGGGAGATAGATAAAGGTTTTTTTTGCGCTAGGACATTACGTTCCATTAGCCAGATCCAATTGTATATTTTTGATTCTGGACAATCACATGACGTCACTACATACATGGCTTGGGATTTCCGAAGGCGAGATTCGAACTCGCGGCCCGGCTAGCCGGCTGATCAGTAGCACAACACTCTGACCCATCCGGCCACCCTGGTCCCCAGAAAGAGGTATATTGTAACATTGTCACTGTCATTTCTGAATAAAAATAATACTATTCTGCCAAGAAGTCCTAAATGTTAATTATAAAAATCAGACGGCTACCATTTTGCATACCCCACTACAACGACATTTGGGCAGCACATTTTCCGGGTGCTCGATTTCCTATTATATTGCTTTGGGAACAAGATACGCCAGCAGAGGATTTAGGGCCATGAAGACAAGGAGATCGTACTTCGATTTCATGAAGCCTTACAGGTGTCGCCTCTGTTGGAGTAGTTGATGTGATAGAGGTCCCTGTATTTCTACAATACATCGGCCAACCAATGCATTGACAGAAAGTCATACACACATCATCCATACGTCAAACGCCCATCACTCACACCATCTCCATCCTCATCATCATCTTTATCAACTTCATCAAAATCTTCAGTCCATTCATTTCCATCATCCAAAATGACGCTCTGCATACCACCAAGAGATTTCATCCAAATCGGCGTGGATGTGTTTCCTACCACCGCACCACCTAAGCCACAAAAAATGCACATACCCCTAAAGGTAAGTTTATAATAGTTACATCTTTTAGTTACCAGAAAAGTTGGTACTCTTTATAGTTTTCGTTCATATAAACAATGTACAAGAAGAGTATCTCTGACTAGACCAAGTTGACTGTTTCCAATAGGTTCTTTCGGGTTTATATGTCGCTTCATATACGACACTTTATTTTATTATCTAGACAACCCGTGCGCCATTTTAGGATGAATTTGTAGATATATTGTAGTTCTCCAGACACATGTTTCACTGTGTTATCTTTTTCTAAGAACTAAAGCTAAGTTTTCATTAACTCTACCTTTTTGAAATTATTTAAGCAATTCATTCGACAGTATCTGTGCTGGTAAAAGTCAGCTCTGCAGGCCACATTGCCTTACTATATAGAGACAAGGACAGGAGTAGTTTATAGACTATTATTAAGAATTATTTCTACAAAACTGTTTAGTGATTTAAATCTAGGGAATTAACCATAAACTTTACAAAAACACATTTTCACCCTTTGCATCCTATTCTAATAGCTCTCCTCATGATCCCCAGCTTTTTTTATTATGAATAACAAAATTCTGAAAATTCATAGACTGGGCAGTATTAAATATCTAGGAATTTTTCTAATTGCCACTTACGATGAAATGTCTTTATTACATATTATGTGTATTCAAAAAAGTGTAATTCTCTAGCTTAGAAGATCAAACTTTCTACAAATATAATGACAGGATCTTATTCTCAAACTATACAGGATGTCCTGAAAGTTGGGACTTTCCTTTTCAGAAACAACCACTTTTGTAATAAGAAAGCTAACGCGGTGAAACAACAGCGAAAAACTAAACGAAAAAATGTACTCACCGTTCATCGGAAAGCAATTTCAAGTACAGCTCTGTCACTGGTACAAAGTATATATTGTACAAAGCTGTCTGCGATAGATTGACAGACATATGTATATGGCTCTTAGAATGAACAGCCTTTCCCGAATGAGTACCGCAAATTGTTAAATTTGAAGATCGTCAACCGTTTCCATCTTAGTTGTATACACTTAAATTTAATGTCGCCCCAAACAAAGAAAGAAATCACGAAGGATCTTTAAGAAGGATCTGCATGCACACGCGAAGCCTTCGTAGCATTTCAAAGACACTCACCTTGAATTGAGATAATATGTACGACTCTGTTTTTTTTTAGAACCGATGTGTGAATGTTTTGTTTACAAACGCGATCGGTGCCTGGATTGAGTACTGATCCACATCGTAAGTGTTCACGTTTGTTCTGATCGAGGTGCAGGGCCGGACTAGGTTTTATTTAGGTTTGATTGTGGAGCCTAACATCTCTGTAATCTCATAACTCATACATGCTTTTCCTTCCATGAATTACTATAATTATTTTCTCTGCTGCGCTATTTAATGAGTAAATAAATATTATTGTTATTATTATTCTTAATTTCAATAGTTGCTGATGATAATGCGCAAGTACAAATTTCCTTGGAGAATCAACCAGTTAGCAAAACCTATGCGCAAAGTAAGAAAGTTCGTACCGATGCCAGTAACCCTCTTGAAAGCTGAAAGACCTAAAGGTCCAAAAATCAGTGCAGAGTCAGCTTATTATGCGGATCAAATGTCTAGACCTCCATTAAGGTAAGATACTTTGGTAATTTTGGCGCGTAAAGGAGAAACAGAATAGGACCGGAAAAACACAAAAATAAGCGCTAAGGCGTAAAATTGTTAAAAAAAAACATTTACATTCGTATTTTTCGCAAACACAGGAAGTGACTTCTCCAGAAACATCTTATGCTTCAAAAATATATACAAATAAAACGATGAGAACGTATTCCCAAAACGTTTATTACACATAATTTTATTTTGCAGATTAACTGTATGCAATAAAAGGTTATACGGAAGACAAAATGGTAGAAAATATAGAAAATTCATTAATAGGAACATTAGGAGGGCTTGGGACTCTATTTATAACTACTACAAGAAGAAGGAAAGGGACAGAAGGTTAAGGTAACCATACCATACATTAAATATTTTGAGAGTTGTTGGGATATCTTACCGTTTATTAAAGTTTTTCATCATTCTGATGGCGTTATAATAATTCTAGGCAACTGAAAAGGGATTCCTTAAAAGCTAAGCCGAAGAAACAGCCAGATTTAGCGAGATATGATGAGCTTGCAACACCAAAGCCTGTATTCAAACCACCTCCAGTCAAGGTATATTTTCTCATTTTCGTTTTTTCTTGTGCCAGAGTTGACCCCAAAGAAAGTTCCCAGAGAGCTCGAAGACACTGGAAGGTGCGAGGCAAAATCCGACAACACCGCTGTTTGCCAACTCTCGATTAGGGAGAATTTCCCAGGGGGCGCTTCGCTGCGCCGCTCATTCTTGGCTCAGCAGCCGTCCTATATGGAGCTTCCCATTTTTGATCAGGCCAAGTGCGAGATTCATGCCATAGCTCGCCTTTTGCACGGTCAACGGAACTTAATCCGTGGATATTTTTAGTCACTTGCCAGAGGTGTATAAGGACCAAAAGACATTCGTGGGTATGTCCGCAATAAAGGAAGGAAGATGAAAACATCTAAGTTTCCGCAAGGCTACTTGTCTTTCTTTGGATTTGCTCATGGGCTTGAAGTATCACGGCAGGTAGCTATACCTGCCCTCCTTGCGGCGTTAGTTGATGCTTCGTAAACACGACTCTGACTGGAGCCACAAATGTACCTGCTGGCTCTTGTTGGCAGCTTTTAGTTATATTTGCCTTTCCATCCTTGTTTTCTTTCAGTTTACAACCGTATCCGGATGTGATGGGCATATGTTTTCACTTCGGTGTTTTCGGTGCACATCCATTTGGGCCTGATAAGTCAATAAGCAGAAACGTACATCGTTCGGGTTACCAATCTTTTTAAGTCTGCTCCTGTTCCTTTATTGCCAACATGCCCGCGATTTTCCTTTGGTGTTCATCTAAGTTTCCGCAGAACTAGTTGTCTTTCTTGTATCTTGTGACATTTCTCACTTTCTACGCAATGCATTTTTAACACCTGTATAGATCGCTTCGTTCAGATTTCGCGTTGAGCATGGTACAGTCATGTATACTACTTACACCCCCCCTGATCGGAATCCTACTTTAAGGTTCCGCAATGCGTACAATTCCGTCAGCCATTCTTGATTCTTGAGTAACTTCGTATGCCGTCTGGTGGCAAATTCTGACAAGTGTATGTGTCTACTCATTGCAGATAACATTTTTTTACATTCTTGAACCACTACTAAGGCCTAGCATCTAAACACGTGGGTATCGTAAGGCTAAAGGGGGATAGAGGGATAAGTAGAAACGTCACACGGACTCTAGCGAGGAAACACCTGTGTATGCAACATGTACACATTCTGGCCCGGCCTCGCCTTAGAGTCCTCCGGGGTGGTACCTCTACATTCGATAGTCAGATCGTCTACCAACTACGGACAATGAAAACATCCATAACCAAGAGAAAAATTCTCTTGAGACGGGATTCGAACCCGCGCAGCTCACGACGACTGGTCAGTGGCGGCTCGTGAGGTAGTGCCACGGTGCCATGGCACTACCTTGTCTTCTTCAAAAAGAATATTTTTTTCAATCTTCAATGTTTTACTTTATTTTCTGCTTTTTCATTTTTTTTGGTATAAATTATATGAAGTGACAACACTGACAACGTGACAACACCGCAAGCACCCGACCGACGCGACGAGACGAGCATGCCTTGACCTTGGCGTCATCAACTTGTGCCAATTTAGGGCCGGTCCAAATAAAAAGAGAGAAATTTTACCAGCATCGCATACGAGCGACAGAGATAACGCTACGCATGACATGTTTATATGAGGTGAATAGCGAAAGACAAGTATAATTTGTGCCAGGCACATCATCAGTCGTAATTCGTTATCAAATGATATCGGCGGTGTTTTTGTTCGGTCGGTCGTTTGGTTATGATTACGTCTAGTGCTGATTTCGGTCTTTTTTTACCTGAAAAGTGAGAAATAACGTTTTTGTTTTTGTACGTCTAGTGTTAATGAACTGCTCTGTTTTGTGATCATATTTTTTACTGTTTTATTAAAACTAGTGAAAATGAATAAAATCGGGATATTAAAAAACTCACTTAGTGGTTTTTCGCTGGATCAAAAACTGCAAATTAAAGAATTAGGACGGCCAATACCCGATTTAAAAATTGAGAAACAAAGTGGTAGCGGACAAAAATCGCGCTGTCGCAAATTTAATAAAAATGTGTATGATAAAAACAGCTGTATATGTGGTTGTGAAGAAACGAATAAACTATTTTGTTTTGTATGTGTTCTATTTGGAGGTGACGAGACTTGGCCAAAAAAAGGTACAGACGATCTTATACATATATGGGATAAAATGAAGACCCACGAAAAATCTAAAGTCCATATGAATAATGTTTTTAGCTTTTCTATTCTTGGTAAATTAAATATAAGGACTCAACTCAATTCGGCTTATCGCAATGATCTAATTAAACATAATAATCAAGTGGATAAGAATCGATATGTATTGAATAAAATTATTAATTGTATAAGGTTTTGTGGAGCATTTGAGTTAGCCTTAAGGGGTCACGATGAAAAGGAAAATTCGGAAAACAGAGGCATATTTAAGGAGCTGGTGAATTTTAGCGCCGAATTAGACAACGAATTGAAAGTCCATATTCAAAGTGCCAAACTTTTTGAGGGTAGCTCAAAAACAACTCAAAACGAGCTTCTTGAGTGCATGCTAGATGTTTATCATGAAGAAGTTAAGAAGGAGATTGCAAATTCTCCTTTTGTTGCAGTAATTGCCGATGAAACGACGGACGTAGCCTGTGAATTTCAGTTAGTTATTATTTTCAGATATTTGTGTAAAGGACAACCAGTTGAGAGATTTTGGAGATTTTACGTCCCCGACGGACACGATGCCAAATCAATCGCTGCATGCGTTTTAAATGTTGTAAATCCATTACTAGATCAAAATCCAAACAAATTAATAGCTCAAAGCCATGATGGTGCGTCTGTTATGAGTGGTGAATTGAATGGCGTTCAAAAAATTATTAAGGAAACTTATCCACTTGCAAATTATGTTCATTGCTATGCACACCAGTTAAATCTAATTATGACAAGCGCATGCTCTGTCAATAAGCAGGCTAGAATATTTTTCCATAATTTATCTGGATTGTGCTCTTTTTTTTCGACGTCTCCTCAAAGAACAAAAATTTTGGATGAAATAGTTAATCGCAGATTGCCAAGATCTTCCCAAACACGTTGGAATTTTCAGTCACGAGGTGTTCATACAGTTTATGAAAATAGGAAAGACCTGATTAAAGTTATGGACAATATAGAAAGTACTTCACGCGATTCTTCGTCGATTAATCAAGCCAGTGGGTACAAATTAAAGCTGCAAGATACAAATTTTGTATTTTGGCTAAGTATTTTCCATAAAATAATGCCACATGTTGAAATTGTCTTTAACCAATTACAAAAAGTACGCACCGATTCTGTTAAGGTCAAAAATGATTTAGAGAATTTTGAAGCAGCAATTCAAACTATACGAGAACAAATGGATAGCATTATTGACGAGATTGAACGAGTGCAGAGAGAAACTGATGAACCGGCAAGAAAAAAAAGGCAAGTTGAAGAAGGCAGCAAAAAACGGGAAGCGTTAGAAATATGCGATGCAGTATTATCGCAAATAAGAACAAGATTTAACTTTTCTGGACATTTAGTTGCTTCTAATTTATTTGTGTGTGAAAAGTTTTCTGTTTATAAACATCAGTTTCCTGAAGCACATTTAAATGACACATGCACACAATTTTCATTTTTAGACAAAAACAGGCTTAAAACTGAGTTACAAGTATTATATCAGAGAGAAGAATTGAGTACTACTTCTGGAGCTGTTCCACTATCCATTTTATTGAACGAGGAAGGATTAAATTGTACGTTTCAAGAAACTCTTAAGCTCTTAAGTATTTTAATCACTATACCGATGTCAACATCTGAAGCAGAACGCTCTTTTTCAATGCTGAAACGGATTAAAACTTTCCTCAGAAACACAATGAAGGAAGAAAGGCTTAGTGCTTTAGGAATGCTGTCTGCAGAAAAACATTTTGTTAGTGGCATTGAATATTTTAATAATAAGGTAATCGAAAACTTTGCTACCAAAAAAGAAAGAAGAATGGACCTCATATATAGAAAACTATAGTTATAGCTACTTCTCCACACTTGTTTTATAATTTGGTGCGCGTGTGTAAATAGTTTTATTTTTGATTTTTTTTTGGACATATAGATTTATTGAACCTCAAGAACTTTGACCACTAACTATCAGGGGTAAGTTATAAGTTATTCTTTACAATTTTGAATCGATTCAAAATTATGGCTTCCATTCTGGCACTACCTCACGGAATTGGCACGAGCCGCCACTGCGACTGGTTAGCAGGCACCACTGCTGCCTACTGTCCAGATATAGCCGAATTGTACTGCCAGGCCACAGGCTGCAACATGATCATGATGGCTCGGCAAGCCAAATATTACAACAAGAGTATTATCATTGTAGAGGCCCCATTACGGGAATCATTTAAATTAGAAAAGTGGTCCTATTGAATAACCAAAATATAAGCTATACCTCTACAATCTTCAAAAAAATTCAAAAATTCAAAATAATAATTTCGTTACGAGTAAACATTACAATCAAAGGAAATTCTACAGTAAACAATGACGGAAAAGGACAGTCTCTCGATTATGGAACCGATACATAGAACCCTTTAAAACAAGTCCATGCGAACGTGCCCTAATTGAATAAAAAGCTAAAAAGTATAATGTAGTTATAATATGTATATTATCAACTATTATTATGTAACTTTATACACTCCCGTTTACACAATAATTGTACATTAGACTAAGCAGTTTACAGAAAAACTATAAAGAGGCAAATGAAAAGGCGGTGAAACACAAAAAGGCAAAGACGAAGAAAGAACCCCCGGAACCGGCAACGGACGCGAAGAACAAATCTATACAGCGAGTAGAATTATAAAAATATCTTTGTTTGCTCAAACGCTGCTAAAGTAGCTGCCGATTCTGTTTTGTGAGTTTCGAGAATATTTTTGGCGATGAGTTTTTAACTGAAGTTCGCAAATTATTCCATACGTGAACCGCCACATAAGCAAACGACCGTTGGAAGGAACGCGTTCTATGCTTAGGTACGATAAAATTGAAATTATTTCTGCTTCCCTGGGCACGAGGCAAAGGCACAAATCTTTTTCTTAAATACGGCGGTTGACCTGTTTTCATAACCCTATAGATAAAAGAATACATATGTTTTCTGCGATTGGCCATGTTTCGTATGTTGTAGTTATGCAAATAAAGAGTGATATGGTTTTGGTATGGAATTCCAAAGGCAAATCTAATGCAACTGTTTTGAACTTTTTGTATACATTTTTTTGTTCACGACGATAACGAATCACCATAGACATCTCCATAGTCAAAAAGTGATAAAATCAAAGTATTAAATAAATAATATTTTTGCTGATAGATGGTTTTTCAATTTGTAAATATTTCTTAGACGCATGTAGGCGATATTCATTCTGTTTTTTATGAGCTATCAAATATGATACCTAGATTTTTTGTCTCCTGAACCGTGGGGATTCTATCATCAAAATGTTCTCTTTCATTACTGTTTTTATTCGTAACTATTACTTGCGATTTTGAGGGGTTTAGTTTAAGATTATGATGATTTGCAAATCTGTCAATACTTTGGAGATCTGAATTCAATTGTTGTTGTGCAATATGGATTCTGTTTTTATTTAAAGGAGATATATTTGTGAGTCATCTGCATGTAGTTTTATCTTACGAATTTGAGCATGTCAGATACGTATATTGAAAATAGCAGAGGAGATAAAATCAAACCTTGTGGGACTCCTGTTTTTATAGGTTTAAAATCGGTTTTGTAAATAGCGGAATCACTTGCTAACATAGCGGTTGTCTAAATATGTTTTTATTAGATATACGGAGCTCTGCGAAAACCCCTGTAACTTGGCTAGTAACATTTCATGATTCAGAGTGTCGAACGCCTTACTAAAATCGAGAAGTACCATGCACGTAGGTACTATTTTTTTTTTGTTATTGGTGATGCCTAATATCATCCAATATGATAAACTTGTGCTAAAGTTTTTCCTAAAACCGGATTGCCTATCGGGTATGGTATCGTTTGAGTCACAAACAAAAACTAATTTGATTATAAATATGTCTTTCTAATATTTTGGATGTAGCAGGTAATATGTTAACAGGCCGTGTCTGTAAATTCTTTAGGTTCTGCTATTGTTAGTAAGGCTTTAACAATAGTTTTCTTCCATATTTCTGGGAATAATCCCCTCAAAATACATGTGTTAATTATATTCAGCAAGGCATTCGTACAAAATGGAATACATAGCGTTCGGTCTCTCATAGAGAAACCATTCTCTCCAATGGCATTTGATGAAATATTATTTATAATTTTGATTAAACTGGCCCTGTCTAACAGTTGGAAGTTAAGAGAATTGTAAGTGCTTATATTGTTTTTGTAAAACTTAATTAATTCTTAGGCAGTGTCTGGAAAATTGTCGGTCTGTTGGAAGTAATTGTGTATGTCATTTACATTTTGTAAGTGCTCGTAAGTGTGAGGTTTTTGGTAGTGTCCCAAAATTCTTTACCTTTCTTTGTCGATAGCGATTTAAAAAATGTATTTTTTTCTCGGATAATTGCATGCTTTGTATATTTCCTTAGCTGTTTATAATATTCAAAATGAGCCTGTGATTGGGATTTTTGAATCTAGATTTTTTTTGCAGTATCATCTGTGACCTAACATTAGTCCTGGGGTTTGTCCTAATATGAGCTTCTATGTGTACATGTGAAATTCATACCTAACAACAAAATCCTGCATTTGTAGCCATGCGCTAGGCTCTTAAAGCCGACGTTCAATCACATGTTGATTCTCCATTTCGTTTAGGTTTTGTACTTCCTTATCAATCGTGAATAATATACAAATCAATTAAGAAGCCATAGTTTATTTCTCAAAAATATTCTGATCTTTTGTACATTTTTTTCTAGAACCCACACAAGGGAAAGTTCACAAACTTCCAAAGACTGGACGTCATAGCTACTCCGAAGACATACTATGACACGAGTGGAAGAGAGTTAGGGGTAAGTACTGAAATAATATTCATATTAGCCTTATTCAAGTTTTACCAGAAACTGTCCCAGGATGGTTCTGATTTCGCTCAATGGGGGTAATCTAGCAAGCTGGAAGTAGCGGGCACTACAGGGCCTTTCACGATTTTTGCCGGTTACGTCACCATTATCATACGAAATAAGTAAACAGATCGACTAACTGTGCGGAGCTTAACATTGAGGAGGAAGTTACATACTTCGCAAACCTATCTTTGATGCAGCTGCTCTTGCACGCATGAATTAGGTAATATAACAGTAATTTCATGTCGCATCGAGATCTGCTGCAGGTAGTTTAAAACAGTCCGGTGATTGCTCTCTGTAAAATTCCGAATCGAGCCGTTGCATAGTTTAGCAAAGCTTGAATTTATTTTAATTTGAAAATGCTGAAATAGGTATGTATTTTCATGACACTGGTGAGAACTGGTTATATAAAAATATCTTCTAAAAAAGCCTATATGCGCTGAAAAATTATTTTGGTGGTCTCTGAAAGCCTCGCACGCCATGCCGCCCTCAACACAGTTTTTTAGCAATAAGGCGCATACTGCATAAACATGGATCGTGATCCTAGATTATAAACTCAATTTACTCAAAATTGACCATTTAGGGAAAATTTTGAAGAAACAGCATTTTTCAGCATTCCGGGAAGTGACTATTAGATCTTTATAGAATTTGAGATGCAATCTCAAGGATCCGGTATTTAAAAGTATAATAGAACGAGTAGGTTAAAATTTGTATAGAAAAATATTTACCAATGATAATACCATGAACACTTGTTAGCGTCATTAGAAATAAGTAAATAGGGCAATGAGCCTTAAAATAAATAGGTCTATAATTTTACTCATAAATACGTAATTTCTAATTGCAAACAAATATCTACTCAATTTCAAATTACGCAAAAACGTAGAAAGTTATGTGAATGGTTGGTCATATATGTTTTAAGTTACTGTAATATAGCACAATATCCATAGTTGTTAGACTGCTATACCAAGAAAGTAATTTAAACCATTCACAGCAATAATTGCAAAAATGCAAAAACCGATAAATCCACTTTTTACGATTTTTAAGTTACGATTCTGTTAATTTAGTTATGCTCTATCCGTCTTTAAAGGTAGGTATAAGGAAAGGCCGCTAAATCATCCTCAAAAATGGAATTTCAAAAAGTTTCAAATTTGACGGGCATTCTTCTCTAGGTCTTTGCCGTTTTTCTCAGAACTAGAAGGAATGGGTTTACCGGTTTTTGCATTTTTGCTCTTCAATTGTGTTTGTTTTCTTTTTGAACTACTAGGTAAAGATCATGCATCAGCGAAATATCCGTCTAAGCCACCTCCTTTTCGAGAAAAGACTGCATTTCACTTAGAGATAAAATTGTCAGGATACCTCACCATACAACAGCGCAGTTTCTCCTATAGTATCGCCATCATATACAGGATGATTCACAAGTGTGACCAAAAATGAAACATCATACGAGTACACAGGACCGCATTTTAAGGAGGGCCCTCTAGGGCTTCGTTAAAAAGGAGTGTTGAAGTTTAAAAATAAAAAAGTCAACTGGGATAAACTAAAATTTGATATGTGGATTAACCTAAGTATTGTCCACATTCAAATGTCTACTTAAAATTAACCTGCACCGGTGGCGGAGATACAGGAGATTAGTGGCACAATTGTTCCAAATAAAAATAGTACGCCACCGGTTTAGACTGTTTTAGAAATCAACGACGCGTAAAAACCTTTGGGGTAGATTGGCGTCTGTTAGCACATCTACGTTGATACTCCTGAGAAACCGCTAAAGCATTTCCATTACAGAACCCGTACGCAAAAATAATATCGGGCTACTCGTCATTGCTAAATTCCATTTCATAACACTCAAAAATGGAAAAAACTACTGACTTGGCTCTTACAAAAAAAAATGGGAGTAATAACGATAACAACCGTATAACACAATTATAACTTTGACAAACTGTCTCCCAATAAACGTCAAGTTGGTATCAAGGCCTCCTATTTTATTTTGAAACTAATTGTATCTCGCTCTTTCAAGAATGAACAATTGTTTTTTATTGTGACGAAAACAAAGCACTCTAGGAAAAAACAAGAGTAATTATTTATAGTAAATTGGAGGTAAAATTCGAAAAATTGCGCGTTTTGAAAAAACAGTGACTATTTTTATTTGGAAAAATAATGCCACTAATCCAACGTATCTCCGCCACTGGTGCACGTTAGTTTTAAGTAAAGACTTCAATGTGGACAATATTTAGGTGAACCCACATACCAAATTTTAGTTCATTCCAGTTGTTAGTTTTGAGAAATATAAAAAAATTGTTTTTTTTATTTTTAAATTTCAACACCCCGTATCTTTTTATTGAAGCTCTCGAGGAAAAAATGTTACATAGAAGACCCTCCTTAAAATGCGGTCATGTGTAGGATGTTTCATTTTTGATCACGACTTGTGAATCACCCTGTATATGGTAGGTGTAATTATTCACCAACATTATGTATAAAAACTTCTCATTGCCAGACTTTCGTCAAAAAATCAAGTCGCCATTGCTTACTTCGATAAATTCAAATTACCTTTATTCTGTGCTTCACGTTTATTGTTATTTAATTTTTTGTCTACTTGGCTTTGGAAAGTATTTCAGCTTTCGCTTTTTTGTAATGATTGAAAATTATTATTATTAAATTTATTATGAAAAATATTTTATTATTTTTAACATCTACTAGTGACTTTTATGGTTAAATTAAAGAGTAACCACCATTTAAGTCTTACTTTATCTGCATTACAATGACATTGTGAAGAAATAAATTATTATTACTTATTATCTAGGTACACTAAATGTGTGATCACAGAATCACAGCTACATCTATATGATGAGGTTCAATGTTTTAATGTATACGAGAGAGAAGCGCGAGAATCGTCCAATACGTATGTTAGAAAGAGTGGGCTATCCCTTTCTAACACACGTATTGCATGCTTCTAGCACTTCTCTCTCGTACACACTACGACGTCACTGGTATTTGGTTTTCAGATATTACGCGATTTAACAAAGCTTGAAAGTACTGTAGTTATAGGGAAAAAACAGCGTCAACGTAAAACAGTTTTTATGGAAAGATTTATGTTATACTATTATTTATATGTATACAAAGGGTGTTGCACACCATTGTAGCACACTTGATTTTTAACATATCAGTATTGCCGCGAAAACATTGTTTTTCTTTGTATTCTAACTTGATCTCCTTTTATCAGAAAGTAGAAGCCAGTGCCCTGAGGTATGAACCAACGGAGATAGTATACAGACTTGCCAAGATTCCAGATAGATTCAAAAATATTCCCAAACCTATTGATCCTGGCAAGGTGAAGAGAAGTGCCCTCAGATACAAAGGTAAAACAAATAGCATAAACTGTTACCCAGCATCAATAAATTCATTATTGAAATTTGGCAATATACGAGTAGAAGTATCTCCGCATCTGATTCGGTTTTCTGTAAAATCCTATTCAAAAAGGGGGCCATTCAATGAATCTGCATGTTGCCAGACATAAAATTTCGCTCAAAATAATGCCTCTTTTCGCTCAGGGTAGTTTGTTTTAGGTTTCTTTGACCATTTTGAACCAAAACATTCCTTATAAACTCTTCTCTAAAATTGATAGTTTCAGAATATTTTCCGAGCAGATATAAAGGTACCTTATTGACAAATATAAGCTTTTCACCACAAATTATCAGCTACACTACATATAACACACTCTCCTATGATGTCTGGTCACAACGAAACTAAAACGACGATTGTTTACAGGATTTTGATCAGTGATACTTGCCCCTTTTGTCATCCCCGAGTTGCATTATATTTATAAAAAATGGTGTTGCTAATTATGCAAACTTAAAAAGCATGTCTTCGCTATAGAAATTAGTCATTAAAATAGTTTGCAAGTTTTTATCCACTTCTATTCTGTAAAATAACATACAACATTAATTCTTATAATGTAAGTAAATACATGACTATTGACAGGTACCTATACATTCTGTTAGTATGTTCGCCTTATCAAAAATTTTGAATCCCATTTCATAGTTTGCAATAGTCTTATATATCATAGAATATATCAACACAAAATAATCGTTCGAAGATATTTAACTCAGTTACACTTTAAATGTAAAACCAACATCCTTGACGCCATTATCAAACCAGCCAAAAGCAAGACAAACTATACTTACTTGCTTATTAAATCTTCGCGGCTTTAAAAAAATCCAAAATATTTATTCATCAGTACGTATTTTATAAAATATGCATTGTCTATAAATGTATTATACAGGGTGGAGCATCGAAAACGAAACAGACACATTTACTGGCAGCTCCGTTTTTTTTTTGGAAAAACGCTCAGACCGGTCGATTTTGTTTTCGAGGGGGACACAAGTTTGGCAAAAAATCACGTTAACACGTGCAGCCCCCTGGGCGGGGGTGACACCAACCCTAAAATCTTAAATGGAAATGGGGGTCGAGTGATAAGTTATTTTAAAGGTCTTTCAATTCCCTTCATAATGATTTAAAATACATGAGCTTCAGTTCAGTAGTTTTGAAGATTTATTGATTTAAAGCTTAAAGTAGACTTTAATAGTTACATCAGATTAGTTTGTACTACTTTCATAAGAAATTTGACTAAAAGAATTTACTTAATAATTAATTGCTTTTCTTTACTACGCCCATGGATTGTTTATCATTTTGTTGTTGAAAATAGCTATTGGAGCGTTTTTTTTTTGTGGCAAAAAAGCTATTTCTTGAAGAAAGATAAGGAAATATCTCGTACTTATTTTAAATAGGAACTTAGTACATAGTTTGCGATTGGTTTGACCAAACTTTGTTGCTAAAATAACTTGTAACGCTTTATTACATAAATTAACCATGGTATATTCCACAGCAGAAAGAGTTGAAATTTTCTAAATATTTTTCGGAAATTATCAGTGCGCTAATAGAACAGCAGGAATATTTAATGAGCGACATGAGAACAGTAACTTGCTTCTAAAATATGTTCTAGAATTTGTAGCTAAGTTTCGGGAAACTGGGTCAGTCGCCAATAAAAAACGCAACATTAAAAATCCCATAAGGAACGAAGCAATAGAAGTGGGGGTTTTAGGGCAAGTTTATGTAGATCCTACGTTACCCGCAAATTGAAGACTGTGTGTGGTGTTAGTCAACGTACTGTCGAACGAATTCTAAAGGCCCATAGTTTTCATCCGTATAAAATTCACCTGGTACAAGAACTGAATGAAGACGATTTTGATCGGCGATTACAATTTTGTGAAGATATGAGTGAACGAATTATAAACGATGAACATTTTCTATTCAACACTTGCTTTTCCGACGAATGTTCCTTTTTTTTAAATGGCGTACTAAATCGTCATAACTGCCGATATTGGTCCGATTCTAATCCCAGAATTTATCATGAGGTTCATACACAGCAGCCACAAAAATTAAATGTTTGGTCTGGTATTTTTGATGATCATTTAGTTGGTCCTTTTTTATTACCTGAAAATTTGACCGGTAAAATGTATTTGGAATTACTGGAAGATGCCATAGATCCTGCATTAACAGCCATAATTGAAAATCAGAATGATCGGCGGTACATTGCGAATAGATTGATGTTCCAACAGGATGGTGCCCCACCACATTACGCATTACGTGTTCGACAATATTTAGGTCAGACGTTTCCAGATCGATGGATTAGTAGAAGAGTTATCGAAATATTTTTCGGAAATAATCAGTGCGTTAATAGAACAGCAGGAATATTTAATGAGCGACATGAGAACAGTAACTTGCTTCGAAAATATGTTCTAGAACTTGTAGCTAAGTTTCGGGAAACTGGGTCAGTCGCCAATAAAAAACGCAACATTAAAAATCCCATAAGGAACGAAGCAATAGAAATGGGGATTATAGGGCAAGTTTATGTAGATCCTACGTTAAGTACCCGCAAATTGAAGACTGTGTGTGGTGTTAGTCAACGTACTGTCCAACGAATTCTAAAGGCCCATAGTTTTCATCCGTATAAAATTCACCTGGTACAAGAACTGAATGAAGACGATTTTCGTCGGCGATTACAATTTTGTGAAGATATGAGTGAACGAATTATAAACGATGAACATTTTCTATTCAACACTTGCTTTTCGGACGAATGTTCCTTTTTTTTTAAATGGCGTAGTAAATCGTCATAACTGCCGATATTGGTCCGATTGTAATCCCAGAATTTATCATGAGGTTCATACACAGCAGCCACAAAAATTAGATGTTTGGGCTGGTATTTTTGATGATCATTTAGTTGGTCCTTTTTTATTACCTGAAAATTTGACCGGTAAAATGTATTTGGAATTACTGGAAGATGCCATAGATCCTGCATTAACAGCCATAATTGAAAATCAGAATGATCCGCGGTACATTGCGAATAGACTGATGTTCCAACAGGATAGTGCTCCACCACATTACGCATTACGTGTTCGACAATATTTAGATCAGATGTTTCCAGATCGATGGATTAGTAGAAGAGGTGTCATTGAATGGCCCCCGAGATCGCCAGATCTATTACCTTTGGATTTCTTTAAGTGGGGTCAGTTAAAAGGCTAAATCTATGCTACTCAGCCAACATCATTAGAAGACCTGCGACAAAGAATTGTGAATGAGTGCCTTCAAATTACTCCTCAAATATTGCAAAATGTGCGGCAACGTTTTGATCAAAATCTTTATTATTGCAAGGAGAGTCATTTTCAACATTTACTTGTCTAACGGGCCAGTTCATTCTTCATTTTTAAATTACTTTGCTGCCAAATGTATTGATCTCCACTAATGATGATGTATTAGTTTTATTTAAGCTTTAAATCAATAAATCTTCAAAACTACTGAACTGAGGTACATTAATTTTATATCATTATAAAGCGAATTGAAAGATCTTTAAAATAAGGTATCACTCGACCCCCTTTCCATTTAAGATTTTGGGGTGGTGTCATCCCCGCTTAGGGGGCTGCACGTGCTAACGTGATTTTTTGTGAAACCTGTGTCCCCCTCGAAAACAAAATCGACGAGTCTGAGCGTATTTCAAAGAAAAAACTGAGCTGCTAGTAAATGCGTCAATTTCGTTTTCGATGCGCCACCCTGTATAGAATATAGTCTCTTCTGATCTATAGCATTCTTGGCAGACTACTTTATATGCTATAGGCAATCAAAATAATGTTTAATAAGCTGTGAGCAATGTTGCTGTAGGGACTATCGGATAAAAAATATTACGGGGATGAATCCACCTCCGTTCAGAGGGCTCGACAAACATCTATTACCTCACCTCCGAACAGGACAGCCTGTCGGCCTGTTTTCCTGTTCGTATTTTCTGGCATATTCCTCGAGTTTTGAATTTCGTTGGTAAGCTTTCCATTATATAGTTTTGTCTCGTTCTAGTATTTGAGTTCTTGGGACTGCGCATTCCTTCAACAGGTCCGAATGCCCGCTTTCAGGTTCCTGCAGATAGCTTCTATGGTGTTTGGCGATTCCGGACTCTCTCTCTCGTGTCAGCTGCATGTCCTATACCTCCAGCAGGCTGCGACACCGTAGCCGTATCGGTATCTCTCGACGGGCACTCTGGTTCTGTTCCTGCTAATGTCTTCTGTTAATTACCTGGGTACTATTTTAAATTACCTGCGTACTATTTTAAATTTAAATTATTTAGTTTAAATTAGTGTTCGGCTCAATCATCAGATGTCACTCAAAGCAGTGTACAAGCCCTTGAATATTGCTTACACCCCCTGCTTCCCACTGACCTGATCAATCCAGTCATGACGTCATTAGTCACTGTCATCAACTTCTTTACAACTTTTTGTTTGTTTGATTGTCGAATGGTTTTTCAAATCTCCACAATGGAGATAGTTATGTATACAAAGATGTATTAAATGATTACAATTACGCATATATCTTAGCAACACCAAGAACGGAAACTCTGGCACAACCCAAGCAAAGAAGAGAGAAAGTGGAAGAGGACGACTTTGATCCCTTCCAGATATCAAAGAATGCGCTTAAGTACAAACCCACACCGAGGATTTTGGAACTGGCCAAGCCGAAAGAATACGACTAAGTAAAATAAAAATGGGATACTTGGGACTAAGACGCGATAGTAAGCATCTCAGAGATGGAGCAGGCAGATGTATGTATAAAGTGGATGGGCTTGTAAATGACGTCATATATTATATACTAAGAAAATTAATTAGAAAGTTGGGCACAACCTTCGTGCTACTTGCGATTCAATCCAAGCAGCTGATCAGACTTTTTCTAGATAGATATTATACCATAAAACGCAGATACTGATGGTTGTCGCGAGGATCTTTGGCTTCAAACCGTGGCCTATCTCAGAAATTAATACCTGCTTGATATATTTTGACTGGCTGGATCATGTAGCTGATGTCTCCACCAGTGATTGAAATACATCTTATCTTCAAAAACTAAGAACATGGTATGTTAATTTGCGAGATAAGCTTGCTAGTAAGTGAGACACGGCTGTACGGATCTGCAAATTTTGCAACTCATAGACGCGACGTGGCGATGTGGTACATCTAAGCTACGATAGAGCTTCCTAGAGATTCAGTTCGTGAGTTACAGTCTCCGTTACGCTTACAGGAGGTACAATGTGATTATTATAGATCACAGTGAGTCTCAGCCAGGGAAGGGGATATGGCCTTCTTATCGTGTCGAAAGTTAGACAGAACGAGCGCGCTCCTGATCTTTCCAAGTAGCGTTGAACAATATTATTGAAGATGTTTTCCTGAAGATCAATAAACTACCTTTCACTACTGGACTCTCAATATGAGCTCCAAAATTTCTGCACCTAAGAGCCTTGGGTAATGTCATTGTAAAAAGATTGGATCGCAATAGCCAGGTTAGCCACTTGAAGAGAATTTTGTCTATACCCTAACTGCATTTCCATCTCAACTTCTTACGTTTTTTTCTGTGCATCTGTCCTCACTTGCCAGTCAAATGTTAATTACGTTCAAACAGTTATTTGGACCTCGTTAACCAATCAATCTTTTTAACATGAACGTATAAGGTTGGCCTCTCAATCTGTGGCCCTAGTTTGGTAAGTCTCTAATGTCACATGCAATATAATGAGGAAAGGGCGGTGCATAGTTTGGGGGTTCAAGAGTCGTGCCCACCTTAAAGATAAGATATGGCGTCGTGGTCTCTGGTATCCTTGACAACAGCATAGCATAAGAGAAAAAATGTAATAAAAAAGCACCATTAAGATAATAAACTCATCGAAACATCTCATCATCAAATACCCAGTTTTATTTAATTCTACCATGATTATCCAACGCTAAGGTGAATCTCACACGATCATTATTAACTGTGATGCATCAGGACTTACCAAGGAGTGTGATATTTATTTTGACCGTCCGCCACTACAGTAATTATTATTGACGTATAAGATTACGTGGACATCCACATACACAGACTGCTTGTAAAAACCATGGAATCTAGATCATGTATAAGGAGCAGGTATACGATTTGTTTTTGAGCAAATTAACTCAGTCAGTAGTCAGAACACAAGTTCATACTACAGGTCGATCTGGGTTAAGCGGCCAGTTTGACAGAGGTTGGAATTTCACATTATATATAATAGTCATTGGAGATGCAAATGGTCATTCACCTCGACATTGGGCTTTTACCTGGACAGTTATGAGGTAATTCTGATTTATTACGTTTCACTTATTGTTTTATTGAGCAGTCAGTTTCCATCAAATATTCGTTAACAGGATACCTAACAACAAGGTTAGAAATGCAGAATTTTGATGAAAAAGCTAATCTTTTGATGGATACCCAAAAGGGCCAACCGAAACTTCAACGGAACTAAACTAAAATTTAACTTTATATACTTTAATGTTTGAATCTAAATGTTCCCATGAAAAATAATTTCGCGTTCAAGGTATTAGGTATACGACCTCATTTTAGTGCCAGGAGATTTCATGAGGGAAGCTCAGTCGCGAATGTCAAATATAGCACATTATGCTCAACTAGGAATTTGCTTTTAGCCAATAATGTCGGATCACGACCACTATTTGAAAAAGCCGAGCAGAATTCATGCAAGGTGATTCACTATTTCCAATGTCCGGTATTCTGCCATTGTTGCTGTTTGGTGGAAAAAAATTCTCATATTCTTCACCCTCCAAAACCCGAATTAAGCAGAATTGTTCATATGATGTACCGCTAATAAATGTACTTCCGTACCATTGCCTTATTTAATTGATTCCTGTTTATTAACAACAACTGAGCGATTCACATCGCAACACAGATAGTATTTCGGCCCTGCTGAACATATGCGGTACGAATAGCTATTTGAATATCCTTTTCGGAGAAAAGCATTTGCGCCGATGTATTGGTTTGTCACTTTGGTATGCAATGGTAAGCAAATTACCTAGAGTCAACGCCAAACAAAGTGGCGTGCACGTCATCACGATAAAAATTCCCCGACCTAATGCCTAGGTTTCTATCACAAACAATTGCTCTATTGCAGTTTCATATTAATGTGATATATAAATTGTAAAATGGTCATTACTCTCTTATTATGGTTAATAGTCATATAAACATTGTTATTAAAATATCACATAAGTTGCTTTCTGATAAATTTAGACGCATTATGCGAAATAAAATGTTTTGCAAACGCTCCAATCACTTATCGACATGTAAACGCACTAAACCGATTTCGCAGCGTTGACACATTGTCACCTTGAAACTTATTTAAACTGGGAACTGACATTTGTATTAATTTTGACACTGAATCAATTTGTGGCATTTCAAATCTTTATAAATCCTTTGGCCCCGCATACTGTAAATCAACAACTGTTTGTTTTAAAACAAAATTATTCATTTTACGAGTAGATAAAGGCAATTTTGGTATATAAAGATGCCCAAACAGTTAAATAGTCGGTGTAAGGAACTCGTGGCCTCGTTAATGCACTACTTTGAGCAAGAAAGGGACAACAACGGGCCTTTGTTGCCTTTAAATGCTGTTCAAGAGGTAGGTTACTAATAATTATATGTAATGTATATTAATAATAGTGAAATTTTATTTCATTTTTTGTAGCGTGTTGCTGCTGCTTTAAAAATTAGTTTAAGGACAGTTAGTCGTATTTCCGAGGGTGTGAAAAGTGATGCAAATTTAGAATCGCCCAAGAAAAAGCGGAGTTATATTAAACGTGTAACCAACACAGCGACATTGGATACAAGTGCCATTCGAGAAGTGATCTATAATATGTATCACAAAAGTAAGATCTTATTATAATAACTTATCAGAAATTTGCATTAATTTGTTAACTAAATTATAATGTCGTATTACACATGGTTTCAGAAGAACAAGTTACGATACAAACTTTATGGTCTCGATTAAGAGATAGGGCATTATTTGATGGTAGTGCCACGTCTTTAAGGCGGTTGCTTAGAGATCTTGGATTTAAGTGGCTTAAGGACAATCCGCGACGAGGGCTCATGGAACTACCAAGTATAGCTTTGAAAAGGGTGGAATTTCTAAGGCAATACAATCAAGCCAAGGTTGAGGCCTTATACCAGTTTGTCTTCCTCGATGAAACTTGGATATTTCAAAATGGGACCATAGGTCGCTCTTGGCAAAATGGAAACCAAAAAAGCGTGAAAGCTATTAAAACAGATGGTAAAAGGTATGTACTTTTACACAATTTGCACTATAAAATTTAAAACTAATATATTTTAGATACATTATATTACATGCTGGAAATGAAAATGGGTTTATTGAGGGTAGTGAAGCGATATTTTCTTCGAAAACAAAATTGAGCGATTACCATGGAGAGATGAACCAGGACAATTTTTTGAAATGGTTTCAACATCAGTTATTAGAAAAATTGGAGAGTCCATCTATGATTATACTGGATAACGCCCCTTATCACAGCATGATATTGAACAAAGTGCCCAACAATGCATGGACAAAAAAAATATCCAAGACTAGTTGACAAATCAAAACATACCATTTTTAAACACAATGTTTAAAACAGAGCTAATGAGTATTGTTGCTCGGTACATAATGCTTCTTAATTATATATATTTTGGTCGACAGTTTATATTTCTTTTGTTTATTCCTATTCTTGAAATAACTGCTTTTTTAGAAACAAACCACCTAAAATATACGTGATTGATGAATTGGCGGAACAACATGGGCACAAAGTTCTTCGTCTGCCTCCTTACCATTGTATATTTAACCCTATTGAGTTAATTTGGGGCATAGCAAAAGGTTACTATAACAGACATATTGGTAGAGATGGTAACAGTGAAAAAGACTGTTTGGATATGTGGAACGAGGCTCTACAAACGGTTACCCCAGACATGTGGAAAAATAGTGTTCGACATACTGAGCAAGAAATTTTTAAATGGTATGAAAGAGAACGAATTTTGATCGAACAGACATCGAACCTTTAATAATCAACTTTGAGAGTGATGAAGATTCAGACAGCGCTGAAGAAAGAAACTCCGACTAACTTTATTGTACAGAAAAAGCTTACACCAGTAGCTTACCTAATTTTAGAATGCATTTTTCTGTATGAATTCTGTAAAATAAATACCATGCATAAAATTTGGAGGACCCCATTTGGATTTTTATTCAGTACCTTTAAGCTATCAATTAAATATGGTAGTTTCATAGTGTCATCTGATCAATAATTGTCATACTTAATGATTATGCAAGTACAGATCTATAATTTTATTATACTATTATTTTTGTTCTCATTTGAGGTTAATATTGCTTATAAACCTAGATATGTAAATAATAAATTTTATTATTTTACAAAAAGTTTGGCAACAATGTAAATTTTTCAAAACACCCACCTTGATGACGTGCACGCCACTTTGTTTGGCGTTGACTATAATAATAAAAACTAAAACTACGCAACTTTGACGACAAACAGTGCGATGTAAGCTAATTGTCTTGGCTTGGCTCCTAATATTTCGAACAGAAATGACCCTGATATAGTCCTGTCCATTTTAATAGTGCCATTAGGCCAACAGGACGCGCATGCTCAATGCACAGTTCAGGGTTGCCAGGCGTGGCGATTTTTCATCAAAGTGGCGATTTGACGGCTTTAAATGGCGACTAAAATGGATAGCTTGGCGATTGGCTACTTTAGTTTTGTGATGCCCAGTATTCAGCAAATTTTCAACACCTGACGATTTTTAACGTTTTTGACATCAGTTCTTGTTGATATGTGTATGGATCAATGAAACGGGGAACGAGGACCAGCGGAATTTCTGTGCAAATGAGAGAAAGCCCCCCAAAAGATCTCTAGGACAATGTAAATACGCAAAAAATTCTTGTCCACCGCTTTTAAATTTTCAGTTGTCGGTAACCCCCCTCTTCTTTTTTCATTTGTCACAAGATCACAAGAACCTTGACGCAGTTCACACAATTTACCTCCCCCAGTCGGCTTCAAGATTTTGTGCTAGTGTTGTAGTCACCGTTCTTGGAGGTTACGTCATCAACGCCATATGAAATAAGTAAACACATCGAGTCTCCATATCGTGGGCGGAACACTGCGCAGACTAATCCTCAGTGCATCTCTCCAGTACGCATGAAGTGGGTAACAGGAGACCGCTGTTTTCATTCTCTTCCTGGAAATACTCTAATAAATTTAGCACGAGCTGTCGGCCTTCTCCATTGATCGTATTTCCTGGCATTGTGCAATTTTATATTGAAGAGTGATAATAAGACAACTCGAATTGCACGCCGATGTCAAGTAAGTTGTCGCTCTGACGAATATGATTGAAGGGCACTCATACGTAACGACAAAGTTTTCATGACGGAGACACACAACTAACAAACGAATGTCTTTGAGCTTAGCGAACAAACCTTCACACACAGGTAGGTTGCATGTCGATGTATGGGGGGGATGGAGATATATAAATACTGGTAGTCTTACTTTGACCAAGAACGGTGACTACAACTATAGTAACAATGTTACACTATCGTGCATCGCAACGCGTGCATAAGTTTTAAGAGCGAACAAAACACAGTCCAATGTCCATCGAGTCCACAATAAATGCTAACCGTGGAACCGTGTGACATTCACTTGAGGTTGCTCTTTGCACAATTAAATTTGTACGGTACAGGAGCTATGAAGGCAAACCTTAAGTATGGGAGAACCGTGCGTGCTGTAAACTAAACAGAGTTTCTGTGCTTATTATGAATATGATGTCTTGAATGGTAGTCATATTGAGGATGCTGTGTAATTCCGCTGGCAAAAAACGTTATGTTACCTTTGTATTCTGTCGTTTACACATTTTAAGATATCCTATATCAATGTTTAAGCTTTCAAGATATATGAGCTATATGGGAGAATTTTACATACACTGAGACCCCAATTTGACTGACAGCTTGAGTTCAGTCTGAGAGAAGTGTATATAGACACATATGTTAGGAACCGATAGAAGCCAGCTGGATAGCGAAGCTTATCATCGCGTTCCCCAGCACCGCTGACGCGGGAATCTGCCGCTTTGCCAGTTCCTGAATTTAGATGTACGTTGAAAATATGCGACAGTTCGCTGCCACAAAATGTAACAGTAACTCTCTTCCACAATTGGTGGAAATCAAAGATAATTCTAAAGTAAATGAAAACACAAAGTCAGATAAAAATTGAAATAACTAATTCTAATCAAAATGAAAGCAAAATATTAGATTAAATGCTCGAACAGACCTCCTTCTTGAGTTTGACATCGGAACATTTTCTGCTGTAACATATTGGCAACGCAGCAGATTGCACGTCCTTCTGCGTCAAAGTTGCTAGCCAATGACGTGATGACCTCCGCTCTTCAGTCGGTTTCTATTTCTTTCTAACATGTGTTGATACACACTTCTCGCTTTTCTCTCGTACACATTGAACTCAAGCCGTCAGACAAATTTTGTTTTAACCCTGTATAATTCGCACTACTGCAGAACGGTGACAACATCAGTAGTGTCATTTTGATTAGAAAAGGGAAAATTTGATCAGTGAAATAATCCACACAGTTACTTTCATTTCATATATCAACTATCATCAACATAATGGCGAAGAAGTCAGTGGTTAAAAGAAATAGTATTCCGGATGAGTTCAAACGAATAGATCCATCTAAATTAGGAGATATAGTTGTGTATGAGAGAAAGAGGCCAACGAAAGAGAAACCAAAGGTACTTGAATATATTCGCTTATTTCTATCTACGAGATATACCAATCCACTATTTGAATCAAAGCTATGAACGATATTTATTTTTTATAGAAAAATTCAAAATGTGCAGCAGATTTGGCCAAAAGGTTAGAGCAATTAGCAACACCAAAACGTAAGGTTGGACAAAACGATACAGCATCAAAACAGTCATCTATATTGAGTACAACACCATTTTCCAAGAAATATAAAGGTATATTTTCACAAGAAATTGTTAAAGCTAGTCAGATATCAATGAAAGACGTTATATTATTAAGAATCCTCTGATCTTGGTAATACTAGGTAGTTTGCACCAGTTAAACGTAATACTCACTCTTTTGAATAGAACTTGGCTCATTCTTTTTTCGAATTTTGCAATTTTGAATCCGTAAAGAAATCATGAGAAAAGCATAATCAATGTATTTGACCCGATTTTTCGTTTTTAAGTGTCAAAGCGAACTGCAATGCTGGCTGCACCAAGATGGAAGAATGCCAAGCACAACGGAGATCAAGAGTCATACCTCAGCCAAACGTCATCCGTCGCTCAAAGTGCACTTTCTTATATTCCTACAACAAGGATCAAAGAACTAGCAAGACCGAAAAGCTGTATGACACATATGATTACAAAATCCATGGTGTTACAAACTTGAAGTGCTTTTAAATATAATAAAGAGTGCCCGGATCAGTATTGTGATCTTTTAATACCTATGAAAACTAATGTTTACTTGCTTTTGCTGTAGATCTAGTATTCTAAACCTTCAGCTACTGTTCCTTTGTAAGAGAAACTCAGAAAGCCGTATCTATACATATAAGATGGGCTGTTGTATAAGCAGTCAGTGGCAGATCCAGGAGGTGTCCCTCCAAAATACTAAAAATTGAAAATTAAAAAAAATTACGTTTTTCAATTTGCGCAGTTCCGCTCTTCAATCTTCAGTCTGAGATACTCCCTCCCGCGAGACTGACATCCTCCTGAACATGAATCCTGAGATCCTCTTCCCAGCACTTGTATCATATAGACCTCATCTGAAAATATTTTTTAGATCCACCCCTGGAGGCAGATCTTCAAGAATACCAGTGGCGTAGCGCGGGCTTTCGCCGTTCGAGACGGACCGGATATTTACCGCCCCTCGCTATTTTTATTATCAGTTTAGAAAACTAGGTAAAAATCAATTGAAGCATCTTTAAATTCTTTAACTGAAAATGAAATGTTCGTGCTTCTCAAAATCTTTTGTAAAATCGTCAAGATCAATATGATATTTGAAATTTGAAAGACAACGTGAACATATTCGATCTAAAACAGTTCTTAATTAACTTAAGCTTAGAGAAGGTTCTCTAACAATTAGTATTACTAATAGCAGATGAAAAAGAATTCTTAACATCATATGACATTTGGTAAGCTATTTTTAAGCTTGGACTCAACAATGTATTTTCATCAGCCCAGGGAGCTGGACTTATGAGCTCTTTTTTACAGTTCGGTTTTATTCTTGCTACGAAAACTCGTAGACGTATGCACTCAATTTGGAATCCCTCTTTATTAATAACTCAAAATGCTTGATCTAAGGTATTCGCATAATTTCACTTCAGGCCTTAAAAATGCATATTTTTACGCTAAATTCTGCAACTCTGGGAATCTGTCTCCAATTTTATCAATTACCCTGTCTACTGAAGAAAACATTGTTATGTGATGAACGGAAATGATACGTTTTCATTAGAAGAGAAGATCCGTATCAATAAACGGGTTTCTCGGCCTCGAAGATAACTTAAATTTCAAGTTGACCGTATCTGCAGTCAAATATTCCAGAAGCTATGTATTTTCATGACGCATCTAAATGGGCAATGTTTTCCTAGCTCGGGCATACTTTTTCAGATTTCTGACCTATTTTCATGTAATGCTGTTAGATCGGCAAATTATTGTAAGCTGCCGCGATGTGCACAATTTCGTCAGTAATTCTTGCCTGATTCTGTTTAGTCTTTCTGATGAGATGTCTACACATTGTAAACAATATTGCCAAGATATAGTCAAAATATAGCTGATATATCCTAGATATAATATAAGCCCTTTTATACGATCCATTAAATTGGATAACGTGTTCTTCTCATTTTAGAAACTGACTGTTCTTTAGAAGCCCAAGGTTCGCAATTATAGCCTTTTTGTCTAAAACTCGCCAATTTTCAAATATTTAACCAAGGACGGACTTATAACTTATAATTTACATCACTTTATCGGAGCAAAGGGCTTACAGGCTCCAGCAGAATTTAAAAGACGCATACGCCCAGAAATTATAACAACATATTACAAACATTACTTAATTCTGATCATTCTTAAAATATACATGCTAATTTTTGTCTGACAGATTTAAAATGTGCATGGCATCAGCCTGATGTACTTAAGTGATAAAGCCCGTGTTATAAGGAAGGTCATCAACAAATGACAGAATCCACGATGGAAGATTTTTACAAGCTTGAGATGACCCTCATAAACAAAGTGTCATGATCAAGATACTACAACTGTTCACTAATCATTCAGCCCGTATTGGATATGTGGTGTGATGTATCACTTCAACGTTAACCTGAAATATCCTTCAAGTAGCAGACAGTTCAGATAACCATTTAAATCAATTTCAATAGATGCTTATGGCAGAAGTAGCAACTTCAAGAAATAATCGTTACCATGTCTCATAAGTAATACGTTTTGTATAGGTACACCAAAATTCACAAAACTGTTGTATTTTTGCGTATCGCACAAGCAACTCGATCTAATTATGTGATAGTAACAAAACTGATAACATATATCTCCAATGGATTACATGCATCCCATTTGAATCCTCTCATAGTCAAAATGGGGAAGACGCGTTTTCTAATTATTTTAACCGTTGTGGTTTTAGTTCTAGTTGCTGTAAATGCACATTCAGATGAGGGTAAGCGTGATTTTATTGAATGCTTGTGGAGAATACTCTTTTTAACCTAGTTATGTTACTTCAATGATAAGGACAGGTGATATCAACGAATTCGGACTAGCAAACGTGCAGCGTGTTTGTTGCCAACCAAAATTACCTAGTCTGTAGACAGGATGCAAGTTCATGCTACAAGGCTTAAGCCGCCAGCTTGACAGTTGCTGACATTTCACATTCAATTCCTACCTTTCTGCGAAAACATATAAGTGCGTGGGTACCATACAATCCTACTGTCCTAGACAGTTGCTGAAAAATGTTCTGTGGATTGTAAAAAGCAGCTTAATCTGAATAAGAGCAAATATAATATATATACTTCGAAGTTGAGTCATTTATTTTAACAGTGAGTAGATCTGATCAAAAGAAATGTTTTTTTCCTTTACCATTTTTCTGGTAAAATTAAAGTAACAAAGTTATAGCCCTTTGGAAGTTTGAGTACCGTCCTGTCTCAATAATAATATTATGTGCTCGTGTTTGGCAACAACGGATGTAATCCGCCTTATCGGTTCATCGCATCGGAAACAAAAAAGCGAAAGAATTTGGAACGATGTTTTTACAATTATTTTATTCAGTTGTATACAGTCAGTGTCAGTCGGTAACGCGTGAGTGAATAGTGGTGTCTGTTGCGTGGCTCAAACGAAATCAAAAATGGCACATGTTTACGAAAATGCTGAACTTGTGGACATGATTCTTATTTACGCGGCATCACGGATTTATGCGGATGTGAAAATCGGGACAATGGGGTGGATGCTCTAATATTCTCTATTCCTTTCGTTGTAGATTTTCTTTCACTACTCTAGCAACATGAGAGCTTCCCTTCTCCCCCACCCCCCTTCGTCTTAAGTTTTATTATGCAGGTTTCCGTTGTTATGGACTCTAGGTTCTTTAAACACTATGAGCAAGGGTCTTTGCGTGTTTCCATTGCATCCATGGCAGCTTACTGAATGGTTCAAAATAATGACACCAAGATTCGTCGCCAGCAATGATTGACGAAAGAAAGTCATTACCGTTTTGCTTTTATTCCGTGGGATGTGGCAAAGATGAGCCCATTCGCAAGCTTTTTCGGTCTTCTGACAACAGGCGAGGAACCCATTGCGCACAAACTTTGCTGTAACTCAATTTGTGTACGATACTAAGCACAGAACCTATAGTCACACCAACATTTTCTGAAATTGCTCTAATTGAAATTCGATGATTTTCTGTAAGCATGCCACGTTCCTGACTGTACTCAATGCACCTGGTCGCGGCTTATCATTCATCTCTTCCACTCTTAAATTTGCGACACCATCCCTTGACAGTTGGATACGCAAAACATGCGTAAAATCTAGTCAAATACAAATGACAGGAACTGATCAGTGTGACGTTTACAAACACAACTAAAACTGTAAAACGTCAGTTAAGTGATTAGAATTGTTTCCAAGGCTAACCTGACCAAAGATGGGTATCAATTGAACAAGCCCCATATTATATAGTCATCGGCACTGCGAAAAGACATGTTCCTTAGCATTGCGTTTAACCTGGCTGGTTGTGAGGTAACTTTAAATTATTTCAATCCAAATCTTGTTCCATTGATCTTCTCAGTCTCAATCTAAGGTTCGTTAACTGAACAAAAACATTTAGAACTGCAAAGTATTGGAGATTTTGATCGATGTTGAGAAGGACTTTGAATGTATATTTAATATAACTAAACTAAAATCTGACTTCATCTACTTTGATTTTGAATCTAAAATTCTTAAAATACTTTTGCGTTAGAGTAGTAATTCCACAATCTCATCTTAATGTCACGAGCTTCTACGGAGGAAGCTAAGCGCTCAAAAAATAAATAATTTCGTTTGTTTGTCTTTCCTTTTTATTTATTAACGATAACTGATCGATTCACATCGCAACACAGATATTATTTCTGCGTTGCTCTACATAAGTACGAATAGCTACTTGAATATTCTAGCCAGAAAAAAAAAAGTAGATTTGTTGGCTTATCACTTTGGTAGACAATGGTGGTCAAATTAACTAAAAGTATGCACTGAAACTACATAATACGAGGTATGTCTTTTTAGTTATTGCACTCGTTTGCTGGCAGATCCAAAACGGCATTTTTGAATCCGTCAATTGCTTCCTCTGGTGACTGGAACCTTTGACCACGCAGTCTGTGTTTACTTTTCGGGAAAGTAAAGAAATCGTTAAGACTTAGATCGGGACTATATGGAGGATGGTCCAATAATTCCATGTTTTCTTCCGTTAAATACTGCCTTGTTTTTTGGGCTGTGTGCGAGCTTGCATTGTCTTTGTAGAGGATGATTCTTCTTTCGAGGTTGATTTTTCGAAGCTCGGTGATGACTTTTGGCACACAAATGATAGTATACCAATCCGCAGTAACAGTTCTTTGCTCATTAAGATAAAATGTTGCAATATGACCCGCTTTTGACACAAATGTCGCGAACATCTTTTTCGAAACACTTCGAGAACGGATGACTTTTGTTGGCTTTTCTTCACCTTGGAACACCCAAACATCCGACTGTCGTTTATTTTTTGGTTCATAACCGTAAATCCACGATTCATCACCACTAGCAATGCTGTACACATTTTTTGAGTTTTCGGAATTGAAACGGTCAAGCGTTTTTTGACACCAATTAACCCTGGCTGCTTTCTGCTCTTCAGTCAATAGGTGGGATATCCAACGTGAAACTAATTTTCTTACTCCTAATTCTTCATGTAAAATTTTTTTAATTGAGGTCTTTGAGATCTTCAAGGACGTCTCAATCTCGCGATATGTCACATGTCTATCTTCAAGGATGAGTTTGCGCACAGCATCGACGTTTTCCTGGGTGACTGCCGTTTTTGGTGCACCCACCCTGGGATCGTCCCTAAGACTCACCCGTCCACGTTTGAATTGTCCATACCAACGAGAAATTGTCGACTGATGTGGCGCTTCGTTACCGAAAACAGACAGTAACTCAGCAAGGCATTCTTGTTGCGATAATTGTCTCTGGAGGTTGTAATAAATTATGGCGAGAAAATGTTCTCGGTTGAGTTCCATTTTTCTAACGACTTGGTTTCACTTAAAAATTCACTGTAGTGAGAACACTGCACGTATTGTTGTAAAACTTTGGATTTAAGTTTACGAAAGAGTGAGGTTAAGATACAGTACTGACGTTCGATCCGCGCGGCCTACTATGTTTCTATATGAAAAACTTAAAAGACATCCCTCGTATGCATATAGGCTTGGTTGCTCCTAAACTATTCAGATGCGATTCCACCAGTGTGCTGAGCTGTGCGATACTTTAATGCACAGTGTACGGCACAAATGTTTCTTCTGGTCGACTGACTCACGCAAACAATAGCAAATTGTGCGCGAACATTTCGGAAACGTTCGCGTACACATCAGTTACTTTTGTGCGCGCGCACATACAAGCAGTGGACTCGCATCGGCGCGTACATACTTGTTGTTCGCGAACTCAGTGTTGCTTCCACTCCTGGAGTGAAAACATTTGTTTGTACGCGCACTTTTTTTACGAAATTGAAAATGGACTGGACGAATGGTCAAATTATAAGATTTATTCAAGCAGTTGAAACGTATCCTCTTCTACGGGATTCCAGTCACAATGATTATAAGAATAGAAACAAAAAACACGACGCCACTCAAGAGTTGGCTCAAAGTTTCAATTGTGACTCGACTGAGGTAATGAGAAAATGGAAGATTATTTTGGCTCAATACTGAAGAGAAAAGAAGAAAATATCGGATTCAAAATCTTCAGGTTCTGGGTTTTCAGATGTATATAAGCCAAAATGGTTTGCTTATGCATATTTGAATTTCTTTCAATGCAAGGGATGAACCGAACACCAGCATGAACTCACAAGATGAAATAAATGAACAGGTACATTCAATTTTTTTATTATTTTATAACTCTATTATACTTAAGTATGCTTTTTACGCTAGTGTTTCTTGCCATGGCACCATTCCGATGTCAGCTTGAAAATAATTTGCTAGTTCGCATCGCCTGTTGGTCTTCTTCCGACATTTCTTAATGGTAGTAAGTTTGCCATGGGTGCATCGATAGCGCTATGGGTAATTTGGTTTTCAGTATCGAAAATGCCAGGAGAAGTGTAAAGCTGTGAAGACGACTTTTGTGTCATCAAAAAATTATGCAAATAACAACATGTCAGTGTTATTAATTGTGCCTTTTCTGGAGCTAAAAGCATGGGTTTCCTGAGTACGCAAAATACAGCGGACAAAATCCAAAATACATTTTCCACAATACGTCTCGTTCTGCTCAACCGATAATTGAATATTCTTTCTTTCGATCTTTTGTCATGTTGACCGGGATATGGTTTCATTAAATTCATATCTAATGCAAAATCATCGTCTGCAACAATGACATATGGAATTGGTGTCTTCCTCCCGGGTAGCGCAGTAGGTTGGGGTAAATTTAATTGTCCTTGCTGAAGATTAACATAGAAACCCGTATTTTTGAAAACAACACCATCCGATATTCTTCGTTTACAACCGACATCTACTTACGTGAATTTATAATTTGCATGAACCAATGCTAAAAGTACAATGCTGAAATCGCCTTTGTAATTAAAAAAGTCACTTCCAGTATTATTTGAAGCTTGTATAACAATATGTTTGCCATCCATAGCCCCAATGCAGTGAGGGAAATTCCAATGTTTTTCAAATTGACGTCCTATCAGCATCCATTCTTCTGCAGTTTTAGGGATCTGAAAAAGAAAATATTATTTCAGCTAATACAAGAACATACTACAGTAAATGAAAGTCAAGAGTCATCTCATGAAAGGCCAGTAGAAAAGTTTAAGGCTCCAAAGAACTCGTTGAAATGTCGTGCTGTCGATGAAGACCCGAGAATTTCCCATGCTTTGTCCATTATGGACAACGTAAATAAGCAGATGGAAGTAAGAAAACGTGATGATGACGACATTTTTGCTGCAGGCGTCGCAACGAAATTAAGAAAAATTAAAGATGAGCGAAAGAAGATTTTAGTGCAAAGGGACATATGAGGGAAAATATGCTACGACTCCAATTCCTTCACCTTATTCAGATTCGTCAAACTCACAAGGTCAGGTACCGCTTTCCAGTTTTCAAGCCCGCAATAGTGATTTTGACGACGACCTTTTACGCCAGCATAACAGCGAAATATTAACTTGGCAAGACATGTAGCAATAAATGTTAATAAATATGGTTTAGCTTTCTTACCTTAATGTTTTCTTTCACCACGCTTATCAACCCCTTACAAGTCTCAGATACAATCCGAGCAATAAGTTCTTTTGAGACATTAAATAAATACATTAAACTTGCAAAAGAATCTCCAGTAGCAAGATATCTCAGGGTAATTGCTAGCGTTATTGAAACAGGGACACATTTTCTGTAGTTGGTGTCTTGCTTTGCAATATGAGGACTAAGTGCATTGACCAGCAACTCAAAATCTTCACACGATATACGAGTAAAATTTTTAAATCCACTTAAGGGATCTACTTTTATTTCTTCTACAAATCTATTCGTTTCTTCATTCCGTCGCTGTAGAAAAGGCCTCACCCAACATCGTGGTTTTCTTCTTCGTTTCTTTTTAAGCAGACTACATATTAAAACACAAGCTGCAGCACAAATCACTACGTTTTCCTGCCCGTCCATATTGAGAACTGAGGTTAGTGAGAACTTTGTTTGGTAAACATGTTCGTGCACAAGTGTGCTACACTGTACGCTTACAAAAGTTACGCATTGCTTTGCCGGTGGTCACAGAAGATAAATTCGATACCAGTGAGCACGTTCAATGCTCACACAAAATGTTTGTAAACAAATGTGCTGAACACTGTTTTGATGGAATCGTACCTTCAGAATTCGTTGACAAGACCCACTGAATTGTAACTGCCAAACACTCTGGTAGGAACAATACCTTGAAGGTGTGCTCAGAACCCAAGGATGCTAGTATTTTGCTACTATTCGTCATTTGTTTATCTGGAGAGTCCGTAGAACCTTTGCCCATTAGTCACTGTCTAATGCACGTTAGATGTGAAAATTGTCTTGGCCGCCCAGAAACCAAACAATGTCAAGGAAAAATGAGAGAGGGAAAGAGAAGAAAAAAAGAGAAAAGCAAAGGAAATAATAATGTATTAGTTTGAGAGGAAACACCTAGGCTTCTTGACTAGGTACATGGATTAATGTTGAAGTGAACTGAAAACAAATATTGATTAGAGTGTAATCTTGCGAGCCGCGGCTTTGAATGTTCTTGAACTTGCTCCACTGTGTAGTCCACTGAGTCACGCAACAAAGTGTTGATGTGTAATTCCGTGTGACTATAACGTCGCTGCGTCTGAATCTTGACATAATTCGTCAAGTAAGAAATGCCAAGGTCTCTGTGTAGTATATCAGTTTTGACGTACCAGAGAGCGTTGCAAATTGTCCGTCAAGCCCTGCTTTGCAGTAGTAGACGACTTGACAAGGAATCACCAAGCCGCACATGCATAAGTAATGGCTGGTCTAATAATCATTTTATATAGTCCAACTTTGTTTCTCAAACACAATTTGGAGGATCTACATAACAAGGGAAACGAAGCTTTGAGTTTTATTGTCAATGCTGCTGTATGTTTCTGCCAAGTCATGCCTTTATCAAAGGTGACCCCCGAGGTACCGCGACTTTTTGTACAATCAATAGCCAACTTTTTCGAATGGTTAATTTTAATCAGCCACTGTTCCGCCCACTCTAGTGCTTTCTCCACCGCACTCTGCAACCCGTCATGAACCAGATCATCAGTACACGACTGGGCGACAAGTGCAGTGTGGTCAGCGTAGAGGTAGACTTCACAGTTGCTGGGGCAAGGGACGTGGATAAAAAGCGAGCAAAGGATTTGTCCTAGAACCGAGCCCTGCGGAACAACGACCCTTACTGACTGACATTGTACATTTTGATCCGAAGTTTCTTCCCAACAGGGAAGGATGAGTATAGTTCTAGAAGCCAAAAGCGAAAACCCTTTTGGATTAGCTTATAAAGAAGGCCCGCGTGCCACATCTTGTCACCGGTCTTTGAGACATCCAAAAACAAGATGAAAGTTCTCGTGTTGAGGATGAATCCTCTGGTTTCATGTTCCACCAACCTGACTGCCTGTAGCTCGATACTATGCTCCAACCGAAAGCCGAATTGAATGTCAGGAACCACACGGTGATCTGACGAAAGCTTGTGAAGGTGACGATAAATCACCTTTTCATTATTTTGCTTTTAAAATGATAGACGTTGAAATACGCTATCTAAATCATCTTTCATTTACAAACAAGCGTTCGTTCAATGTGAATTTCCACTCTGAATCCATTTTACATTTTAGCTTCACGTGTGTTTTTGCTATTTTGGTAAAGTTATCATCAAACTTTATTTTCAGTGTTATGTACTGAACCTGGTAGGAACCTTTGTGAAAATGGCAACAATCCCTGTATCGATTGCTGCGTTAAGAAGCTGAATGTTAGCGACGTTGGATGCTGGGCTGGAGAATGTTACTGTTTAATATTTGATTGAGGAAAATAAACATTTGATATTTGCATTTATCCTTTTCATTACGAAATTTGAATCTCTTCAAGACTACAGATTTTCAAACGTCTTTTATTAATACCTCGATTCAAACATTTTACATTGCACAAACAAGGTCAAAGGTATTCAAGTTGACAGTTGCTCTGGATACCTTACTTAGGAATCCGCAAGACACAGAAAATTGTATTCTTGATCATGAGTTAGAGTTAGAGTTAGTTTTAAAAAATATCACACATTTTAGAGAGAATGTTTTCACCGACAGCGAATCTTGAGGAATTCGAATTTCATCTCACAATTACGTCATCCAAATTTTCAGCACTTAATTACATGTACTCATGAAATGTACTCCTCGCAATCTTCATATGAAGTTCAATTCACAAAAAAAATCCATGGGGGCCAAATCTGGTGGTCACAGTGGCTGTCCAATAACACAAATGCAGATGCTAGCATTAGTTCTGGAACACTGCATAACAGTCAACATAAATATGTGTTGCCACAACAATTCTGTATGGGTTTTTGCATTCTCGAAGGCATTTTTTAAGGCAATAGGAGCTTGTAGACGGACTGGTGCATACAAAACAACAGATAACCTCGTGCTCGCTGGTCGCTTTGGAGAGCTGTCCTAAACCTAGCGCGGCGCCATTTTAAAATTGTAATGACGGCTTCACACAATCTAACACATGGTACAGGACCATTCAAGCTCCTATTGTAGCACTCTGTATAGTAGCGGTAAAAACAGATTAACCATCAGATGGAAGACATGCAACTATAAAATATATTGCCATTTTTATATTTGTATAGTAAGTGACATATGAAATGCAACACCCAGAATTATTTATTGAATAAAGGCTTGTAAACATATTTGCTATCATGGAAGTATACGCTACGCTGATAAAATGGTGAAGGAACTCCGAGCCGTCGTTTTTTTAGTAAGGGTTTTTTTTGTCATATCAGGATCCTAACAATATGAGTCTGTTCACTTATTGTTCAGTGATTTTTCAGTGTTTGTTCCATTTGTTTCATTGCATTATTATGCACCTAGTCGGCGTTGCATTTTCTATGTCGTTTAGTACATTTTTAAGAAGATCATTGAGGTGGTCGAAAGGTTGTTAAATTGTCAATCCAACGTATGTGGTTCCATTTGGCGGCCAGAGAATAATGGATTTTGATTAGTATGAAAACGTCTATATATACATAAATGATAAGCCCTCACAAAATGTTTCTCAGTGTACGTATTCATTAATAGATTCAATTTGTTTTGTATATCACAATTGATAAGTAGTGAACTCTCCGAACATGCTATGCAAAATCAACGAGCATACTTGAGATAAATAAAATGGACACACCAATAGATAAGAGAAGCTAAATGGTTAATATTTAATATCGACAAGTCAATAATTTTGGGTGCTTCGATCAAAAGTTGCACAGAAGAAGGCCTGTCATCTCAAAATGCAGGTCATCGCCCCTTTTCTGTTCCTGGCACTATGTGCAACAATTGCTATCTGCTCCGAGAATGGTGAGATACCTTTATTTTTTTTTAATTTCGTTATTATTACTTTAAGATGTTTCGTCAAGCTTCGAAGGTTTTAGTTTGAATATTTTAACTTCGAAATCCATTGCAACAAGGTTGTCCTGTGATTAGTAACAAATTATGGTTGAACTTTTGCTTCCATCTTTCTACACAGCGTCAAAGATTCGTGAGTTTATATATTCAAAACACAACACAGATCCAAAGAACAGATTCAGGAATAAACATGTAGTGAACGGTTTGTTTCCCCTGAATAGCAGTTTTTGAAATAGATGCTTTTCGCTGTATCGGTGTTATATAAAGAGGAGTGATACTGATTTTGTCCCAACAGTAAAAAAAACGGTGAAAGTCCGGGATAGTTCATATTTATTTATTTAACAAATTAAGGACATCAGACAAAGGAAACCTCCAGAAAAGATATCCACAGTATAGTTAAACATACTATTCAATTCAGTAACGAGAAGCATGGGAATGGGAACATAGCTTACTATGGCTGTTCAGATTTCTTTACATTCGTATAGTGGAGGATTTAAATCAATATTAGTTCTGGAAAACGGAATATTGAAGCTATGTCTAGGATTCACTCTTATCGGACATTTATATTGATTTTCAATGAAGGGTAAACGAATTCAACTTGATTGTTCAAAATTCTGTGAAGAAAACATAAATCAAATAATACCCTTCGCTTAGCTAGATGTAGGATCTGTTCCATTACTAAACTATTCTCGTAATTATGGTCAATGATACTCGCCTTATGAGCCATAATTTGCAAGAATTTATGTTAGACAGACTCAATTCTCCTTTAGTAGACTTCGTACTGTGGGTTCCAAATAATAGAAGCGAAAGAGAGATTACTATGTGTAAACCCATAATATAGTGATAACAGGGAAGCAGGGTTGTTGAAGTATCTAAAGTGTCTTCTAATTTAGCCAAGTACGAAACATTACGTATTTTCCATATATACTCAATAACAAAGAAAGTAGAACAAACCGCAAAAATGATTTTATTTGAATAAAATTTTGTATACTAGTTGACAGTTAACATATGCAAGAGGAAGTTGTGAATAGATTTTGAGGCGGTGATTTGTGTTTTCTTGAGGTATCTCATCCCAACCTAGTTGTACTTTGTTCGACGAGCTGCTACCGAGCATGGGGAATGAGATAAAGAGATCATTTTAGTTTGCAATATACCTCACAGGTTCAATAAGCAAAAGGTCTCGAGATTTAAAAGGCCAAAGCAAAATGCTGGCTTGAGCGACATTGATATATCCAGGAAATACCGAGACATATTTGGTCATTTCTCCAAACGTTTTAGAGCACTATTTTCTAACAAGGTAATGCCCCTTCACATACTTCATTGACCTCCAGTATTTCGAGACCTTACACCCATCAAACAATGGTGGTATGGGATATTATGAGAGGAAAAGCTTTGTTTCACTTTCATCCAAGGACTCTTTGGAACCAAGTGCAGCTAGTTTGGGACCACATACCTCAAGAAAACATCAATCACGTCCTCAAAGGCATACCCTGGCGACTGGACAAATGTATAGGTATCGGGGTTGAACAACACATTGTTAGCGAAATATTTTTAATTTTTTAATTGTTTAGTTGCTTATGTCTAATTTTTTACAAAATTGCATCCAAATAAAATCGTTTTTTCTGTGTGTTCTATTATCTTTGTTACTGAGTATATTTTTTGCATTCAAACCTCATCCAAATATACTATTTGTATATTAATAAGAGGTTCTTTACGTAAACAATTTTTAAAGACTGGAGCCTCTTCGAGAGTATTTGCGTTTGCTGTCTATATTTACCACATCTTTTTGAGTGCCAGAAGGTTGTCATTGGAACTTCGGAATAATACTTCTGAATGCATATTTGAGAAAAAAGTTTTTCAATTGAAAACAAATACATTTCATTTGTTGTGCCTTTATAGTTGAAAAATTAACGTTTTACAACTACATTGCCTCCTCCTTAGTTTTTCCTAATCGGTTAGATTGAACCAAATAATGTTTCATTTGTAGATGGCCTAGAAAGAGTTAGGGATACCCTGAAGCAACTTGAAGTTGGAGAAAAATTACCACGTAGTATCTACAAAGATACCATAGCTAAATTGAGCAATGAAAAATTCTGCCAGGCATGCCATGAAGTGGTGAAAGCGATCATCAAACAAAGAAAAATGGGATCTAGCAAGGACAGCATGAATGACTTTTTGCGTAAAATGTGCAACTTATATACAGAGTACGGTACTACTGCCTGTAAGGGCTATACAGAAATAAACTTAGTAAGTAAAAAATGAGGTGTCATTTAATTTAGACTACAAAGATACTTTAGTGATTTACTGTCTGATTGCTTTTTTGAAAATGAACAGACAAAAACGCCTAATTCAGAATTCTACAGTAAGCTTAATTTTTACATAATTATAAACGTTGCAATATCTGATATAAACGTAAATGCAAAAACGTGTGACTAGGTGGTGTGGCTTCAAAAACGCTTGCCGAGTCTTACGCATGTTTGATACGCAAATTATCCAAACTGAGCTTCTTGGTCTGGAGTTTACGTCAACTGAGGCGGTACCACCCAGCGAATGTTAGAAGTGGAAGTAAAATTTGTTATTCCCCTATTAGAGAGGGCCTAATGGACATACAATGTAACGCGGTAAATCTGTTATTTTGATATATGTAAGTGTAGCAGTTCGAACTCGTTCTAGGACGTTATCCTGTACATAATCGACAACAAACATGATCTAACTCCGGAGAGGGTTTGTGCCATTTTCCATCAGGCAAAAAAATGTGTAGATCCAAAAGCGAAGAAGTGGATAATTGATATTCCACCAGCATCACACAATGAAAACAGCGATGAAGTAAGTATATTATTTATAGAAAGTAGAGGTATTTTGATGAATTAACTCGGCCATACTTAAAATTGGAGATGAGGGCATATTTTCGGATATATCGAACTCAGAAATTCCTTTTCCAACACTTATCACGATGAAAGCACAACTAAACGTCTCAGTATGTACATCTATATCGAAAAATTAGTTAGTAGGCTCATTTTTTGCATTATCTTACAAATTCTAGCAGAATGAAGTACCTATCTATAAAATCTGGAACGTTTTGCAAATTACCGATGTTCACTATGACCCGTTATACAAGGAAAATACTCAGTCAGTCTGTAACAAACCTCTTTGCTGTCAAGACGGGACCCCTACAAAGCCTGAAGAGGCAGCTGGAAAATGGGGTGACTACCACGTTTGTGATTCACCACCAAGGCTCTTCAGCAGCTTATATGAGCGGGTCAAGAGTAAGCACGTGAGTATCAGATCATAAAATTGTCAAATCGGTATCCAGTACCAGTGCTTAAAAGCACACACGCTATTGGTAGTTTGACCGCAATCTACAGAAATATTTGGATTTTTTTTATTCGGTGCTTTTCTAAAAGTTCTGCCCCTTACAAGTTATTAGACGGCTGAAGTTGACAAAATTACGGTGATGTGATTGATGTACGAATACTAACGTAGAAGCCACAATTGAAGATTTTGAGGTGGGGACTCACAGCGGTCTATCTATGCGAAAACCTAGCAAAATCTGATAAAACGAAGCATCAAAAGTGAATTAAAATTATTACCCATTTCAAAGTTAATAACTTAAGCTGTAAGTTGGTTATGCAACCAGGACTGTACCATGACTATTAAACTTGAAGTTTGTGGTGTACCTTTTAACAACAAAATTTGAGAGTCTGTGTATCATCCGTTCTGTTGTATGTTGAAAATATTTAAACATCTAAATAAGGATGATAAAGAGAGTACGAACTTTCATCGAATGTAATAGAAATCTGGCATTATTGATGTTTTCATGTACACCGCGAGTTGAATTGTATACTGTTTTTAGCATCACTTCATTATATCAGTATCATTCAGACAGGTTTTTAATATGATCCCGCCCTTTACACCAATTGGAATAAATGATGTTTGTGAACCTTAAAGTACCTCAACTAATATTTACTGTTAGCTTTTACTAACTTTTGCAAGGTATTGACGAATATAACCGTATATATTGCCATATTATAGCAGGTAGTATGTAACGGTTATTCAAGTTTTTTAAATTTATCCTTTGAGTATACTTAGAATACCCTTGGAATGCCTTCCTAAAGACAAAGTGATCTCCGATTTCGAACCGCGAAAACCTAAATGATATGCGTTTTTGTGTGAGTGGACGGCTAGGCTTAGTGTAAATGTGTCCTGATTCAAACTAAGTATCCAGAAAAAATATAAATGACATGCGGTTTGGGGTTAACTGCTTAGCCTCTTTTGAAAATGTCCTTATTGAACTGAACTTCAAAACCACTATTAGAGACAAACTAACCTCAGATTTGAAATCACCAGCCCAAAAAGACATGTTGCACTAATAAATAATCATACATGTGCCGAAGAAATTTTACTTTTGCCAACTTTTCGGCGTTCTAGAACCATGTGTAACTGGGCGCCATTTTAGAACATTTTCAAATTCGTACCTCAGAGCCAGACTAGGTTAAGTTCAAATAAGTAGTTTTAAGATAATTGTATTCGAAATATTTTTCTTTCATTATATTGTATGCGACATGACATGATTTAAAACATCGTAACTTCCTTATTATTACAGATAGATGGACGCTGCATGTACCAAATAATAATTCACAATATTATCATGAGCTTAACATATTGAACTCATTTTCGACAAAAATGGACTTAATCTGTCTGGCTCTGGGGTACACAGATAGAGTGGCGGATCATCTGATAGCTCATTCTACAGCTCCTGAGAGTATAAATTTACTATCTTCCAAAACGACGGACTAGCAGACTGTCAAAGTTGAGAATCTGAATCGCTTCTTGCTCAACAACTGATTATCAAAGTCTCTAGTAAGTTATATCGATCTTATTGATCTATATTACACAGTCCGTTTGATTAGATTGAAATTTTGACAATACTTCTATGGTATACTTATTCCATATTTGATTAATCGAACGAAATCTACCGTTTAGTTACTGAGATTACCCATACAAAATTCACATGGGCTTCTGTGAGAGAAATGTTATTGTATTATTCCAGAAACAAATTTATAGGAGTATTTAAATAGCTGATCATATAAAACTAACGCGGCGCTAAAACGTTATTTTAGACTTCCCGAAAAAGCGACTGTCCCATTTGTGGAATACTTAGGCTCGGAAGTCGTTAGTCCAAGATCCCAGGGTTAACTTATTTTCGGGGAGACAAAATGTGAGGCATTGGATAAATCGAGTTCATATTGTAACGAAAACACCGTCTTACTGCTTCAAGTCTAATTTATTACTTTCACACTTGCAACTAATTTATGACTATATCGACTGGATTGTTCCATGTTGACTTCGCAGTTGATGACTCATCATCCGCTCACTATTATCCCTGGTGTCAGGTGTGAGGTATTTATTTGATATCGAAGAATTCCAGAGCATTCTCGCGATTTAGCGAAGTTCTGGACGATGTCGATCAATACTTCCAAAACGTTTCCGATGTCGGTGGACCAACACTGGTTGCCTAAACGTCGACATTGTGAGGGCGTCCCACAGTTGATCAAGGTGCCAGTTACGACGGCGTTACTTTGAATGCCTGCAATCTTCTAAGTTTGGTAGACGGCTGATTCACCGATACCGAAAGTAGGTCCACGTATAGTCCGATTTTGTAGCTACTAGGCTTGTTAACTGTAGTTGTTTAACCGGCGGTTGGAGAGCAATTATCGCGCTGGGAATAACTTACACACATACCTTCAATTAAAAAAGAATGAATGCAAAGAATAAAAAAAGTCTTAATTGTAGCAAACTTCTTGGACAAGATACTTTGACACGTAGAACTTGCAAAACAGACCAAACAATATTAATTATTTTCAGTTAGACAGCCTCGATGCTGTGTATTTTACTGGAGACATTATAAGCCATAAGTCATGGAGTACCTCGAAAGCCTCCAACATAGCTGATATCAAAGGATTCTACAAAGCTCTTTATGACACGTTCAAAGGAAAAGGGGTATTTCCTATCCTGGGTAACCACGAGGGTCATCCAGTTGATTGGTATGTACATGTAACATAATATCATTGATTAAGGTGCTCTACTTGAAGATAGCAAATATAACGCTATATTCTCGCGTCCAAAACATTATCGGAGCTAAAATGAAATACCGTACCGTCATCTATCAGAATGTGTGACAACTGTTTCTCTGTTACGATATCTATACTTTGAAAAAATTAGTGACTCATAGATGAGCCTGTAGCCAACTATAAGAGAATATACGAGCATACCTATAGCTATGAGATACTAACCTTTTCAAGGTACATAGTGAATGGAGAAACAGTTGTGACACATTCTCATAGATGACGCTGCGGTATATCCTTTTATCTGGAGTATTTTTGTGAATGCGGGAATATAACATCAACTAATCAATGGTAATACCAATAAAAATAGATATCGTTAAAAAAGACTGCTGTTTGAAGGAGATCTATCGAATATTTTGCTGCTTTAGATGAATCTTATTGTTATCCAAGGGAAGCATAGACCTTGGTGGTATTAATAAATATGCTCATTAGCTTTGGTTATCGCTTTATTTTCTCAAACAACTTTGGTTTACATCAAATTTATAATCGCCACTTGACGGCTGAGTGTCTATTGAAGGTTGATCAACCTTTGAAGAAAAAGTTTTGTAAGTTATACAGACTAAAAATTTAGAAAAATCTGTAGATACGAAAAATTTGAAAACGGTGGAAATTTTCGAAATCTTCTAAAATGTTGGAAATTTTGGTAGCTTCGAAAATCTTTTAAATCTAAGATTTTAAAAATCTAGAAAATCTTTGAAACAATCGAAAACTGAATAGTGAGAAAACAATAATTAAATACTTTGTAAATATCGTAATACTGAAAATGTTGAGGAAAATTTTGGAGACTTTGAAACTTGGAATTCAGTTCCAACCAGAGTTATCAAAAGTAGTATTTGATTACTTAGTTTTTCAGTTGAATAATTAATTGATGTTTCCGATACTTTTTCAGTCTTTCTCCCGAAAGTGTTACCGACAGCAACTTGTCAACGAAATGGCTCTTTGAAGAAGCCTGGAATGCTTGGTCTAAGTGGCTGCCAGGAGGCGCTGAAAAAACAGTTAAACATGCTGGATACTATTCTGTTCTAGTGAAACCTGGATTCCGGATCATTGGTATCAACAGCAATTTCTGTTTCGTGCACAACCTGTAAGCTTCTGTTTCATCCACAGTTATACTCTTCAGACGTCTATCTAAATCCAATGAATATCGTATTTTACCTACTATGTCTATACCATAAAAGACCACCAAATATGATATCTCAAAAAATATGTTAAAATATTTCATGCTTTTAGATGGTTGTTCTATGAGGATGAAGATCCCTACGGCCAGTTAGCTTGGCTGGTTCAGGAACTGTTAAAGGCAGAAAAGAACCATGAAAAGGTGCACATTCTCTCACATGTACCTTCAGGTCATGAACTCTGCCATCTGCAATGGAGTAAGAATTATCGTATGATTGTAGAAAGGTAAATCTTGTAGGTGAATTACATTTTACTTGAAATTATCTATTTTTTCTATTTCAGGTTCAATGATACAATTGGGGCCCAGTTTAATGGCCATACTCATATTGACGAAATTGAAGTTTTCTATCCAGAAGGGGCCGAAACTGCTGTAAATGTTGCATTTAATGGAGGAAGCCTAACTCCGTTTATTGGCAACAATCCTAACTACAAAATGTATCAGATAAAACTATCAGATGCTGTAAGTACATATTTTAAAACCCAGACTTCCGAACCATCAGTCAATGTCAACCCACAGAATTGAAGAATTTTTTAACCTGTATCAGGATCACAGAACCAGCGGGTAGCGGAAGAGGTAAATCTGCGAGAGGCTACCTCGCATTTTTATAATTCTGGTAACAACTTTTTAGCATTACATAATGATTTTCTGTATAACATGTGCAGTAGAAATAGTAACAGTACCCTTTAATTCCTTCTCACATTTGCTTTTGATTCTAAAATGGCTTTTTGGATGTTGTATGACATGTACACAGTGGCCCCCCTAGACGTCTGACACTTGCTTTTGTAATCTAACACCATTGTGTTACTTTCTGAAACATCATGGCGACAGAGGCATACTAACTATAAGTTATAGTTCCTATAGGAACTGAGTATTGCGATTTTTTGGTATCGATTGGTATTGTCCCTCTTTGACATCACTTATGTTTACAACACAAATCTTACGATTCGTAGGTATATACGAATATTGTGACTTGGGACAAACCTAAGTTTGAATAATATTTTAACTTTATAGATTGCACTTAAAAAGTGATTTATGTTCTGTTTGTTGCTCAATAGTACTTTGAAAAGTGTGTAAAGCTTGACTGATTTTGTTCGAGGTTGGTGTTGCAGCGAAGCACTATGCTAGATGAACGCCTAAATTGGAAATATACAATTATGAGATTTGTTTAGCAGTGCGCCTGTGGCCTGTCTGAGAAAATGCGTCGATCAATGCTCACGTCCCGTATCTTTTCCCGCGTCTGTTGCTACGAGTATATTGAATTCGTTTAAATCACAGAGCTTCTGCACTACACGTGAATATGTACAGCTCTGTATTCCTGTATTTGTTTCGTAAAAACATACAGTATCAAAATAATTACGATCTAACAGATATAGTTTTTTCCAAAGATTTCCAATATATTTACATATGATCAACACCGATTCGAAAACGGATAAAACAACAACTATGCCGTAAATTTAAGTTCGACAACGAAAGCCTGAATAATAACTGTAAGATCTATATTAAATTTTAAAAAATAGTTGACTATACCTATCGATATTTTTATCACTTGCTGATATAATAGAAGTGCTTGATTGCACCAATTACTTGATTTGTTTAATGGGCAGTTCAGAGTCTTAATCCTTAACTTAGTATATACCAGTAGACCCAGTTGCGCAATTTGTCTATAGGCAGTCTGGAGACGGTCTCAAGACACGATCTTTACCATAGATGGTCTATTTGATGATCCCGGATCATTTTACCCTACCCAGAGAGGGATCATTTTGCCTTGAAAGTATACATATTGCATAACTTGATGCCGGCTTTGTTATATTCTCGTAAACTCGTGAAACAATACACAAAATTATGTGTTTTCATAAAATGTTTTGCAATTTAATGTTCCTAATACTATAACACTGCTACTACAATATGTTAATAGCACTTACCTAAGATCAAAGAGCACAAAAACCTGTTTTCACAAATATTTTTATTAAGACGTTGTTCCCACGTTCACTTTCAGTGCTGAAGTAAGTATGGCGACTCAAATGATCGTAGACACCCACTCGAATCAAAGAGGGCAGCATTGGTATTAAAAATAAAGAGAGGAATCATTATGCCCGCAGGGATCATTTTGGGCCACCTTCCCCTACTACTATTCCGACGACGAAAAAGCTTTGTAGTTTTTGAAAATCCATTCAGAGGCTGCGGCCCTCCAGGCAAAAAACATAAAAAAAAATAAAAATCGCTTTTTGACTCTTGATAGGATCGCAATCATTTTTAGAAAAATTTTGCAGTGGTTAAAAATAGGATGTTGGGGGCTGTAAGTGATGGGGGCGAGTACATGTCATTTGTTTACTCTAGCAATTAATATGTCTCCAATTCCGGTAATTCTGCGCACCTATTAGACATATATATCATAGATTTCCCCATACATTTTGGTCCCTAAAATTTGAATGATGGAGATATACGATATACGCGTGCCGAGCGAACGTATTTCGGCTCCGAATGGGGAGGGATAACTGATCCAAAACTGAGTGAGCTATGATGCGTGTATATATCCGTGTGTTCTTCGCCGTGTTGCGTTGGCTTGATGCTAGGTAGTCGGTACTGTTGATAGGGCGGTAGGCTAAATCGCATTGTTGTCATATCTGTGGAGACTATGGACTGAATGTTTAAGTCTGTTTGAACCGACATGTTCCCTTTAATTCCTTTGTAATCATGTTCATAGCCAACTGTTTTCTAATCAATCTACTTGACGCCATTGTATCTTGTTATTTCTTATTGTTGTTGCAGACTGTCCAGGACTACCAAACTTACACCTTCAACATGACGGAAGCAAATAAGGATTCTTCGCCAGAATGGTACGAGCTTTACTCCTTCAAACAAGCGTACGGTCTACAAGATTTGAGTAAAAAAAGCCTTACTGAATTTGTGCAAAAGCTCAATGAAGACAAAACGCTACAGCAAAAATATTTCGAGTTCACAATCAGAAACAGTGATATGCTTGTCAACGCAGGATGCGATGATAAGTGTATGAAAACACTGACTTGTAAAGTCACAGCTGTTGAAGCAGGAGATGCCCTAGACAAATGTTATGAAAATTTATAAAAATAATTGTTAAATAAATTTGAATCATTAATAATGTTTTTGCAGTTTTGCTAAAGTCGTCCTTATTTTTGCATGCTCCCCATTTGAAGTTTAAGAGGTGACGGCCCTAGGATTGTATAGACCTAGCTTAGGGCCGGTCCTGTGTAAACTCAAGTGGAAGCTCGTATTACCTGCGAATAGATCGATAGTCACCGCTGGGTTTAGCGCTGGTGTAGGATTACGTTAGTGTTCGTCCTATCTCAAACTAGATATAAATCTTGCTCTATCTTTCACTGTCAATTGTCAACTTGACTAACCCAGGTTTGCCATATTGGGCGGTTTCTCCTTTATGGAATTTTTGGGGGATACAATGGTCTAAGGATTTTTTGGAGGGAAATGAAACCTTTGGGTGTTTTTGGGGTATTTCACCATCTTTAACAACACAAAACTGTGCACTTCTGAATTACGATTTTACCTTTCTGTAGATTTTTCTTACCTCATTACCGGAACACCTCCAATGTCAGTTGTATGTTGGTAGAACTGTATCCATAGTGATAAGACAGAAAAAAAAACAGAATAGTAAGATGTAAAATCGGCCGGTTGATCTAGCGATTTTTGTCTCACACTTGTTTCGAGAGGAAAAACTAGATGACAACTGGTCTTCGCGATATTGCACCGTTTTGTCCGTCTTAAAGATTCACGGGTCTGCGATTACACAATTGAGTTCATGTGCAACCAGGCGGTGCAAAAAAACATAAATACTGGCCACGTTCACAGAATATTTATATTAGAAAAAAATTGAATTACAAAACACAGGGTTTGCAAACAACTTACCTTTTTATAAAGACATAAATCACACTTTCGCGGATAGAAAGCACTCCAATCCCCATTTTTCAAGCAAACTAATCTATATCTATTTATATAGTGAATTGGGGGATTTTTAAAAGCAATTGCGATTCTGTCGAATTTTTGTAACTGTTCTGTGGGAATTCTTCTTGATCCACCTGGCATCGCTGTTTTAACTGTCATATATAGGAATGTTGTTTTTGTCTTGTCAGCTGACAGTTTAAAATTTTTAAAAGACGTAAAAATAGAATTTGTATGACAACATGTAATTATTGCTAGTTTTGTATTGTAATAATTCCTCGATAAACAAAATGGGTAACGCAGGCAGTGGAGGCGTAAGCAGCAGGGAAAGGCAAAGATCCGGAGAAGTTGCACCTTCTTCCCCGACAAAGGAAGGCCAAGCATTTGTGTTCGACAAGAAGCCAGAAAAACTTCAAGGTTTCCAAGATGACGAAGGTCCTTACTTCACGAAACCAGTTACTTACGAGCCTCCAAGGACCAGGGCAAATACCATTTCAGAGACACCTCAACATAGTACACCTAGAGAAACCAAAACGCCCACAGTTTTTAGGTGGGAAGGAGGAGGAAATGAAGTACTTATCAGTGGCACTTTCTCAAACTGGCAGACTATTCCTATGGTGAAAAGTCATGGAGACTTCGTCACTATCATAGAGCTGCCCGAGGGTGAACATCAGTATAAGTATTATGTTGATGGTGAGTGGAAAAATGATCCATCCAACAAAATTATTGAAGACGAAAGTGGTGAAAAGAAAAACATTATCACTGTCAAACGTTCTGACTTTGAAGTGTTCCAAGCACTTGCCAAAGATAGCGAAAATGCTAAGGATGACTCCCAAAAGGAATTTGGACAAGAAATACCAGCTAACAAGCCTTGGGAGAAGACTTCAGGGCCTCCAATTTTACCTCCACATCTACTTCAAGTGATATTAAACAAAGACACACCTTTGTCTTGCGAACCTACTTTGCTACCTGAACCAAACCATGTTATGTTAAATCACTTATATGCCTTGTCAATTAAAGATGGTGTAATGGTTTTGAGTGCCACCCATAGATATAGGAAGAAGTATGTCACAACGCTTTTATATAAGCCTATTTAAGTTGTTAGAGCGTGACCAGTTTGAAATTTTTAGGAGTATCAAGGTTTTTGCTTGTATTTTATAGCTATATTTCTGTTACATTATACAATAAACTAACTGAAGATTTTCCTTGACTTTCTTGATTTGTACTCATAAAAATTCCATACAAAAAACTAAAAGTTTTGATCTATGAACTATCTTTTTGCTTATTATTTCTGGCACCTTATATTTAAACAGGTTGCTGCTTAAGGAAAAATTTATTAGCACTACAACAGTAGGTCAAGAAATTTGATGCTGTTATGTAGTCTTTTTTATGCTAGATAATGCATGAAACATGCTGCCATGTCTTCTAGTCCCTTATCCAGATTATTTTTTAATAAATTGATGCTTGTTACATTCACAGTTTCTTCACTAAGAGTATGTTTTTCTAATTTTTTGGTATTCCCTCAGATATGAAGATTCTGTTTCATTCAATTTTTGAAGGGTCCCCTTGTAGTCTTTGCTTAACAAGTGTTGACAAATTCATTGGCCTTAGATGCTGTTCATATGGGAAATGTCAAATATCTGCTGGAATTCTTATTTTAAATTACAATCTTTCCAGTAGTTCGATGTCTTTGACAAAATAGGGACATAAGCTGTGTGTATGTTCAAGTTTTAGTTTAATAGCTTTTCTGTAATAGCAAAAGAATGGTTTTTAGCAGCATTTGCAATCAAATATAACAGTGAATTGACTTTTTTATTACATTGGTAATGTGAGCTTCCCATTTTAAATTATGTAACTCCTAGATCTTTCGGGTACTGTATATTTTCAACTTTTACAGGGTTCTAAAAAAACAAAAGCATTTGAGCATATATCTGCTACTGTAAGCTTAACCATGTTTCAAACCAAAGTCCTGTTAGACTAATGTTAAGTGCTGGCAGAATACTGTAGATTTTTTTTGATTGGATGAGATAAATTCTCATTCATTTTTCTATGCCAATCTTGGTATACACTACCAACTTAAAATAAATAACACATATATATTGATTGAATATTGCCATCTATAGTACGACTATTCAAGCTAAAGATGTATAAGAATCAGTTGATATACCCCTTCAAAGCGAATAAATGTAAAGATCTTTAGATGTGCCGATATCTTTTTTAGTTCATTGCAGTCATAAATTGGCCAAATTCCTGCCACTGTTAACTTTTTTTGGTACTATGTATTATGTTCGCCCTAACATGATACATAATCATTCTGGGTATCGATGAAACAAAGTAAAAATTGTACGTAGTTTAGTATAAACTACTAGCCGATGTGCTAGGGTCTGGTTTTTTAAAAATAATCGAAACTGGTAAAGACGGGTAACGTTTCTATTGAAAAATGGGGTGCAGTGTGTGCCTTACGTGATGAGGGATTGCCCATTCGACCGATTGCTGAAAGGCTGCATATAGGACGGAACACGGTGTCTCAAACTTTGAAGAAAAAGAGAGAAACAGGCATCGTCCACGCTCTGGAAGACGCAGAGCTACAACTGTTCCTGAAGATAGAAGATAGGCTTATAGTAATAACAAGTAAGCGAAATAGACACTTAACTGAGCCTAAACTCACACACAGCTTGAATAGAACGAGCCAAAACTGTTTCCGTGTCCACGGTAAAACGCCGCTTACAAAGGAGTACCCTTAGAGGATGCGCGACGTATGCACAAACGCAACCGGTTAGCATGGGCTCAAAAACGCAAAGATTGGAATTCAGTCCTTTGGTCGGATGAATCCAAATTTGAAATGTTCGGATCTCGACGACGACAGTTTGTATGCCGCAAACCCCATGAACGCATGGCTGCAAGCCCACTGTTAAACATGGAGGTGGGAGTGTAGTGGTTTGGATATGTTTTGCTGGAAATCGACCAAGAGGTTTGGTTCGTGTTGAGGGTATAATGCGAAAAGTGCAGTATTTGGAAATATTGAAAAACCATGCTGTTCCCTCAGGACAAAGGATTGTTGGGAACAATTTTGTATTTCAGCAAGGCAACGACCCTAAGCATCCATCTCGACTACGCCGCAATTATTTGGACCAGCAGCAAGAACTTGGTGCAATGAAAATCGTGACGTGCCCTTCCCTTCTCCTATCGAGTATTTGTGGGATACATTGGACAGACAGGTGAAGCAACAAGAGCCTATTAGTGCTGCAGACTTGTTTGCTAAACTGCAGGAAGCATGGGTATCCTTATCACCAACTATTCTTGAAAATTTGATACGTCGATGAGTCGTGCCTGTAATGCAGTTATTTGGGCTCGTGGTGGACATTTCGATAAATCACGAGTTTGCAATAAATTTTAATAGGAATAAGTTACCAACCAATTAAGTTTCAGAAGAAAATAAGTCTTTTTTATTTTTTTGATTAAAAACACTCGATGGTTTGATTTCCCTCAAGAAATCTACTGTCCCAAAACTGTTGAGCGGTAGTGTATATAAACATTAATACACGATAATGCTAAAAATGGTTGATATATTTTAAGATTGTTACATATCACATGATTTTAACACAGCAAAATAAAACTAACATAAATTAGTATGGTAATAATTAATCATATGTTCCAAACACTGAAGCATACTGGATCCATTACTTGCACTTTTAAATTATCAACCAATGAGTTGGCAAGTAAGTTATGATCCAGCAATCAAATTAATATGCCACATAAATTTTATTTCAAAAATGATATCAGAAACTCAACTACTACCATGGGAGCCCGCAGGGAGATGCCAGGAAGAGCCATGCTCCACCTCCCTGAGAATCTAGTTGCACCTTAAAATTTTAATAAAGCATGACTTTATATAAAACTTTGAGGTTTTGTAGGATATGCCCATCCCCTGCTTCAAAAAGTGTTTGCGCCAGGCCTGCACTTCACAGAAACGCATGATATGACCATAAACATAAATGATGGTAACAGCTACTGGTCTTGGGATTTTGCTGACTTGGATGCTTCATCCGGATCTTTAATGCTGTCAGTACTATTTGCGGCATGTGCTGTTGGAGGCGCTAGATCCGCGCTAGGAATTCGAGGCCTCCTGATGCTTGCTTTGTGTTCTACAGGTTTTAGAGTGAACAGCGAGCCGAAATAGACGTGCTGGATGACTGGAAATTTATTCAAGACCTGAAATATTAAACATTTTGATAAAATTCAAATATAAGAAGCGTAGAAATCGGTGGAAAAAAATTCCAGCAATATCAGATATTTATTGCCATAACTAGCAAATATGAAATTCTGTGATCCAAGAGCCCATAGACTACAAAAACATTGAAACTAAAGTTACTTGATTTTTCTTCCAATATGCGAATTTTAGCAAAATTTTACCTCAGCCTTATACATCTTTATCAGGCCACTGTTTATTTTGGCCCAACCTGAAACACCACTAATGCTCCATAACTGGTTTGAATGTTCAGCAAAAGGACCACTTTTCACTTGATTGATATACTGGATGCATCCAAAGAACATATATTCCCCTGCATATGTATTTACAATTTCATCTTTCAGGAATGATGTTGGCTCAAATTTAGGATTTCCTAGAAAGAGAAATTGTTGTCACTTTCATAGTTTAGTTTATATACTAAGAAAGTGAGATGACGCCTCTATTGTTATGCAAATCTTAACTTCACCAATTGTTTTAGTAACATGCAGCCATGCTACTGAAATATGTATGCAGAATTCTTATTGACATTATCAAATGAAATTTAAGGATGAATACTAACCAATAAGTTGAGAACTTCCCCAAATGAAAGGCACAAACTGGAAGTCATCCAAACTCCAGACACCATGGCTTCCAGCTGGCTCCATTCTATATGTAATTTGTAACTTCCTCACCACATCTAAGTACCTATGAAACAAATCCACCAGCCATTAACACAGCAGATTACAAGATGGTATCTTTTGGTTACATGTTATAAAGTTTTGGATTAAGCTTTAGACATCTATATGAATATTATGAAATCACAAGTATTGTTTTTATTTCCCATGCCTAGTGGCGAGAATGTATTGTGATCACTGAAAATGAGACATTTGTTTTTTTTTTTTGATGTCATATAGCATGTACATATATCATGAAAAACCATGTCACCCATTTCCATCAGTCTGTCTGTCTGCTAACTCTTGGCCAGTCTCAATTATTTTAACGAATAGATTTTGGTCAAATTTTCACACCACGTAACTGCAATGCCTAGGACGAAAAAGGTTTGTAATTTTTGAAAATCAATCCAGTGACGCCGGAGCTAGAGAAAAAAAAAGAAGAAACAAAAAGCACTCAAACGTTTTTTAACGTTTAGAAGCCTACCGACCAGTTCTAGAAAAAAAATTGTAGGGGTGAAAATTTGAGGTTTGTTATTGTATGAAGGGATGGCGGGGGGTGTTAGCGTTGCATCTTTGGTACAAATCAGACGTTCTATGGTTACGAAGCTTGTTGCCTCAGTAGTCACGGGAAATTAAAATCACAAAAATCCGACGAATTGTGAGCACACTAAATAATCTACCACCCACGATCCTTTGACGCTACAACGCCGACGCGACAACAGCCGATCAACGGCATGGAGGCCAGGGTAAGGCGGCACGACGAACAGGTATCAAATGAAATTATAATCAGGACTCCCTGATAAAATAGTCATTTGAGAATTAGCAGTTGATATAAGTAGGTACATACATATTTTGCGTAGATAAGAAAGTGACTCCTGGGGCCGCAATACAAGAGGGAAATGTGGTTGAATTGATTGACTCAGTACTTGTCACGCATCACATACAACTTTACTCAAACTCCTTTTACCTATGTATATATTCTTCATTTCTGAAAAACGTTTCCTGAAGGGACAGCAAAATATAGTTTTTGACGAACCCTAATACATGTCACGATTCGAATATTTGAGCAATTATAATCCTGTAAAACGCTGAAAAACACAGTTTGGTAATTTTTCAATTGTTTAATTCTGATCAGAAAAATATGTATAGTTGTAGTCACCATTCTTACGCCATATGAAATAAGAAAGAGGAAACAGATCGAGTCTCGGTACCATGGGCGGAACACTGCGCAGACTAATCTTCAGCGCATCTGCTACTTTCTCCAGTACGCAACAAGGGACTGATGTTTTCATTATCTTCCTGGAAATACTATAATAAATTTAGCACCAGCTGTCGGCCTTCTCTATTGATCGTATTTCAGGGCATTGTACAATTTTATATTGAAGACTAATAAGAGGACAACTCGAATTGCACGCCGATGTCAAGTAAGTTGTCACTCTGACAAAAATGATTGAAGGGCACTCATATGTAACGACAAAGTTTTCGAGACGGAGACGTATGTCTTTGAGCTTACTGAACAAATGTTCCCACACAGGGGTAGGTTGCATGTGTATGAATGACGAAGATGTAAACGAATATTGGTAGTCTTACTTTGATACTGACTACAACTATACATGATTATGCCCAAAAGTAGCAGCAACTTAAAATTTGTGATACCACATGATAGTGCTCTTCAAATTTCATTAAAACTGATGCAGGCTTTCTGAAATTATGCGGTAGCAGAAATGCCAACAGAACAATAGATAGGCACAGACTAACAAACTGACAGAAATGAAGTTCTAATATTTTTGCGATTACAATAGTTTTATCATTTATGGTGTCAAGTAAATTGACTTTGTACATCCTATGTATTCATATGGGTTCAATTACATGTATCATCAGTCGTTCCTACAATTGTAGGACGCCTTTAGAGCCTCTTGATCTTAATAGTTTTCTACGTTTCCGTGTCAGCGCTCTATTTTGAGGTTATGTTACAAATCTATTCACATCAAACTGTTCATGCTGCCAATTTATATCATCTGTTATATAGCCTGAAATTTCCTACAATCCAAGAAGAGAACATGTTAATAGGAGAGCATTGATGCTGACACAGAACAGTAGAAATCTAGAAATATACCAGCATTTTTGAACTAGAGGAAATACTATAAAAAGGGTCATAAAGGAATCTTACAATTATTGTAGGTACAACTGACAATACAGCCCTTTAACCTTTAACCACTCTATCATTGAAATGAGTTGTTTTGTTCAGATTTTAACACAATGTGGCTGATATGGTAAGTCCCAAAAAGTAGTTAGTAGTAGTTTTTGAATATTGATTTAGTCAAGGCAGAGCTATGAGCAAAAAAAAAGAAAATAATTAAAAATCACTGGAACATCCTGCTCCAATGTTACAGAGGGTTAGAAGTGGTAGAGGTAAATAATTGTAAAAGGTTGCATCTTTGGCTGATCCAATACTACTCACCTGTTACACATAATACTCACACAGTATGTTAGGTTTATTTTAAACAGTTCAATCATCCTGACTCATGCCTTTACTTTGAAAGTAGCAACTTTTGGATGAACACATAGGAAGTATAGGGTCATTCTACTTGACACCCTTTTTTATAAAACATTTTTTTGCACAAGTTGAGTAAAATCTAGATGATTGTTATAATACAGTTATCAGACTCACTTCACAAAAAATTTACATGCTGCAGCAACAAGATCCTCTTCCTTCAAAAAACTTATTTTGAATAAGCAGCACATAAACATGATTAATGACATTTCATGACCTGTGCCATAGTCAATCCGAGTTGAGTTACCAAACCCTTCTATCAAGTATATCATGATTTCTGGGATAGAACGATATTTGCTTTCTGGCAATACAGACTGCAATAGATCAATTGCACCCTGTAAATAAAATTCTATAAAATAAAACAAACTTTAACATATATAAAATAAATCATAATCAACATAATTATATTGTAATGCTCCACAGAGCTCACAAAATCACAAGCTTTAAAAAAATAAGGAATTAAGAATTAAGGCATTCACAGTCCATGGAGCTCAAATTTCTGACAAAAAGGACTGCTACCAAAAACCAAAACCAACTTACATTTTTCAAACGATCATACCAAGTTCTAAAAGCCTGATTGCCAAATCTCTGAGGCTGTTGTATTGGTGGGGTTTCATCGATCCACTTGCTCAAAGTGTCAAGTATCATACACAATGAGGTGATTTCTTCAGAACAATTAGCACTGCCCTGAGAATTACTCTTGTTCTTAATAGCGTCATTAATCGCGTAAATAAATCCGATGTACTCCTAAAAAAACAGCCGTATTAAGCATATAGTTTGGTATTGATCGAATTATCCATACATAATATGCTTCAGACTTATCCCATTGTGGCATATCATCTATGGTCTTTATCAGTTTTACTGGAGTAATAAATACATGATCTTCTTGCACTGAAAATGTTACAAATTTGAATGAAGTCACTTGAAATAAGGTATTTCTCAGGCTACTCACTTGTGAAGCAGTAGATTTCATCCAAATATTACCAAAACATTTAAACAAACGTCGTTTACATGTTATGTTGACAGCATTATTACCCTGAATTGTCGTTCGTAATGCCCTGGTCCTGTGTGAGACGGTTTCTATCTCAGAATGGAATAAACTGATTTTCCGGATTTTTCTCTGGAACAGCACTTGTTTGAGAAAAGCAGATACCACAAAGAAAAACACCGGAAAATAATTGTTTTGAGTCTTGACAACACACAGTCACCTGTCAAGAGGAACGCTGTCTTAAAGCAGAAAACACATAAGACTGAATCTTGAATGCTGGATGGTGGATGGGTACTCCAAAGCCTGTCACGCACTTTAGTTCTTTCTTGAAAGTCTTCCCGTATGCGGGTCTCACACGATGCTTCCAACATTGTATACAACGTTGTGGTGCTTACAACGTTCGACACCCCACAATTGGCAAGTGTGTCTCCAACACGATGGAATGAATTTTTTAGTCTCGGACGTTCGACGCAGCATTATAATTTATTTAATCGTTTTCGTTAGTTATGAAATGCAAGTCAATATATTTCTCAACTAGTCTTGCATTGCAACAGGACATTATAATGAAACAACTGTAAACACTTGATAAGTCACAATTTACTAAAATACATATTCCTTAGGCCAGCCATAACTTACCTGTGAAACGTACAAAATATTAGCAATGTAATCCTAAAACCCAAACACATGACATCTCGTGTGGAAGCGTACAGAACTATGCTTCCAACGTTGTAACGTCCGTTGACGTGGGTCAAATTTACCGACAAGAGCCCGAACGTGCCATGTGGCGAACGTTGGACACATCATGCAATCCGTCAGCGCTCTCCCACACCATGTGGCGAATGATCATGTGTAAGGCATTCGCCACCGGTTTTCGTGGCAACTATGGCAGCAATTCTGTAGCTCTTCCTTGCTAGTGACGTGTTTCATTACGATGTGACTAAATGAACCGACGCAATTAAAATGTTCCATAACTCAGATGATTTCTGATTTGACAATGACATAACTTAACACTTAACCTCAACCTGACCTCGAACTACAATTTCCAAAACAAGACCTAAGAAATTTCTAGTACATATTTATAAAAATGGAGTTTTTCAAAAGATTATTTGGTTATGACAAAACGGATGATCATTCGTATAGGTAATGCTGCTATTCAAACCAGGTTATTGAGTGGATTATCCAAAATCTAATATTTTTCAGATCCAGATATAATGATCGAAACTTTGAAAGGGATTATTCTGGATATGAGTGAGTATATTGGAAGATTATGGGATACTTAAAATGAATTTCCTTGCTTGTCTAAATTATCTGCTAACTGCATTTCTGCAAAAGATATATCCTTCATATGATCAACCATCATACTATCAAATAGTAAGCAAATTTTGTTTGTAGCGAAGATGAACCTCAGTCGGAAAACTTTTCAAGACGAGGATTTGATATGTACTCAGACCCTCTACATATGCATCAGTATTTTGAACAGGAGATAAATAATATATTGAAAAGCTTTGGGCTATCTGGTTTTGACAGCTTCTTTGGTAAGAGTGGATATAAAACTGCTGTCAACAGTATGGTATATGTCTAATATTTTCTAGGTGGCGTCTCAGATAATCCTACTATAGATGGCCCTCCTATAAGTGGTCAAATACCTGCACCATCTGAGGGATTAAGAGAACAGTTTCTAAAACCAGGGTATGAAAGGCCAAGTGGAAGGAGACATGATAAAGTTGACAAAGATTTGGATGATAGGTAGGAATAGTGTAAACAGATTTAGAGGGTCTGAAGGTTATAGTCCAAAGTTATGATTAAAGGTACCTCAAGTGTTTGCTCTGTACATGGGAGGTGATCCCACAATGCTATTTTATGATTCCAGAATACAGAAAACTTTAGTTTGAGAATGATGGGATTCTCCTGTCACAGGTCCCCTTCTGCTCCATACTCAGCTTTGCACCCCAGAGCTTATGGCTATTATTGTGCCTTGTGTCTTTATAAGAAATAACCTCAAGATAAATGGGTGGCTCAAATGTTTTTAAAAATATAAATTTTTATTTTGTTGCAGGGTAAAAAGTGGGAATCTGGATGCTATCCTTAGAGATGAGACCACTGAAGTTACACCGTACCAGCCATCAAGCAGTAGTAATTTCTTTTATGGAAAAAGTCAAACTATGAGTACAATCACCCATCCTGATGGGGTAAGTATAGTAAGATTCTAGCCAAAATTCAGTTTCCAGATTTCTTCTATATTAAAATTAAAAAAATAATGCATTGTAAATGGGCATAGGATACTTTCTAGATGAAATTTTTCAATTACTAGATTTTTCAAAAAGCGATAATTCTAGTTTTGAACTTTAACTTTCAATCTCTATTTTTTTTATTCTTACAGTCAGTTGAAACAAAGCAGTGTATAAGAGACAATGCAGGGAATGAAGAGATAACCACATGCAGAATTTTTGGTGAAAAACAATATTGTGTAATCAAAAAGCGTGATAAAAGCGGAAGAGAAGAAGTCACTGAAAAATTAGTCAACATGGATGAGAAAGAAAAACAATTATTGCTGGAAGGTGCACCACAATTAGATATTAGTCCATCTCACCCAAGTGATACCATATTTGATAAGTTTTTCAATTAATTCATTTGCAGTGTTGTTTTTATTTTATGGAAATTGATTTATTTATTTGAGGTTCAATATACAACTGTTTAATATAATTTCAGGCTTTTTTTTTGTTGTTTTCTACTTTCTCAACACAAAATTATAAAACTATTTAAATACATTATTTATTATTTTGGTAGTTGGCATCTAGAGTAGATAAATGTATCTTGTTTATAAATATATATTTATATTTTCAAAAGTTGAAGAATTATACAAAAACTTTGAAATCGTGTCGTATGAAATAATTTTTCTCTTCCCCAATGTGAGGCTGATCACAATCTGCTGTACAAATATTATACATATTTAGCGAATCAATTTTTTCATAACATCAATGTTATCTTACTTCATCCAACAATGCTGGTTGCTCCTCTTAGCGCCAAATACCCTGCTGTGATGTCCATAGGCAGGTCTATAATGGTAGCATACTCTTCTTTGTTGGCATAGCGCAACCTAGTCTGAGGATCAGTATATGGTGCTGGCAGACCAGAGAGGTCTGAAAACTTTTCTGGTGGTTTGAAGGATGGCGGTGCATTTATAGAGCTGTAAAGCACTGCTTCTGCAGGCCAAGGTAGAGATTTTTCTGAGGATATGATCTGCTTCAGTCCTTTCCAAACACTTTTCTTCTTGGCTGCCTTGTTCATTTGGAATTGTGTAACTTTAAATATTGGCTTCTGCTCTATTATTTGCTCTTCTGCAGGTATGGTAGTGTTCATCTTAGAGGCGTTTAGAATGGTATTTCTGTTTTATTTTTTAAAATAACTTCCATTTAAAATGTCAATGTCAATCTCAAAACCACAGAACACATAAGACTGACACAGTGTTGCCGAACCGAAAGAGACGAAATCGGTAGATTGAAATTCAGTAAATTCAAGAACAAAATCGGTAGGAGAGAAAAATCAAGGCCACCGCAAGATCAGCAGTGGTTCGAGGGGCTTTTGCGTCACGCAGCGCCGTTTATGAATATAAATTATATATTTGTTTTACGCGCTGACAATGAAGTATATCTATTAGCTGTGCCGGACAGGTTGTTTATTTTTAGGTTATGTTCAATGTTATCAATTACGAATTCTTCCGTTTTTTTGTGTTTTCAAAAACTTTGAGGAGAGTTACGGGAAATCGCCACTGCGCTCGCGTTGTGTGTAATTACTGTTAGCATGTATATGACTTGTAGTTCGACAGTGTACAGTGAATATAATTATTTCTTATTTCTATCGTTTTTGAAATTCAGGAAACTTGCATATGTAATTTCCAGAATGGATAACAAAAAGTGGAAGAGCAACTAATTTGTAGTTTTGAATCTTAAGTAAGTGTATTTGATACCAGAATCCAATGGAGTTATCATCTACACATTTTATTAGCGCACAAAGCCTCACTATGCACCTACGCATTGCCGTTACCTCCAGTAGTGCTATCTCTGATGCAGATTTTACATCACATCAGAGCCAAACATTGATAACTGAAGCCTCATGACGTTTAGGCTACACGTACAACTACAAAACGTGTCCATCAGCTAGTGCTAAGTTAACATTTTGTAAAAAACCTACATGATGTCACAAAAAAACAATATAAAGTAAAAAAAATCGGGACAATGTCACTTTTCAAGGTATGTAATACCCATGCCGTAGATAAGGTATTATTCTGGCAGAAATACTGACAAGTCGGTAGGTTTGGAAGCGCTGGACAGGCACAAAACTGTCACATCATGGCAAGAAAACTGTCTTGAGAGTACTACTAGTGTTGGGTAATTTGTCAACTTTGTTCTTTCAAGTATTCGTTCATCTGTAATCCTATGTTATATTCGATTTATTGGATATAATACACCATCTGAAAATTCTGCATCAAGAAAGAAGAAACGACAAGATGTATGCACATAAATATTCAATGGTTCCTCGTGAAAGATATCCTTCAAACCAACCCGCCGGCAACAGTCCAGATAATGTGAATGAAAGTCATGCGACAACAGGATCGTAGAAATGGCGATAGGTAATTAGTAACTTGGAGCAAAATGTATTTCTCCATCGCTCCTCACGTTTCTCTTAGCCTGATACCAAATCTCACACATCCTACTTTGTATAATTCTATAAGTAACGTCTATACAGATATAGGCGGTCATTCAAAAGTCCATATCAGGGTCGCAGCAACAGCGAGAGGTGTTCACGTAATTTGATAATAGCTAGTTTGGCTGGTATTTACTCTTATAGTTCAAGATCTCTTCACTCAGTGGCAGGGTACAATTTCCATACTTGACATTACTGCTATCTTGATACAATATCTAAGAGCAATCAAATCAGTTTTATTTCATATTGTAAGAAACATCTATGATAATTGCTAATGATCAACTATCATCACTATCGACAATTTTGTAACAGAAGCGCAGAAACAGTCACAAGCGTTCTTTAATCAGGAGCAAAGTACGATTTTATAGCTCCTCGTTATTTCTATTGTCCTGACAGCAAAATTTACTAATCTAGTTCATCATCATTTTTAAATAATAAATAGCTACGTAATCAGGATCACAGAGATGGCAAGATGTATTCAATAATCAGGAACAAAGTACCACTTGATAAATCCACCCTGACAGCAAATCTTTCCCTATTAGTGCTGTGCAGATGCAGCGAGAAATGTGTATCAAGATCGCAGAAGCGGTGAGAAATGTTTTCTACGCCCTCTTATTTGTTTTATTTAGGGAATATCGCTAAGGGGAGTCGCCGATGTCGTCGGGCAGATTAATGGTTCTGGTTTGTTCAGATTAACCAAAGATTATTGGATAATCACCTCGATACTGTGAAGTTAATTTCACCACAGTATATTTGTCAATCCACCAGATGACATCGATAGCTCCTGTTGGTGGCATTTACCAAGTAAACTTGCGAAGCTAATTTCCTCAGATATATCCTATGAATATTCATGAGCAAAATATTCACAACCTTCAATTTTTTTTTCTTATAGCAAATCTTATTTTGTTTTGTGGGGAACGCCTGTGCGAGTATGGGGTATTCACCCACTCAGAATTCTGTATCAGGATCTCATAATCATCGAGAACTGTTCACAACAGTCACATGGTGGTTCTATACATATAATGGAAAAAAATAAAATACAATAATTTTAAATATTTTATTCATTTAATACTTTCTATATTTACAAATCTTAGATCTATTTACATATGACTATATATCTTCATTTACACTTGCAATACTATACATCAAAGTTAAAAATAGACAAGTGTATAATAACAAAATAAATATCGATAGAAAATAATTAAAAGCTTTGGTTGTTTAATTGAGGCCTGATACACAAATAGGACACAATCTTTTTAGGAATGTTTATAAAATAACTAACATTTTCCGATACAAAAACTAGATATATGTACATGTAATTAATAGATATTAGTGAAATAAAAGAATAGGCCTGCATAATTAGTATATATCACAATATAAAGAAAAAATATACATATTTGCAGAACAGCACCACGCAAAAGTAAAAACAAAAGCTGTGAATGTTATGAGACTATGCTGTTTTGCAGCATCTAATTTTTTTATAAGGCTATCCTAAAAATCAATAAATGGAGAAAATATCAAGTGATGTTGCCGCTGTAGCATGTAGGGAATAGCATTTTTCATGATACTTCATTACATCAAACCGTGGCAGCAAATAACAGCTGATTATCTAGTAACATTGAAAATACCCCATATCGACAAGTAACATAGAACTTTGACTGTTTGGCAATCTGTCAACACCAAATCCTTAAACAAAGTCGTATTTTTGTTTTTTATGCCGTGACTCATACTTTCTAACAGAACTTTTTATTCAGACAAATTGCTATGTATAAAAGCAAAACAATACAAACAATATATTATATAATATTTAGTGTCAGGTAAAAATAAAACAAAATAAACAATTTTTGGCTGTATTAACCGTTTCTACTTTCAGAATACGATCCAGAGTTTCACCTGATACATTATTGCCAACAGTATAGATTTTAACACTAAGACGTTACTTGCAAATCAGCTATTGACCTCAATACACGTCAAAAGGTAATGAGGTATCGTGAAAAATAATGTACAGGTATACGGTGGCCGATTTCGTAATACGTACGAGAGAGAAACGTCCAATATGTATTTTAGAAAGAGTGCGCCGATGGCGTCCGTGGCCCCGTCACTCGGGTTGCTAGGCAACGAGGTTCTTCTATCTCTTTCTAACACACGTATTGCACTATTCTCGCGCTTCTCTCTCGTACACATTACAACGTCAGTAGTATTTGGTCTTCAATGTATGCCAAGAATGTAAAGATCAGGTTATGTTGTTCGGTACGCCGACTGACGTTTGAAGTACAGCACCGGCAACACCGCATCACTTTGAGCAGCGTGGAAAATATGTAAATTCAAAATTAGTTGATTATACTCGTTATATGAAGCAGTTTTTTTACTTTGCATCAAAACCTCAGCAGCCCAATGAGCAGGTCAACCTCTACGAATGTGAACCATGCCACCTTCCAGTTCAGCTGACGCGTTGTTGACAAATATGATAGCTGCTTCATCTAACGTAGAAAACGACACACCCTGACGTTTGCATCATTTGGTATAATTATGACGACCACATAAGATTCAGTTCTAATCTGGACATCAAAACTGAACTTCCTGCACATGCTAACCTCCGACCAGGCACACACGTGTGGTGTGATAAAATTATTGAAACAGATCCTGTGGCACAAAGAATAGAATATTCGAAATGCAATATTATACTGACTATTGCATACCTCGGTAAAAAATGCAGAAGAGAGTATCTGTACTATGCTTACTCTACATAAAAAAAATGAAACTGTGTTATTCTATTTCAAAAACTTCTATTCTGACATTTATTTTGGCAAATTTGAACTGATCCTATGACAGTCGTTTTTTACATTTAATACCGAAAATCCGTTGATTAAAAATTCTTCAAGATTTCAGCGAGTTGCCGTTGAAATAAAACGGTTCATTGTAACAGTGAGCTACTGAATAGTTAATATGACTGGAATAACTGATAAATATCAATCAGTATATTTTATGTAATACCATGAATACAGGGTGACCTTAAAGTTGAGACTTTCCTTCACATAGTGTATAGAACATAATATAACAAGAAGCACATTTTCCTAGTAACACATACACCAAGCCTTAAGATAACTGAGATATCAAGTGTGTATCTATGGGGCAATGCGGCTCTCCATCCAACATAAGTAGACTGAAAATGCGACGCAAGTCAGTATCAAAATCATGTAACGCGCGGTGTGTAGGTTAACTTTGCAAATCGAATTCGAAAAAGAAAAAAAGAAGGTTTATTTATATCAGGTGGTAACGGTAGAAGAGCTAGGCTAGACAGCCCCGAATGTTGCAAATTTTGGAAGAAATGGGCAAACTTGTATTTCTAAATCGAATGACTATAACCACAATCAGTATTTACAAGCAGTGTGACAGGCTAGTACTTGGAATTTCTTACCAAATCAATAGTGAGTACTTTTCTTGAATTACATCTTTATGTTTTTGTTGCAGTTTTACAGCAATTTTTATTTAAAACTTCAGAAAAGAAAAGACCTAACTTTTAGGACACCCTTTATAGACTTCTCCTCTCCTACAGCTTTAAGGTGGCACTTCCCTTTCTTTAGATTCCTTTTCAACTTCCTGTGTGCAGCAGTATTCTAAATCCCTTTCATATGATAATCTCATAATGTGTATATAGAGATGACTAAAAACAATGTTTTCATTTTTTTGTCAAAAAATGCAATCGAACTTGTTAACAAAAATAAGTACAGTTATGAAATTGTATGTGAATATTCCTCTTTTATGGAAAAATGACGAGTGATTACTTTTGTTCTTATCACTTTTCCTTTTCGAAGAATCTTTGATTTTCTTGAAGCCTCGTCTTACAGCAAGTTGAGTTTTCAAGAAAAGCAAAGATTTTTCGAAAAGGAAAAGTGATAACAAAAGTAATCACTCGTTTCATTCTTCCATAAAAGAGGAATATTCGCACACAATTTCAGAGCTGTATTTATATTTGTTAACAAGTTCTGATTGAAGAAATATTGCACAATAGAATGCACAAAAAATCCATTTTTTAACAAAAAGAAAACATTGTTTTTAAGTCATCTCTACGGACACCATGAAATTATCAAATGAACAGGATTTAGAAAACTGCTGCAAACAGGAAGTTGAAAAAAAATCTTAAAAAAGGGATGTGCCGCCTTGAATAGCTAAAGAGCTTTCAAGTGTTGATGGCAAACCAATTCCTTATATAGTGCAAAGCTTTTTTAATGAAAATGCATTGTATCTTGAGATGCACAAACGAAACCAGTATTGGCATCCTATTGGAAGTTTTCCATTAAGATACGATACGGAAGAGTGGTTGAAATTCAATTGAACAAATAACCGGTTCTATCTCGTATTGAAATACACTGAAGCTATTTAAGATCGAATTCAATACTTTAACATCTTATCCCGCATGAATATTGAAAACCTTCTGCGAGAAAACAATGCATATAGAGAATTTTTGAGCCAATACTATGATCTCCTATGTATTGAAACCAGTACGGCTCAAATAACTGCTTTTACAGGGAAAAGGTTACCACATTGGAGTTTTTTCAATTACAAATACCGCATACGTAAATGTTAATGTTAGCATCATTTAGCATTTATCTCATATAAAGAATTGATCAAATCTAAAAAAAGTTAACGTTTACGTATGCAGTATTTGTGATTGCCAAACTTTCTACTATCATTTGTTAACATATTCCACCTGAAGCTTTACTATGTATTTACAACATGCCATCTACAAAACAGTAGAATTAGAAACCTACTTTGAAAAGGTAGAGTGTCTAGTTCTGTTACTGTCTCAAAGATGGTGCTAGGATCTCCAACCCCCTTTTTGGTCTCTAATGCTTATTTTAGTTGGGCATCTTCTTGCATTGATTGACGTACTCCACCCAAAGATACCAAATTAAAATAGGCATTAGAGAGGTCAAAAAGGGATTGCAGATCCTAGCGCCATCTACGAGGAAATCTGCCACTGTTCCATAGATGGCGCTAGTCTTTTTAGATACTTTTTGGGATATCAGAATACAATATATCGTTAGCTATTTTCTGGTAGAATGTATTATTCGACGTTATTACCTCGATGATACGCACATAGTGGCGCAACCTGATCTTTACGTCTTTGGGTTCATCTTTAAATAGGAATAGATTGAGAAAACGAGAAATGGTTTCAACCGCCAAGCTTAATACGACATTACCGAAGGCTATTCGTAACGAACCTATGACATGTTGTGCCGATGAATTAAATTTTAACAAATGTGGTCCGCGAGTAATCCTTTCCCTGTAAAACCCAACTAACCCCCTTCACATTAGACCAATACAAAAATAATACATTTCAGAATCTTGACAGACTTATATGTCAACATCAGGTACAGATAAATATACAAAACAAACTGTGTGTGTGAGTGTGATCTGTCATCTTACTCTTGACCGAAGGTGTCAGTTTCCTCGATGGCGTACGTGAGTTTCTCTACTAGCTGCTCGTAACTTTTGTATGGAGGCAGATCGAGGCGGTTGAAACAGGTGTGCGACCTAGGCAGCCAGGATTCCTTGCCCACTTTTTCAATGCAGAAGCGCTGAGGTCCGTTGGAGCCCATGAGCTCGGCGAAACCGCCCACTGGCACTCGACAGGTGCCGGTAACGAATTGGAGTAAACGGGCGCGTTTCTCGTTATCTGATTGTTTGACGAACTGAAAAAATAAAAAATAAAAACTATAACTCGCTAAAACGATATTTGAACATCCAATCGAACACTAGTTTCCACAATAGCTTTAAGAAACGGGTAAAACACCTGTTGGTGGTGGCAGAAACTATGGACCGAACAATACCGATAGGTAAGCTTTCACTGGCTGAACTGATGACATTACTTTTCTTTCATCAATAACGGCCTATTTGACTTGGATCTTCTCAAATATAAAATCCTCAATTCCTTATTCCAACAACAAAAAGAGAAGGAGCTCTAAATAACTCCCAACACAAACATACGGTATGGGTCAAATCTGTAGGTGATACTTTCACCATAGAGGTAGAAAAAGAACGATCCTCGGGCATACTCTATACAGAAAACTGAGCTAAAAGAATCTGCGAACTAACCGAATTGAAAAAGGAGCTAGGACATCAGAAGGAAGGAGTCAGGGCTAACTGTTATCCTGGAAAGCGGTAAGATCGATGAAGAGCGACAAATGATCCAACACCAATAGCTAAGGCCTTCTTGCAATATGTACCTAGAATAACGACAGGAATCGGAAAACTACCCAGGAAAGAAAATATTAAGACTTTCTAGAAACCGTCAAAAAAAATACAATACCTGAGACCGGCCAAAGACATAAGAGACCCACCTACGGAAGTGTGTACATTGAAACAACAAAAGGATTGGTAAACACAATTTTAGAACACACAGCAAACTGCCGCTTAGGCCACACAGAAAGGCCTGAAGTAGCAGAAGTACTCATAAGGAAGGAAACAACAGGATTCAGTTTGAGAAAAATGAGGTCCTAGCCACGACATCATCGAATTATGCCCCCATTGAAATGTTCAAGCACGATAAGAATTTCGACAGGAAAGAAGAAACGCAAAGTGTATAAATCATGGATACAACAAGGAAGAAAACCTCAACGGGTTGGAGCGACACCCGACCCTCGACCCGGGCCCAGGTATAAATATTGACTGCAGACTCGTTTGATCAGTTTGTCTGAAGACGCGGAAGAGTTGACTTCTACCTGCTTCTGAAGATGCCATCCACTGTTGAAGAATTAGCAATCACCGACGCCGGCCGAACAGCCCAAGAAGAATGAATCGTTTGGATAACAGCCGCGAATGTCTTACACAATTCAAAATGAGATTCTTCCAATGACTTGGTTTTAAGCTTGACATGCAGAAGTGTATATCGCATTCTTTTTACAGCTATATTTTTTATCTACTTGCTTTTTTGATTTCGTTTAAATAGCTGGGACAGTTTTTGTCAAATACATCATAGTCATATGAAATATTTGGGATATTCAACACTTCGTGTGCATATTTACAATTTAGTACTGCAGGTTTTCGAAAAAGCACAAATACTGTTGAAAAAAATAGGAAGCAGTTTGTAAGCTCTGAGAGCACCGCCTCTGACATTTTGCTTATTTACAAGCAAGTAAACATCTGACCGGCTGATTTAAGATTCCACAAACAGCCTTGACAACTAATGACTAGCAACACAGTATTTTCATTTAGTTTGATGAAAAGAGGGTTTAGCATGAATCTTTGCAAGCGTATTAGAAAAAAAGTAGATGCGCTTATTTTTCTTATAAGGTCAAACATCATCAATATTTCTTAACTTTCGTTGTACACATACATCTTTATATTCAAATCAATGTTTCGCTAGTTTAGATGCGTTTTATTTCAAAAATTCAATGGAATAAACTTCACACACAAATATTGTACACATTTGTACTTACTTGCCAAAACCATACTACAGGTTTACTGCTTCTAGTATAGTGCCTGTAAATAGTATGTCTCTGCCAATCTTCCACATCGATTTCCTGCATACCACATAACAACAGTTCTAATTCTCGCTCATCGAAATATTTCAGCCATTCAATTGGCACTACTTCATTAAAACCATCTAGAAATGCTTGAGTTTGCTGTTCGATACCTAGAAAAGATCCTCAATCAATATAATTCTTGAGTTACTTTTTAATTTGTCCTGGTGTCAGATACATGATGTTAAAAAATTTGGAAAAAACAATCCAAATCTTTATTCCTACGCACCAAAGCCTTGACGTATAGAAAGTTTTGCGATGGAGGTTAGACTTCGGTCAGATGTAGGGAAAATAACATTTATTCTATATCGTTAGTAGTTCGATATGGAACGTTTTCAGAGGATTCAAATGAATCTCGTTCACTGCATCATCGACACATCAATCTCACGAAAAACAAATCAGCTTAACACAGCTTTAAAAGCTTCAAATCTAAAGTGGTAACCAAATAGCTTGTTGAAATCTATAATTTTTGTCTACCGTGTCCTAACGTTTCTTCATTTGACTACGCCAATGACCTTCAGAGGTCCAATTATAAAAACTATTAAGGCGTTGTGTATCACCGTTTCCCAAGTTTCCTTGTTGGGCATGGTTTTGGAATTTTCTTGAACACTCTCAAATAATCTTGCATGTGTGATATTATCCCACAGAATGCCTAGAACTCCAGATTTTCAAAATACGAGTCTCAAACCTCTTCATTGGTGCCCATCTTGAGGCTCAAGTGGCAGCTGTGGCGAATCTGTCATCGTGGGATTTTGACTGGTGAGGACAAAAATTATATTCGAGATTTAATCTCGCCATATCTACTGTTGCTGGCGACTATCCATTGTGGAAGAAGTATTGAATTGCTATATAAGAAATGCAGATTGTGGCCTTAGCAGCCGTATCAGCAGTTTTAAAAGATATTCACAACAGACGTTTTTTCTGAAAGACCTTTTCTTCGGGTAATCATGGAGATATGAGTCCACCACTGAACGCCCAAAACAAAACAGTAGTCGAAGCAGTGGGTGAAAGTCGTTGGTCAGCGCCAAAGGAGAAAAGTCGAATGCATGTCCCGCAAAAGTCATAACCAGTTTGTTTTGGGATCCGAAAGGGATTCTGTTAATTGATTTGGGGGTCGGTGTTAGGGTAGAATAATTACGGGCGAATGCTATTTCAACCTTCTTGATCAACTGGATGCCAACATTTGTGAGAAAAGGCCTCGCTTGAAGAAGAAAAAGAACATTTTTCATCAGGACAACGCACCTGCTCACAAAGGTAAGTTACCAAAAAAAATAGCATTTGGGTACGATTTACATGACCATCCCCCCTATTCTGTTGATTTGGCAACTTCAGACTTCAATTTGTCTCCAGATTCCAAGAAATTAATCTCTAGAAAGCGCTTTGGTTCTGATGAAATTGAGAGGGCCGCGGTTAAATATTTTCAGAGTCTTCTACTTCCGACAACGAATCCTAATGTTGGAGTAACGGTGGATTAAGTGTGTTGGAATTGAAGTGGATTATATAAAAAAATAAAATCATTTTTAAATTGAAAATCGGAGTTTTTCACTGTCAGGAAAATACATTTTCACCCTATGCTCGTATTGGATATGTTACATAAGCGAGAAAAAACATTTGTCACTGACCTCTCGTCATCCTCCACTCAGTCATCAACGCCAAATATTCCTCCTTGTTCTCCTCCGTGACCCTTTCCTTATCTCCGTTTTTCTTCAACTCGTGATGCACCACTTGTCCCAGCACCTCAAAGTCAACGCTATAGTACAGCTCTAGTCCGCACTCGTCTATGCTGTTCTCCTTGATCCATACCAGGGAGTTGTAGAACTCTGGGTCGATACTCTCTATGTCCTTCATCACCAGCTTTTTGCCTAGCATCCGCTTGTAGAAGGGCATCGTGAAACCGGAGTAGATGAAACGGCCGTGGTATAAGGCCATTGCGATGAAACGCCCTATGAATTTGAAGTAGGTCAGGTGTTCGGGGTTCACATATGAGGCTGGATTTATCTGGAAAGAAAATTTAAATTGATATATGATCTAATACTGTAGAAGGCTGTGCTGTAACAATAGGGAATATGGATGATTTTTTTTTGTATTTCCTGTCAATTCTTTACGTTGATATAATACCGTAAGTACATATTTCATTAAAAAAAGTCTGTATTTCTTTTAATCAAATATTTGAAACAGCGGTGGTAATGCCGATTTAACCGTCGCATTTTGACGCGCTTCGCAGTGACGTCAGAACTCGTGATTTGTCATTTGATTGTATTTTTGGTTAGGTTACTGTAGAGTTTCTGACATACCATCTGTTAACAAAATATTAAATTTATAGGTTTTGTTTATTACTTCAAAATACGTTGGAAGCTGGAACATCAAACTGACAGGTTGACAATCAATGACAGTGGGAACAAATGCCTGTCAGACTGGCCAATCAATAAGGGTTTGACTGGTGACAAGTCGCAAATGGTGACGTCATGCCAACAGCGTTGTATTTTGACATTCTAAATTTGCCGTTTATTTATTCCATTTTTTATTAATTAATAGTTCCAAGTTTATTGTCCTCAGGTACAGAATATACATCTAGTTAAAGACGTCATTCTGTAGCAAGATAGTCACATGCATACTGCCTATTGTCATTCCACTGCAGCTCTCAATCATCTACACTAAAATTCAGCCCAAGTGAGACCACAACATCGCAAACTCGAAGCGTGATCAGCGCGTGATCGATGTTCCCGCAGAGGGTCTCATTATAGTTCAGGCATTTTACGGTTTGAAGTTGTAGTTTGAAGCGCTTGCTTTTTCAACTAATAGTTTCATTTCGTAGCTTTTATTTTTCTTTTTTTAAACTTTCCGCCCCTCATATTGATGCTTTTGTTAAATACAATGTCCTGAAGTGGCTCCAATATGAATTTGGAAAACATGCATTTTCGAACATTTTTTAAGACCTAGTTAGACTGTAGCAATACAAAACGAATCAGAACCGTAAAAGCCAAATTAAAGAAATAGATGATGCTGACAGACATGCGATCAGAAGGAAGGTTCATGAATTCTTTTTCCAGAATGAAATTCCTACAATTGATAAGATTTTGAAAGTAGTGAATGAAGACTCAGATTTGCCGAATTTTAGTAAAACGACGTTCTACAGGCTATTAAAGGAACTCAACTTCAATTGGCAGAAGAGAGGCCGAAACAGTTCATTGACGGATAGAGATGAAATTATACTATGGAGGAGAGAGTATTTGACAAAAATAAAAACATACAGGAGCCAAAACCGTAGAATTTACTTCCTGGACGAGACGTGGATAAATGCTGGCCATACAAAATCAAAAGTTTAGGTGGACCAAACAGTAACGTCAGCAAGAAGAGCGTTTTTAGATGGGCTTTCAACTGGGCTTAAAAACCCTACAGGTAATGCAGACATTCCATTTTAGAAAATCCAACAATAGTTATTAGATAATTTTTCATAGCCAAAGTGATTTGAATGAGGCATTACACGTTATCAGATATCTAGAAAAAACGAGGGGATGTTCACTCTGGAAATCAATGTATTCTACGTTGGAATTCTTATGGTATCGATGACAAGATTTTTTACAGCAATGCGAGCGTTGCAGAGACAACATACCTCGTCCGTCACGGAATGTAACACGTTAATTAACAACGTCAGACATTGCGTTGATTTGTAAATTTTTCGATAAGTTTGTCACACTTGATAATTTTTTAGTTTAATTGATGTTGCCTGTTTCTTTTTGTTTTTTAAGCTAACCAGATTCATCAACAGATTAAATGATGCATTGGTTGCAGTGTCCGATATATCTCACCGCATGCATCCCGCTATCATGAGAAACAATACAGCATCGTATATAAAATACAGAAATGTGTCCCTATCTCCGTGGCCTCAGTACTCTTGTGAAAGACATATAATGTACATCCGTATTTAACAAGTTTTATCTTTATAGGCAAAGGAAAAATGCTCATTATTTGCCACATCGGGAGTGTAGATGGCTTCGTGAAGGAAGGACTATGGTGTTTTGAATAAAAAAAAAAAAAACACTGACTACCACGAAGAGATGAATGGTGAAGCATTCGGAAATTGGTTTTTAGGCATTTTACCACGTCTTAAAGACAATTCTGTGGTGGTCCTGGATAATGCTCCGTATCATTCTCGGAAATTAGAAAAATTTCCAAATTCATCTTTTAAGAAATCAGAGATACAGGACTGGCTACGTGCAAAAAATATACCTTTTGATACGTTTATGTTGAAATTACAACTTCTAGATCTTGTAAAACAACACAGAGCAAAGTATGATAAATATATAGTGGACGAGATGGCAAAAGCGCACAATAAAATGGTACTTCGTTTGCCTTCTTACCACTGTGAGCTCAACCCCATTGAGCTCATATGGGCAGATATAAAGAATTTTGTTGCTGAACACAACACAACATTCAAGTTTTCCGACATGAAAGAGCTGTTCAACCTTGCGTTGCAGAGAATCACACCAGAAAAATGGTTAAAATGTGTGAAGCATGTTCAGGAGAAAGTGGAGGTTGCAATGTGGGAGCTAGACAACATAATTGAAAGGCATATTGAACCGCTAATTATCAACATCTATGATGACAGCTCTTCTAGTGAAAGTGAAAAATATTGATGATGTAAAACACATATGTATAATTACTTTTTGTGCCCCCCTTAACTTTCAATCACCTCTATTGACTCTGTGACTAGTGTTGTGTTATTATTTACTGATGTCTCTTTTTCAAATATTTAGTTCTGAAATATCACCTTAATATTTCCATAGTTTTGAGTCCGACCCTGCTCGGTTCTTGTGTCTACGACCATCATGCCAGCGACGCGTGCTGGTTGTTGTGTCTGGTCTCACTTGAAATGGATTCAAGTATAGTAGTAGGTATGATCAACCACGTTTAGGGGCCAAATAGAAACAACAAAACACTAAACATTGTCCAGGTCAAAGGCCACTCGGGCTTAAAAGAAAATACTAGATAATTTTACACAAAGAGCAATAAAAAGGGGCGATTGCGTTTCGGATATTAAAGTTCTTTTTACTGTCATACATTATCACATCAAAAAACCACTCACGCAAAAATGGATCAACTATAGTACTACAAAAACAGTTCAACAGGAAGTAACTTCAAACGAATTCAAGAGACCCGTCGAAGCAGGCCTTGATTCTAGGAATTATAGATCGCCCTTCAATTTGAACTGTAAGCACAATAAGAAGTCTAGCTGGATGCCCTACTTTTCATATAAGATTTTTAGGTATTTATGAGACCTACAAAATGAGACGTAAAAAGATCTGACTAATAGCAAAAATGTTATGGCCGAAAAACGAGGCAAAATGCAGGTTTTGGCACTTATTGGTATTGCGACAATAATTTCAATTTAACGCGACTACTTGAAATTCTTCAAATCCGTTGGATTCATACTTCTAAATAACAACAACAAATTTGGAGTATATTAGTCAAGTAGTTTTTGAGACTTCCTGATTGTTTATACCAAAACACTTATCTTCCGGCCATCATTACTAGTTTATTGAACAATATACCGGGTTCGTTCAAAGAGCATTTAATAGAAAAATACACGTGTTGACCTTGCCGATATGAATCACAAACCATTCCGAAAGATATACGTTCAAACTAAAGTTCGACAGTTTTGGCCTGGAAAACAAGGTTGGAATCGCTGTCAAATGTCTCAAAATACTCTTGAAGGTCTTATAGAGCAAGGTTTTAACTTTAATTTGGATAATTGGCTACCTCAAATACTATAATGTTTAACCGTGATTTTAAGCAATGAATATACCCCTACAGTACCCCAGACCAAATGTGTTTAAACAACTCCTAAACATATTACATTTTTTGCCCGGACATATTTTTTCAGGTTTAACTCTTAACTAACTTTTAACTCTTTGACTAACTTTTCTCTAAAGCTGACCATTTTCGAGTTATAAGCGATCTAAAAGCACTAAGAATTGATTCACAACACCCCGAAGTGCATTTTGAGATTACTTTATTTTAAAGCGTTTTAAACCTTTTTCCGTTAGGTCAAAATCGGCGAAATTTTTGATTTCGCAGACTGTACGTATATGTTTGCGGCATCGTAGCAGTTTCATGCGACCGCGATATACACCTTAGGAAAAACCATTGTTATACATGGGAAATCATTTCTTGGCAACAGCGCATCGGCTCGTCTACTTTCATCGCTATTCGTACATATTTCCTACCGTTAACCGCAGACCTGTATCACGAATGAGAATAATAGGCAGATACGCTGTGTTGCCAATTTGAGTAGAGCTTCCCGAATTGCGGGGAATTTAGAGTTAAGTGTTGATTCATTCAAGCTTTTAATCAGCATGGCCTAGACGTTAGAACTTCATAAAGACAACATTGAAGCTGAATGCTGCTGGAGTATAGTGTTTCGAATATTCAAAGCGGAGCGGGACACTATACTCGTTCAATGGGTCATCAAGCCACAGTCGATACAACAATATACAAACATGAAAAATATGATTTGAACCATGAAACATTAATACAATTTTAATAGTTTGAACTTTTTTCACTTTTGGAATACTCTTATGTGGAATCCGCAGCTATTTTTCCCGAAATTTGGGTAGACTTAGATTTCTTAGAAATATGACATATTGGTATCGGCAACTCTGCGAATGGGAGAAACAAATCGCATTTGTTGAGCGCATCCGTCTAAGCGGTAGGCGCCAGCGCCCGTTCTGCCATCTCTCTCTTTTATCACTCTTCTACTTTACCCCCTTGTCCGTCACACTAGGACGCTGCCAAATAGGATCCTATAATCGAGTGTCTTTCACGCACTTACATACTTTTGTATATTTCCATCTCTCTTCCTCATCATAATGTATAATAATGGTTTTTCCCAAGGTGTATATTCGCGAAGCGTTTCTCAGTTTTAAGGACAAATCTACGCGGAAATATATTATGTGTGAAATGCGTTCTAATAGTTACCTTCAACTACAATCATATGAGAATATACTAACGCCAAAAAAATGAGACGGCGCCACGGTACGTACGAGGTCTGTAAATTAGGTGACGAGACTGACAACGTAGTGTTCGATCTGGCAATACTGGAGGCGCCGTAAAAAATTTTTTTTATTGTGTTCTAAAGATGAGTAACATCAATTTTGAGCAACAATTTGCTATAAGGTTTTGCTTCAGACTTGGGCACAGTGCAACTGAAACTCTTGCTTAGCTTCAGCAGGCCTATGGAGATACTATTTTGTCAAGAGCCCAGGTTTTTCGATGGATTATAGCATTCTCAGAAGGCACAGATTCGATTGAAGATAAACCACGAAGCGGGAGGCCTTCATCTCCAAGAAGCGGTGAAAATATCGACAGAATCCGGAATCTTGTGCGTTCAGATCGTTGGTAAACAGTCAGAATGATCGGGGAAGTGTTAAATTTCACTCACACCACTGTTCATCAGATCAAGACTGTTGCATGTTTCTCATTGTCACTCAAATAAACGAGTGTTTAGCCAGTAAAAACATTCCGGTGGCTAATCAGCCTCCTTATTCGCCTAACTTGAGTGCTTGTAAATTTTTTCTCTTCCCAGAGTTGAAAAATGACCTCAAGGAAACTCTTTTTGGGACAGTCGGAAACATTCAAAGAGCTGTAACAGACCAGATGAGGGTTATTCCAGTATCGGAGTTCCAGCAGTGCTATGAGGAGTGGAAGAATCGTCTTAAGCGCGCTGTGGCTCAGAAGGAAGTTATTTTGAGAGTGACAATATAAAATTATAAATATATTTAAATAAAAAATTAGTCTCATCGCTCATCACACAATTTACAGTCAGTTGGATTGGGTATTCTTGGTTGGATTATTTTAATCAATGATTAAAGATCTGATATTTTAAATAGGGTGCACGCTTTATGAGTCACTGCCACTGTAGCGATTTCAAAAAAGGAGATAGACCGACGGAAACATGCGACATGGACATAATTACTTTTTTATTTAAAGGCCCATGTGCGACAATTTATGAAACTTTTAATGACTGCCACGGAGATCCAGCTGAATTAGAGCAATGGCTTGGAGCAACGGTCGATTGTAGGTTATTCAAAAGTGTGCGACTTCAGGTGACAATCATCGACAAAACGTAAACGTAACATATATCCTTTGGCCTAAAATAAAGTGAAGTGGGCTTCAGGTGGTTTCAGCAAGGCAGGGCTATATGTCATAGATTGTTATCCATAATGAACATTTTCACGAATCCAATAAGAGTAGGTTTATTTCCCGTAGACATGACGTGAACTGGCCATCAAAATCGTGCGAATTGGCCCTGTTAGACTTTTTCTTTTAGAGGGTTTATCCAGGTGCAAGCCTTCGATAGTAAGGTTGCAAATCATAAAATGCACCGCTTGAATTTGTGTAAGTAATGCATCCTTCGCAACAATAAAAAAGTTACGTTAATACCTCGCATACAACTTGTTTCACTCCATTTCAACATCAACACTTTACCCTTTAGTTGTAAGTAATCCATCCTCTACATCAAATTTCCAAATATACCAATGCATCCTTAAGAAAACGCATATTGCATCATTGATAAGAAGAAATAATCACTTCACTATCTTTTGCAAAAATAAATGTCAGTATATTAAAAAAAATTACCTGTAAACTATAATTATTCTTATTGGCATATTCGAAGAGACAATACATAGGGTTGAGTGCTTCATGAGACACTAGGAAGAACCATTCTCTGCTTACACCACCATAATCCAGTCCCTCTTCTCCCTTGAAAATGATGTATAGACGCCTCCTCAATTCATAGGCGGGTAGCCTCATTATCGTGTGGAACGAGTCTTCAAACAGTGTCTGTCTTGAAACCTGGATTTTGATGTGACTAGGCAACGCGTTACTTTGACACAAAAACCTGAAACAGACAGACACACTGTTACCAAATCTCCGACAGATTCTGCAAATGATTCAAAAATATAAGCTACTGTCTTTTTATCGCTTCCAAAAATGACGAAGAAATCAAAAATACTTATGTTTAACACCTCTCAGAAGCATAAACTGATTTTTTCAATTCACGGTACCCTGCAGCAAAATCTGGATGACCGGACTAAAAAATCAGATAAATGTAAAAGTTGAGACACAATATAAGAATAATCAATCAGTTTGACTAATGAACTCTCTTCACTTCCATATAATTTTTAAACTAACATTTTCTTCTATGAACAGTTATTTATCTTCAAATTGAACGTAGCTTTAGTGACACCATGGACACGCAAATAGTACGATATGCTTGAAATGCACATCGTACGATTTGCTTGAACGACTTAAGTCGTCCATTTTCGCTCTCGCAAAATCAAGGGCATGATAGTTTTTTCGCGCACACCAACCTGATTGAAGAAAAGATGATATTTACGATTTGCGAAAATGGCTGATTCGAGATTGCTGTTCAGGAAATTTCTTTCAGAACTTATTGATTCATATAGAGAGAATAATTGTTTGAGAGTCAGACGCGGCCGGTAGGTACACGATCCGTCTGCTAAGAATATTTTTCTCTTACTTTTAAGGGCTAAGGATGCGAAGAAAATATGTCGAATAGGTGTGTAAAGTTACCAAGGTTGGGAGCAAATAATATACTAACACCAAAAAATTGATATATGGAATCCTCACTCCCCTACAACCCCCACCCCCAATTTTTGGCCTTTTCTCCGCCGCTACTAGACTGATTTTCAAAAACTACAAACCTCTTCGTCCTTGCCATAGTAGTAACATAGAGTAAAAAATTCATCAAAATCCGAGCGGTACTTTTCAACTTATAGGCGGTTATAGGATTAGCAGACAGACAGACCAACAGTCAGACGGAAATGAGTGATCTGGTATTTCGTGTCGCAATGTCACATATCCAAAAACCATAATATCTCATTTTCGGAAATTTTCACGATTACAATACTTCCCGGCCGGTAGGCGAGTATTATTCGAATAAAAGAAAAGAAGAAATGCTGCCTGTAAAACTTTTAGCGTTATATTATAAGAAATAGATCTAGACACAAATATGATCTTGTTAAAAATAATCCCTCCTGAATGTGCTGCAGAAAAGAATTTAAATAGTATAACGCAGCATTGAAGTCCGGAAGTGATACCAAAGACGTTTATATACCAAAGTCATGGACTTCAACTTACTTCTTTCATCGTGATCTAGAAACGCCTAGGCAAGGCAGAGATACGCTAATGAATGTGAAGATTTGGACAGTGAGGTGAAATATTACAAACTACTATTTTATTAATATACTCGTAGTTTTAATGATATAAGATTCTGTTCTTTTATTATGGATACAAGCACACCATGTTTGCATGACAAGCAAATCGTACTATCTGCACGAGTGTCTATGAAGTCTATTACAAATAAGCACACCCTAAACATACAATTTTTGATAAATCACTCACCTAAACTGACTAATTTTCCATTTGAACGACCTCTCATAGGCCCTAGGGACACCATACACTCCTTTCGGTCCCTTAGGCGCGCCTGGCCTGGGATCTTCGAAGGTCGTAGTTTTCGTGTTATGGTCCACAAAATATCGTTTATTGTCTTCCGTATATCTGATTTCCCAGCCTGGTGGTAGAGGCAGTTCATCTATTTCGCTAATTTCTTGACCTTGCGTCCGAGGGTCTTCCCATTGCGTCGTTCTGTTTTTGTGATTGACGAAGTACACTCGTCCTGAAAGGCAAAATTGAATATTTCAGCCAAGTGTGCAGGTCTAGGTATCAAAATGAAAAAGTCCTACTGATCCAGAGTTGCCACAAAGTTTCAGAGTCCTGAATCCCATCGACAACCAAGATAATTTTTTTTTTGTATATATCGAAGCAGCCGCGCAGGCAGAAGCCTAAATGCCGGAACCCCGCGGCTGCTATGATGATCCTAAAGAAATTTTGTTAATATGATTTGTAAACTTAAGACTTGACCATATAGAAGTTGAGTTCAGGTTGAGGTCTCCGAGAAAGGGGGGAGGGGGTGTACGTCAGACTCTAATAATTATGATATATTCGAAATAGTGATCAGTCATCATAACGTAATAAAGAATATTTAAACCTTCCATTGTCAACTTTTCGAGAAATGAACATAACATTTTAGTTTTATTTTCACGTGTTTTATGTGCCGAATTCCGGAGTGCCGGCCCAGAACAATTACACAGGCCGACAAGATTCTTACCCAAAAACCAGAGTATACTTTCCCGAAGGCTTGAAGGCTTTTTTAGAAACGCGCAATTTTTTTGAATTTTACCTTCAATTTGCTATAAATAATACTCATGTTTTTTCCTAGAGTGAACTGTTTTCGTAAAAATAAAAATAAAACAAGTTAGATCAATCATGAAGAGCCAAAATACAGTTATTTTTAAAATAAAATAGTAGGCCTTGACGTTTCTTGGGAGATAGTTTGTCAAAGTTATGTGTTATATGATTGATAACGTTACTACTGCCATTTTGTTAAAGTCAAGTCAAAATGACTATTAAAGCTTTGAAAACAGGTATTAAATGTTTTGTAGGCATACAACATTTATCAAATCTATTATTTAAATGTAATTTTATTTTACCTTCTGGCTGGACTCTTCTTTCCCAGCCTGCAGGTAAAGGTCCCAACCCATCATCCTCATCTGCAAGTGTGGATGGTCCAGCTATAGGACCTTGTTGGTGTTGGGGGTACAGAAACCGTTGATTTCCTGCAAAAAAAAAATCATACACTTACACTTTCATCCAGTATACAATACATTCCTTAATCAGCTGAGGTATTACTGCTGTGCCTCAAATGCGTTACTCTGTGTTTCAGTGTTAGCTTGGCTTATGAAAGAGTAGCGCAGGAAACTGTGAATATGTATTTACCTTGCTGTACAATATGTTGCCTCTGTCCTTGCCATTGTTGATAATGTTGCAAACGTTCTGAGTTAGGTCTCTGCCATGTCGTGGTTCTGGTGTTGTGATCTACGTAGTAAACTCTACCCCTAGGATCCCGTCTCATTTCCCATCCTGGAGGGAGAGGCTGGGGTCTTTCCCATGAAGTGGATCTAAAACAAGAAAAAATCAATATAGGTATCAACAATCAGTATTGATTTACAAAATACGATAATTATACAAACAAATCGCACTGAATTGTGAAACCGGTTGTTTTTTTACACTGATGCAGCCGCACAGGCAGAAACCTAAATGCCAGGGCACTACAGCTTAAAGAAACTTTAGATATAAAAAAATTATTTTGGTACAATAGAATTCCATAAAAACCAAACATTCGACTATTTATAAAAATTATGAATATGATACTAGAAATAAAATTATTGCAACACCAAAAAAAGAAATAATGTTGAAATATTCTATATACTTAGGTACAAAATTATATAATAACTTACCAAAATATCTTAGAAAAAGTGATATAAACATGATATAATTCATTGTTAGTCCACGATCCAAAATTAACGTACTACATTTACATTATATAGATTTTTTTTGTCCTATCAGTTTATTATAACTGCTATATAATGTATGTTGTGCGTGATATCCACATACAAGGATATTTTCCTTTTGTGGCATATGCATTTGTTCACAATTTGCAATTGACGTGAATGAATTATTATTATTCCGATTTTTGAACTGCCTTATGTTAGTGGAACTGGGAAAAGCCTCATGTAGGTTGTTCGACAATCTCGATACCCAAGGTACAAAGAAGCAGTCGTATCGGCCAATCAGTCATTTCTGACGTGATTAGGATGGGAGACCGAAGTCAGACGGGTCGGTCTGGCAGGCACATCGCACGGCAGCTCACCGGTGCGAAAGGGTCCCGAGACTATCCGTTAGAGGGGAGTCATCGATCAGTCGGACAGCCCTCCTCTGTACAGCATCGAGCATGGATAATGTAGTCGGGGCGGCAGCACCCCAAACATGGAGCAGTACTTGATATTATCAGGACCTTGTACAGAGTGAGGTCATGTGGAGAAAGTTACTTCTCAGCCCTAAACAAATAGCCTAAGTTTTTCCCAGCAGCTGCTGCTATTGACGAAATGTGTTAGTGCCAGATCAAATCCTCGGTGAGCTGGACACCGATCAGTCGAAATGAACGGCGCATTGGTAGAACTAGGCCATCTATTCAAACCAGATGTAGTTCTTAGGGTAAACACATTTGTCAAAAAATTGATATATGGCAAAAACATGGCCAAAATATTTGATATACATACCCCAATTTAAGTAAACATACGTTTTGCATATGATAAAACATATTCATATCAACAATCGAAAGATAGGGAAGCAACTCTCAACATCAAGGGATAGAAGTCGGACGACAATTAAATTGCAAGTATCGACTGGTGTATATAAGGAAGTCACTAAACCTTATCAATTTTATTTACTTACTGATAATTGCTCTGCCATGTTTTATGACACATACAAAGATCATATCTGATATCCTACGGATCACATCATAGTCTAGTACACAGAAACCAAATTTTTAAATTACACGAACGTTATTTTGTATGAAGTAGATGGAAAAAAACTAAACCAGCTTAGATAAAGCCGTATGTTTCGACTGTGAGACCCATTGTTCTTCAAAGCAGTGAAACTTCAAACTTGGATATCACAAACAAACCGCTGAGGTAATTTTAGAATGCATGTCTTTTAATTTTAATATACCTTTATTGAAGCACTTTTTCCATCTATAAATTAATTCTTCCCAAATACATTTTATACATAGGTGAAAAAAAGACAGTCGAGATTTCCATAAACATATTGGTAAAAGTGGAATGAAGTTTTTCATTTTTACTTCCCACGGCAGTTGGCGAGGGAGCATTGTAAAAAAATCGAAAATGAGATACTATGTTATTATTATTACAGAATAGAAATGAGCAGAGTACAATACTATATTCTCATGTGTAAAAGGAAAACGGAAAACAAATTCCCAAACAGGGCCAGCAAATTCATAAATTGGCCTTACAAATGTCTTGTAGATGAGGGCGTAAGTGTTGACGTTAGATCTTTTGAAAGAGATCTCCAGCATCTATAGAAGCTTTTTGTCTTTGTATGTTACGAGATTATTGAGATATTGTGAAAATTAATGTAAATAGCGCACGACCGTCATCTGAGATTTTTATCAACAATGTTTATCAAAAATACATAAACGCACTCATATGACTCTTTGGTAGTAATGCACACTTCCCGGAAATGTTACAATCTTATCATTCAGTGCTTGCACGGGAACTGTACAAGAACAGAAATGATATACAGAAAGTCGCAGGTAAGATTCAATTTTTTTACTCAATCGTACAATGTACTTAAAGCTATATTAAAAAGTCGACCGCTTATTATGTTACTTTTCACAAACCTTGTGTTATGGTCCACATAATATCTCCTACCATAAGTGTCAAATCTCATTTCCCAACCTGGCGGCAAGGGTTCCAAGTCCGCTCGAGTTTCTTCTGTTTCAGACTGTGCAATATTACCATTTGGCACTGTAGCTGGGGGTCCTATATTACCTGAAAATATTAGGATGTGAGTATCATTCAGTGGCTTTAACTCAAACACTCGAGTCATTCATAGTATGTAGTTTTTTTTCTGTGTTGTCACTTCTCGTCTATAATTGTTTACATACCTAAAGGTAGGGACATTTTTGCCAAAAGATCAGGAGCACAGGAGATTGAACCCAAACGTAGGTATTGAATTCACTGCTAAACATCAAAAATTGCTCTGTTATAATGTGTTGAAGAATGAACAATTTTGTTTTTCTTTTTTTTTGACAGCATGCTCTGTTTGGAAGTACAACTCTATCAATTCTTTCCGACCCATTTTCGGCAGAGGATACCATAAGAACAATCACACAAATTTCTGCTATAAAATTTTGTACTCAACAGTTGCAACAGATAAAAAATATTTTTTAGCAGAGATACTAGAAATTGGCTCAACAAGGAAATGAGGATTTATTTGTAAATAAACACTTGAAATTATTAAGGACATGTAATCAAATACTATTTTGATACCCTAGATTAATATAATACAGAAAAAATATGTTTAAAATGGAATATACACTACAACGCTGTGGAAGGAATAATATTTGTTTATGTTTCCATCCGAATTTCATCCGATTTTCATAGTTTGTAATAGTGAACATTGAACAAAAGTGTTCGGTAGTTTTGATAAATGTATATTCCGCATCAGAAAAGTAAAATATCGCCTGAAAATAACAATAAAAAGATGTAAGCCGGTTTTTAGTGGCGTGGAACTTAAAGGTCAATCCAATAGAGTAAGCAAAAATTTAGCAATCCAAAATACTTATAAACTTAAGTATAATTAGCAAGAAACACAAGTGAATAGGTAAACCTCCGAACCGCTGAGGTAATTTTCTAAGTAATGGATAAAGAAGTTTTGGATAGTCGGTCAAGTATTTTCCAAAAGATAGGATTGATATGGAGTCACAAAATGACGAGGAAGATAGTCATAAAGTGGAAACTGAGAAAATATTGGATGAAAAAGGTTTATGTTTAAAAGAAATATTCAAAAGACTATACAGTATCAATTCAAGAAAAACTGATCAAGGAATTACATATATGGAAAGATTGAATCATTACAAAGACAAATTGAAAATACGATGAAAACGACAAAACCAAGTAACTCTTATGCAGATGTGGCCAAAAATACAGGACAGTAACACTCAGTTGTGAACTTAATCCCACAAATACAATCAGGTATTCTCAGTCCCTACCTTTTAGTGATGCTGTGAAACATGGACGAAATATTGTTGCAAGTGAAGAACCAACATTGGCATTTAAGAAATCCAATAATATTAACAAAGTGTTTTTTTCTCTACCTGAACCACAAAATACAATATTGCTATAAAACCAGTTACTTGAAATCAAAATTACCTTCAAACAAAGGAAGTATTAAGGAAATGTATTAACCCCGCCAAAATGAATGTCTACCGATTTGACAGATGGAGCTGCGGAGATTGTATGTAAGAATAATGAAGATATGTCTAAATTGAAAATAGAAGTGGAAAAAACATTGGACAAAATTATAAAGTTAACGTGGGTCGAAATAAATTACCTATGATTAGAGTCGTCGGTTTTAGTGAAGAAATGGGTAAAGAAGGATTGATTAAGGTCATAAAAGAAAAAAACAGCATTATTAGTTCTAATTCAATAATAAGAGTGGTGATAATTAAAAAAAAAGGAACAATGATATCAGGCGAGAAGCTCTTTTACTGCAAGATATGAGTGAAATGTTTGTTGATGTTGATAGCTACTGTACAAGTCTATTGGATAATGTTGGAATTTAAATGAAAGAAGCTACAGTCAAAACAACAATTTATAAAAGGAAAAATCCAACACCTTGGTTCTCACGGACGTTCAAGGATTCTAAATTAAAAAGAGACTACAATTATAAAAAGTTTAAAATGAAGTTGGAAGATGGGGTAATGACAAATGAAAAAAAAAATAATAGCAGATAGAATCGATACCTATTTCATAGAAAGTATCAAGGACATTGTTAGATCAATTATTGACGGGATCCCCAACCAATGTCCCATTAGATGAGATTATAATGCATCATTCAGTGAGTTTAGAACAACAAACATTAATTGTCTCAAGAAGATTATATCAAAATTGGAATCAAATCAAAATAAGAGTGAGATTTTGTCTAAAGTGTGCTTAATGAACGTTTTGATATTATTGGAGCAAGAATAGTAACTCTGATAAATGAAAAAAACTGAAGTGTTCTACCATAACTTCTGTTTCGAAAGTTGATAAATCTGAGTTGTACACCAATATGCGGCCAATAAATGATCTGCCAGATGTTGAAAAAGTCTTTGAAGAAATTATTTACGAACAGATCATCGAATTTATCGAGGGAAATCAAATGTTAACTAAATTTCAAGCTGGATTCAGGAAGAAACACTCAACTGAAACGGCAATACAAATGATTTTAGAAGACTGGAGGAGATGTATGGACACTAGGAAGCATACAGTGACTGTGTTTTTGGACTTCAAAAGGGCATTTGAAACTATTGACAATAATAAATTACTTACAAAATTGCAACACTACGGATTTAAAGGATCGGTATTCAAAATTTTACAAAATTACTTAATTGACAGATCAAAAAACCAGATTGGATCTACATTATCAAGCTCAAAAAATATTTCTGTTGGTGTACCACGAGGTAGTAAGCTAGGTCCACTACTATTTATTTTATACATTAATGACATTTGTGATATTTTAGGTTATTATAAAATTCAGATATATGCAGATGATACATTAATATACTTATCAGATGAAAATATAGTCACTGGTTCAAAAATGCTAAATTTCGACTTGACAAAAATCATAAATTGGTTGAATGTAAATAAACTGAAACTGAATGCTTGCAAAACAAAATGTATGCTAAAAGAGAAATACCGAAATGAAAATAATATCACAGTTAGGATAAATGGTGAAAAAATTGAAAATGTTGAATCAGTTAAATATTTAGGTATATATATGGATGGTAAGCTACAGATTAGGGATCACTATGAATACATTATTTCAAAAAGTGTCAAAAAAACAAATCACTTTTATAGGGCTTCTCATAGTCTTGGTACATATTCCAAAAAAATAGTTTATAATAAAATTATTCTTCAGCATTTACTATATTGTACAACTATCTTTTTCACTAACAATGAAGCAGTATTCTCAAAATTACAAGTCCCGCAAAATAAAGCTATGAGAATAATATTGAATAAAAATAAGTACACCTAAATAAATTCTGTTACAAAAATTGCAGTGGTTGAATATATAACATTTCATACATTTGGTTCTTATTTTTATATTTAAAATAAAAAATCATCGTTTGCCATAATATTTAGAACAGTATATAAAATTGAATAGTCATTACCACAATTATTATACAAGAGGAAATATAGTTTTTCGTTTACAAAATTGCAATAGTAATATAACTAGCAAATCAATATTTCACAAAGGATTACTTGAATTTAATAAACTAAATAATGACATAAAGTCTACTTGTAATTTAAAGATGCGTAAAAGAAAATTTAGAGGAATATTTGATGGACAGTGAAAATTCTTAGAGACGCAATTTGTGTTTTTATGTATGTTATGTAATTGTCATATTTTTTTAAAAGAATGTAATTGTAGCGATCAGGCTAAATAAATCTTAAACAAACAAACAAATAGTATATGTACGAGTATATAATATTCACAACTGAGAAAATGAAAAGAGTGAAATACTGTTAACCTTTCTATAAAACCAAAACCAGAAAAAAATTAAGTTGACATAAGTTTAAGATTGCTTAATCTACACCTATCTTTTACAAATGAATGAATATATTTTTTTTTCATAAAAAAATAGATTGAATATAGAGTGCTTACATTCACTTGGCTCATCAAAGATTTGAGAAGAACCCATACTTGATATTGCTATATTCCATTAATAATTTTGAATACTTCAACAAAATTAATCCACAAACTAATAAAAGTGAATTTGATTCGTGATTGATGTCATTGTCTTTCAATTATGTTATTTGGTTATACAAAGTATAGTATGTATAATTGAAAATCCACTTTTATAAAATACAATATGTTTAATAAACTAAACAAATGAAATGGACCATAGATGACACTTGCTTACTGATGTACAGTGATAAACACAACAGAAAACAGACAATTTCCATAGATAGGTTGACAGAATTCGAAAATGAAAAACTCTTACCATTTGCAATACTGGCACTACTAGGCGACATAGGCATTGGCTGAGGAGCTGGCAGTGCATTCAATGGTGCAACCCCTCTTTCCATACTGACCCTCGATGATGATGGCATCACATTCTCTGTACCTTGACTCCTCTGCTTTGCCCTTACTCCATTCAACACTGGTCTTCCATGTGCCCCCTCACTGTTGCTCTGTGCCAATGGCATAGATCCATTTGCTCTCAGGTATCCAGACATGTCAATGTTCAGGCCCTTCAAGCAACATATCAACTCGCCTACTTTCACAGGCGAGTCTGTTTGTTTATTTTCAAACATCAAATCCAAGGTCAAGTCAATATTGTCACATCGGCCATTGAATATTGAGAGCAACTGGAATAACTCCAACTGAAATGAAAAAACTCAGTTGATGAAAAAAGTAACTAGTAGGAAGAGGTATATTTTATGAACTATAAGAGGTGTAAATTGAAAACAGAGCTATAAAAGCTAAATATAAGCTACAGCCCACATAATAATCCATTAACGGTCCCCAAGATATAGTTGACGCTTTTGCCGATTTTTTCAATCATACCTTAAATTTTGATATTAGTTGTGAACAAATTACGGTAGTTGAAATTGTTGCTGCCAATAGGAAACTAAAAGACTAGCTAACTGCAATACCTGAACAAATTCCATCATTCTTTGTCAAGGACTGTATCAGAATATTGGTATTTCCTTTGCAGATTCTGTTTAACCTAATTTTACACTCATCTATTTTCCCAGGTAAATGGAAAGCTGCAAAGGTATGCCCAATTCCAAAAACAAAGTATTATAACTTAATTTGTGATTATAGAGCAGTGTCTATCTTAAAGAATTTTGCGAAACTCTTGGAGATCATATTGTATAACCGAATATGTCTGTCCGTGAAAGACCATATTTCGAATCATCAACATGGTTTTATGAGGCAGCGCTCAACTTTAACTAATCTGATGGAGTTCAGTCAATACTTATGCCACAGATTGGATAACAGAGGCCAGATTGACGTGGTATACACGGATTTTTCCAAAGCCTGTGATAAGGTTAACCACAATATATTGATTAGTAAGCTAGGATACTTGGGTCTTCATAGCACTTATATTGCGATTTTGACTTCCTACCTTTCTGAAAGGAAACACTGTTTTTACAATGGATACCTACTGTTCATTTGTTTCGTCAATGATTTATGTGCCTCTTTGGAATGTCGGAAGTTGATGTTTGCTGACGATTTAAAGTTTTTCTCTACTATTTCCGTTTTCTAGACAGACTAATCCTATATGGTACAGCTACACAATGGAGGATTGCGTATTGTAGCGTTGTGAGACTGTGAGAGATTTAGGTGTCAACTTTGACCAGGGACTCACCTTCAATATTATCATATCAACCAACTAATTTCTAATGGCTTCATAATCAGAAACTGCAGCAACTTTGACAATATCTGTACGTTGAAATCTTTATTTTTCACTCTGATAAGGTCAAAACTTGAATATGGATCTATTATATGGAGCGCTTTATATAAACAATATGTTGATGCTATTGATAAAATTCAGAAGAAGTTTTTGAAGATTCTGAGTTTGAAAACAGATGGCATATACCCTGCAAGAGGTTCCCATTATAAAGACCTTTTACAAAAGTTTGATTTTCAGTCCTTAGAGCAGCCACGGAATCAATTTTCTGTATTGATTTTATATAAATTGTAATAGTTTTTTGTTCTTATGTCAAAGAGCACATACTAACTTATTATCAAAAGCACCAGTTAATATGATGAGTAACAATGCCAATAAAATTGCCAACCACTGTGACATTTTTGGTTGCGATTTTAATGAGATAAAGAATAAGTTACGTTTTCTAAGTTAAAAGTTACCATTTTATATTCGTCGGACATCTGACAATACCTGCTATCTGACATTTTTGCCCAATTCGAGGTATACGCACATTTTTCTTCGTTTACCTACAGCGCACATTGTGATAAGAGTCCGCTAACTGCAGAAAAATTTAGTTTTTGAATTATTCAGCCAAAACAATACCTACCACTGGCAACACGTCTGTCAATGAGCGGCAATACCAGATATCTGACAATTTTTCTTAACTTCACAATGAAACACGACGTTGTGATTTCTCAGAAATATCTCACCAAACGACACACCCAAATGGAATGCGACTCTGTACACAGTTGCATTTAAATAAAACTGATAAATAGTTATTGAATTACCAAATGACTAAGGTAAGGCGTCAAAAGAAACTAGGGCAAAACCAGAGCCATATGAGGTGATCCAATTGAGTTACGACTTCTTCAAGGACTACTCTCGAACAGAGGTGCAGCGATACTCCACAATTAGACCAGGGAGGGACAATGTAGTCACAGACATCAAAGTACTATGTTATAATCCAAATGGAAAAATTGAAGTGAAACGACTTCAGTGTAGAGCGTATGAGACCGAAACAGCTACCCGTCATTTCAGAGAGTGATATGTCAACGAAAGAAGCTGAACGTTCATTTAAGGTTTAACTGAGAATACTATTATCTTTTAGATTTGTAAAAGCATTAAACTTTCAATTTGATATAATGAATAACAGTTTTTCTAACCCGAATCTCACTAAATTCATCTATGCATCATAGTACAATATCTGTTAACTGCATAGAAAGTTAGCAGACATGTCAGCTATCTGCACTAATTGTGTCAGTTAGATCTTCATTCAGATAAAAACGCTATAAATATGTGTTAAACGTCATTTATTTTTTGTGACCAATGTTGTAGAGTCTTAAGGCCGGTAATATAAAATTGATAAGGCCTTTTTCGCCCCTGTAAAATTACGGTTCCTGCATATAGCAGGTATTGTCAGATGTCCGACGATATATATACAGGGTGACTTTGAAGTTGAGTCATTAATTTTCAGATAATGATTGTAGAAGGAAGATAAACCAAAATATGTGTGTAAAAATAGAAAAAAAAATTTACCTTGTTTTATAAAGTATCCTCCCGACAAGTATTTCAGTGCGGACCTGTATTTGATCGTGAGGTCCCCTGTGAGGTCTTAAGTCACCTGATTCACGAGCCCGTTGTACTACATTAACAAAGGCACGAGGGGTTGGTTGCACTCGATTGGGAAACCGATCCGTATAAACATGTGCCATTTTTTATTTCGTTTGAGCCACGCAACAGATACCACTACTCACTGACACTGACTGTATACAAATGAATGAAATAATTGTAAAAAGCATCGTTCCAAATTCTTTCGCTTTTTTGTTTCCGATGCGATGAACCGATACGGCGGATTATATCCGTTGTCGCCAAACACGACCACATAATATTATTATTGAGACAGGGCGGTACTCAAACTTCCAAAGGGCTATAACTTTGTTACTTTAATTTTACCAGGAAAATGGTAAAGGAAAAAAACATTTCTTTTGATCAGATCCACTCACTGTTAAAATAAATGACTCAACTTCGAAGTCACCCTGTATATACTTGAGAGGTAAACGATCGTAACTCCCATTTTTGCAGTTTTTGTGACTGTCTGCGTACAATTAGTATCCCTGGTTAATCTTTACGTGGAGTAAATGATCGTAGCACCTAACCACGATAATCATGAAATATATGAAATAGAACAAGCAGCTAGTGATTTTTTGTTAGAGGTAAACAGTCGCTTCTCCATACATACGCACAATACTATCATATGAATCATCGCTACGCAGCGGTAAACAGTCGTGTCTCCGTCACGCACCGCTTGCTTTACAAACTGTGTTGTTCAATCATTCTTCAAAGTTGATCAAGGTGCTAAAGTAACCAAAAAACGGTAATAATGTCCTCAAGGGCACAAAAATTAGTGCAGCTTGCACTGGAGGAGGAAATCGATTCTCGAGAATCTAGTAAGTACAACATAATTGATATTATAGGTGTCCGAGCCAAAACAGGAACGTTATGATGATTGTAAACTACTTTTACATATTACAAATAATAAGTCCTTCATTAAAGTGTATCATTCACAAGTTTCTTCTACGTGGACACACACACATGGAAGCTGATCATATCCATGCACTTATCGAACGAGTTATAAAGAAACAACCAACCATGAAAATATGTACGCCATGGGACTGGCAGCAACTTATAAGATCAACCGGAGCCACAGTTTTCGAGATGCAGTTAGATGACTTCAAAAACTTCGAGGCCTTATATTCCGGCACAGGATCACCTCTCATTCAAAAGAAACAGACAGTAGACAAAGAAAGCTTTTTACTGTCATCAGCGGTGTGACTTGAGGTTCGAAAACAGGATCCAGGGATACTCTACTATAAAACAGACATATTCCAAGAGGACTACAAAATGGTAAACATGAATAGATCCTCTGGAAAACCGATAGGGTTAAAACTAGAACTATGTTCGCCGCGTCAAACCCCAAAAGGGCTTAGCAAAAAAAGCACGATCATCTTCTCATGCTTCTGCAATGGATACCAGAAGCATTTCATGATTTTTATAAAAATATTCCTGTGCTGGGTCAACAAGGAGGTGATATTGACGACGACGATTGTATATATATTCTCCAGATGTCATTTTTTGTAATAATAAAATGTAGCCTATTTCCACCAATTGTACTTACTGTGTTTCATCCTATGCTGCACCTGGATTTTATTATCATAGTAAATAGTTGTACCTCACAAAATAATCTGAATATCAAATTCTAAGATCACTAACATGAAGTATTACTGTTCTATGTACCATATAATATGTTTTCCCAAAAAACTTTATTCGCATATTAACATTAACATGAACAAAAAGCCATTCTACTACTAACTCAATCATTAATTTGCTTGTTCTCTGAATTGCATTACATGGAGTTACAACTATATACCTCTAAGGCACAGATATATATATATATATATATATATGCTTTGTTTGCATGGAAATATCTCTAGACTAACTTTCGTTTTTATAAATTGCTCTGTTATTGGCGATAAGCTGTTGGACAATAAAGGTTTATTATTATTATTATTGTGAAATGTTAGTATGCTGGCATTAAGGCTAATAATTCAACAATGGATCTTATCAACTCAACCAGAAAGAACAGTGTGAACAATGGTGTAAAATCGAAGAATGAATTTATTGTTTTTAATGAAATAATACATTTTTCATTTATAATCAAATTATAGTTCTATTCAATCCTACAAAACTTCAAAAAAACCACACATCTTTTCAAAACAACCCAATGGCAACTAGACTTCAATTTGATTTTGACTTTGGTTGTGTTGCTTTTACATTCTCACTGAAGCAACTGACTACATCTTTGCTAATAAAAAGGTGGAATCTAAATTGACTTCAGTGAATGCTTAAGCCTGATCAATAATTTTTTGAGTATATGACTGGAATGTTGACTGAAGTGTCAGATACACATTCTCAGATGACACCTTTCATCTACTCAACTATAACTCAAAACTGACTTGTGTTGGCAGTTCTGGCAACCAAGCAACTGGCACGGTTTCTAGCATTTAGATTAGCGCACCTGAATTTAAATAATGGTTTAAAAATAATGATTAGTGGTTTGTTCGTACAGTAGTCGGTAACTTGTCGGTGCCTGTCAAAATCAGATAACTGTTACCTGTTCGTACAGTTTTTGTTTACCGACAGCTAATCCGCTGTTCGTACAGAACGTTCTGACAGATCAGAGGACACCAGTCAACCAGTGACAGGTATCAGAGTGTGTCGAAACTATCTTTAGGACTGAAATTGCTTCGCAGGAGGCATTTAATGATCGATTACTCTTCTCTAATGGACGGTCTGGGGACACCGACGGGCCGTTGGCGATCCAGCCACGCCAACGGGCTTTGCTCCTCAGAGCTCTCTTCCATGGTGCCGCTGCACAATGTGCCTGCCTGACTTCGGACTCCCATCGTAACCGGGTCGAACTTCGTACATCGAGAACTGGTCGATAAGACCGCTCCTTTGTCCCGAGGATATCTCAGTTCTAATAACTTTAGGCAGTTCAAAAATAGGAATAACAAAGTTTCTTCAAGCTCCTCAAAGCAGCCGCGGTGCCGTGGCATGTAGCGTTCACCTGCGTGACTGCTTCAGTGTAAAAAAACTGAGCGATATACCAAGAAGATGAAGACTTTGAAGATCTACTGAGGAGAGAATGAAACCCAAAAACCTGAAATTTTGTAGAGAAAACAGTGCCACAATTCAACGGAAACAAGTTTTTGTAACATTTTCGGGTGAGCAAGTGGCAGAAGAAATTTTAATGAAATGCCATTTTAAATATCAACCAGCGCCAAAGTGCTTTGTGCTCGGTATTTTGTTTATTGACCCGGTAATGGCAAAATGAAGATTATGGATACAGTATGAAAAATCCGAACAATAGAGGACATAACTTTCAAGAACCATAATTAATACGATTTTTATGATCACTAATCTTGAAAATTTTTGTTACAATTGCAAAATTACTCTATTTAAGTCTTACTTCTATGTATTTTCGTAATCTTAGTTCTTTTTGTCCTTGTTGGGAATTGTGTGAAACTTACACCTATGTAAGCAGATCTTGATAATTGTAGTTATGTTCAGCTGTTTTAGCTTTTTAGTGTATAACATCCTTTATTATTCAAAGACGTTATTAAATCCTTGTAGTATTTTTACCTCTTTCTTTTAGTGAGAGTCTGCATATACAGGGTGTTTCTAATTTGGCACTCACCATTGGGATCTTGGAAACTGTAAGGGATACGCAGTCTCTTAAAAGGGGTAGTTAACAAAATGACACTTAGAAAGTTTCGAACTTCAGAGTACATACTTCCGGAGAGTGAGGGAAAAACTATATTTTCCCAAAATCGTTTTGATTTTTTCTTGACTTTATTTATATTGGTGTTTTAAAATAAATTGCACATCAACAGTGCCACGTTTTCTCCTCTACAAGAAGGCATAATCAGAATTTCTATATGACGGTTCGTCTCTTGTCCTCAGCATCAACTTTATTATTTCTTAAGGACGCTATATTGCATTTTTGCATAGATGAATAGAGTTTTTAATTTTGATTAAAAAATCTTAGTTACCTCAAAAAAAAAAGTAGGTAGCCATTGAAATTATCAGATGTTTCTTTCGATCACCAATTGCTCTATTTTTTCCTGACTTTATTTCACATGGGATTTTAAAATAGTTTGCATATTTTCATTGTTACTTATTCTCGTCTACAAGATGTCGTAGTCAAATTGTCAATTCGACAATTCTTCTTTCAACATCATCAATTTTGTTTTATCATAAGGACACTATATTGGAATTTTGTACATTTAAATGGACTTTTCAGCCCTAAATACAGTGATGTACTTCGTTAGTTGACCATAAATTTGTTGTTAGATGAAAATTATAAGGTAATATAAAGATATGGTGAAACCTGAATACGAAATGAAAATTTCATTGATGGTAATAACAGTAATAACCATAAATAAGCAGAGGTCTTCACAGTCTTCCAAACTCTGTTGCTATGTAAACAAATGAAATCTGATAATTTCAAGGCCTACCTAGGAACATCTGGAATAACTAAGGTTTTGCAATGTCAATGTATAAATTTTTGAAATCAGAATAAACATTCTATTCATGTGTGTAAGAATCCAATATGACGTCTATAAGAAAAAATTAAGTTGATGCTGTAGGACAAGCGACGAAACGTCATATTGGAATTTTAATTGGGCCGTCTTATAGAGGAGGAAATGTGCCAGAGCTGATGTGCAATTTATTTTGAAATCCCACCTTAAATAATGTCAGGAGAAAATTAAAACCATTTTGGGAAATTTCGTTTTTTACGTTTCCTTCCGGAAGTACTTTTAATTTCAATACTTTCTAAGCGACATTTTGCTGATTATATATTATATACGCAACTTTGCCACTATTTAAGCTACGTCATATCCTTAAAGTTTCCAAGATCCCAATGGTGAGGGTCGAGTTTAAAATACCCTGTATAGAGAAAATATTATTTTCACCCCAGCAGAAACAGTCAGCCATTCCCTCCCGTGGGCACCCGTAAAAAAACTTACATAGCTTGAATATATAAATACTGTTTGTGCATACACTTTGGGGCTGGGCGACAAGGGAACAAAAAAATACTATCCAAGTTTTATTAAAAGTCATTCACAAGACTTTGTACATTTCTCATGCATATTCACTGCGGACATCTATTCATAATTCTTACTATGACTTCTTCAAGTTGTCATTCGATGTGTGGAATCATATTTCTTCCAATTTATGTTTATACTTCTTATATGAGAATTGAATAGGAATTACTGACTAAATCTACTTGACATTTCTGGGTGCTGTTATTTTTTCTATAAAGTGCCCATGTTTTCATCTCTAGAGGAAAATTCAGGCACATTCAGGCAGTTGGACTAAAAATCCTAGATCATTCTGGTTTACAGCAAATGAACATACCTCAACTTTTCCAAAATTGTCCACTTGATTCTGAAAAATTTTACATTCGAATAATGATTGAAAATATTGAAATATTTGATTCCAAGCTCTGACAATTTACTGGCAAATTATCTACTGACTAATTTGGCAGTCATCAAACAATCAGAAGCTTCTGTATGAACAGCGGATTACTTGTTGGTAATCGGTCTTACCTTTCTCAGCCAACTCGTAACGTTCTCATATATGCAATCAATACAGTCAGTGACAGCTAATTGCGTAAACTAGGTCATGACTTGTCACCGACTATCAGTTTGCTGATTGTCAGGCTGTACGAACAAACCATAGGACAATTCATTATTAATGATATTATTTCTTCACAGTTAATAGAGAGTTTAAGTGCAACAAAAAAAAAATGAGTCACTAAGCCTTCTATTACAGTAGCTTCAACACTAAGTAGCAAAGCGAGTTTTTATGGTCACTAAACTCTAGTAGTTTGTCTATACCAACTACTGACATTCATGACAACTTGCTTGTTTTCTCTTTTCAACTTTTGTGCCTTGAACATCAGTGATATTTGCATCCTAACCAGATAAGAAATGAAAAGGAGTAGAACTATAGAACCATAGAATGATAAGTAACCACAAAACCAGCAGAACTACAATAAAGGTCTACCATTTAACTTTTATGTCTACTGTGGGGTTGATTCTGAGGCACATCTCTTAAACAGCAACCATATTGTTGAACACTGAAGTTCTATCAAAGTTCTACACTTGAATTAAAAAGTTGTTCAATATAATGAAAGGAAAACAGGGTTGGCACCATGGAATTTGATGTCCAACTTGAAAAAAGTTAGAACAAGTTCTAATTTCGTGAAGAAGTCACATTAAATTCTTGTTTTATCCTTTTGAAATTTGTAGATTGATTGTCAATGTAAAAATGGTAATATTTGGATAACAGAGAATCAAGAATTGTGTTGCTACTGTGCATAATCAAGATGATATTCATAATGAAGCAGCAAAATAAGACCACTAAAAATGCTAAAATAATGCTTTACCCTTTGCTCCCCAATAATGGTATCCTTCCTAAAGTTGTTGTGGTCCTTAACAGCAAAATTTATCCTGGAGTGTGGTGTTACAAGAAGCGTGAAGGTCTCATTCCATTTTGGCTGTGTTGTTGTTTTTACAGTTTCTGTTTTGACTGTGGACCTATCATCTACAGTTAGTTCTACATAGGGTGTGGGCTTCAGTAAAGCATTGCTCCGTAGGTGGGCACACTCCACTGCAACAAGATATTAAACCAGTGATTAACATAGTCCACAACCAAAAGATAGCCAAATCAATTGAAAGCAATGCCTGCGAGGCAAATAAGCATACATGAAGTGGCATCTTCACTGTCCTACAGTACATGTTCAAAGATATGTTGACATTCTTATTTCTCTAAGAACTTGTTGTTAAGTGATCCACATTACTTGCAATTGAAAAAATACTAAAAATTCTTCAAGTATAGAGTCAGTCTAGAAAAAGTTTATTTGTTAACCCTTTCCTAATTTGATACTGCCAAAAGTAGATATAGATGCAAATGAAGCAATTGATATTCTAGTACAGCATAATAACAGTATTACTAAAGTAATTATCATATGTGATGTAACACAAACAAATAACAGTTTCTATTGTAATCCAAAGACCAATATAAAATATGAATAGAATATATCACTGGGTAATTTTGCAATGCTGCATGGTTACCTGTTATATTCAACTGATGGAGTCCTGAGCCTGTTGGATTGCCTTGAGCTTGTTCCATTCTAGCAAAGTGCCCAAGCAGACCATCTACAGGAAACAGAAAGAACAATGAACATTTCAAATTTACGGACACTACTCTCGATTATTCTTATTCATATGTAATCCGTTTTCTCCTTTCCACACGAGCAATTCCATAAATTACATGCGATAATTAGAGAACGAATTGTCTTTTATATAGAGTATCTCTGTACAGGTGATACGAGTACATCATAAAAGATTGGATTATGATGTATCATTAATGATAATGATGCTTATCATTTTTCTTTGATAATAAGATGCATACACAAATAATAATTTCAACTTACCAAGCGCTGACGTGATGGTATAATTACACAACACAAAACTATCGCACGTAGTGTTTCTTCATGTGAAATGAGATTATATACAGTCAAAGATTTTGCAGCAGCGTTATATTAAACTAAATTTGAAGTCCAAAATCAAATAAAATACTTTTATCTACTATTTATGTATTGTCCACCATAAACACATCCATTCTCCATTACATTTCAATTTGACAGGTCACGCCAACATTTCGAACTTAAATTTGCAAATTGAATTCATTAGCTTTCTATAACTTTTGGCTGGAATATCATTTATTTGAATGATTGTAAGATCTACGTAGGTTTAAAACAACTCAAAGGAAAAATATTGTGATTTGTTTGGTCAAAATTGGGATACTGTCGACCCTTTACAAATTTTATGTTGGTAGAACCGAGGTACACTGACAAGCCTGTCAATCACAGAATTCTAACAAAAGAACAAAGAATCAGCTGACATTTATTTAATAGTGATGGGTCACAAAACAGATCTAGGTATATTTATTCAATCCGAATACTCTGATGAAAAACTGGTTGCATATCTCCGAGTATAGTTAGTATAGGGCACGCTTGGACACTACTGAGACCAGAATCGGATCTAGCCTATTTGAGTGCAAAGCTGAAAAGAGCTCAGTTTTGACGACAAAGCAAAATTTTTGCTCTTCAAAGATACTTTTTGGAGAGTCTCTCTGATTCACTCATTACAGACCAGTTAAATTTTGGAAGCAAACAGAAAGCTAGATGCTTGACAACAATTTATGTGGATGCATTTTCTGAAGCGTGGGTATAGTAAAACAGTGCTTGAAAAATCGCCAGGCTTCGACGAAATAACCCAATAATTTGCCTTTTTTTATTGCTTATGGTAAACGTGAATTTTGTGATACAGTGTAATAGAATTTTCAAAAAAATATCTATCTAAAACCTATATATGATGCACATCTATCTATTTTAGTGAAATATCTATAGTGCATTGCTACTAGGTATATAGCATTAATAGCCAATTACTGATGTATAGTCGGGAACTGTGGGCCACTTTTTTCTGTTGGCTTCAAGAACCCTTCACTAAATGGCTTGAACTTATGTTATGACATTCAGTTGAATTTTGATCCTGTTTTTCAGATATCAACATAGGTTACATAAAACAACCACAAAGATAAATTAAATTATTGGAAAACTTTAGTAAAGGCTGTTGAAAGCTTATTTTCAATTACATATAACAATTAGTACCCAGTACAACACACCCAATTAATAACATTGCGATATAGAAAGTTCTCAGCTCATGACAGGTTTCCTCTATTTTATTGGGGTTATAAGCATATACAATTTTGAGATATACTTTAACCGCCTCCTGTAACCCCTTACCCCCTACACCCCCAACTTTTAACTCTCTCAAAAATAAAAAAATTAACGGGAGCCTCTGGAACGTAAAAAATCAAAGTTTGGGCGATTCTCATTTTGTCTGTTACGCTGCTACTGGATACATTTACAAAACCTACAAAGCTTTTTGATTTTTGGCATAGTATTGTAACCTTGTGTCAAAATATCATCAAAAACCGCCGAGCAGTCATTTCCTAGGATTAGAGGACAGAAGACATACAGGCCTATAGTACGCAGTAATAACGGCAGGGGTATTACCCACCCAACTTGAAAAGTGAAATTGTCGGTTTTTTGACATTATTTAGGGACAAGATATCAACTTGAAACTAGCTATCGTTCACTTCATGCTCACTTGTAGCAAGCGTGGACTGAACTATTTACGCACTAGCCTACGTACTCAACAAATTGACACTTTATCGTTTTTTTATATTATTTGACATTTGACGTTTTTTGCGTAATAGCTCTGCGGATCTATCGACCAGTTACATACTACAATCTCACCCCGTAGGTATATCAATCTACTTTTGACTCGCCTGTGGATACCTATGCCTCCTGTATACTTAGATGAAAAAACAATGTGACGCCAGTTCTCCTTTTTTAAAGTATGACGGATTTTAACAACTGTCATCTCGATGTCTATATCATACTGACGAGCTCTAACAAGGACAAAACGGGCACTCTATGCGAATAGTTTTATCGGATCTAATACATCGCGGAAAGAAAACACATTAATGAGCCAGCCAAAGTTATTTCTGAATTTCAGCGCAATACGTGCATATTGAGGAGGAGGGGTACGAGTTGATGCATTTGCATGTCAGATTCATCTTGACTTTGCCACTGCAACCGCTGGTGTCCCGAGACAGAGCGACCGAAAGAAAAACTGTGTCAGTTATTCGAAACCTGTTGAGTTCCTAACGCCTTTTTGCCCCGGCAGCCATTGCTATTGGTGCATCGCCGCTAAAATTACGCGGCGCGTCCAAGGCGGCTATTTTTATAGTTCCGACGTATCAGAGCAGTCAGTGTTTATGTAGTAGTTGTACGAAGGTTCCATATGGGAAAGACGCATGAGCTGGTGTTGAATTTGCAAAGGAGCGGTCCAAATGAGGCTTGGGGGTTCAGCCTTGTCGGGGGCGCGGACGTTAAGACTCCGCTGATCGTCACCAGAGTGAGTACAGCACCGTTTCCGCAACATTTCAACACCAAAAACTGCACCCCACATCCAAAATACGCACGATTGACAATCACGCATGTCAGAATGCACTCTGTATGTTGCTAGCGTCTTCAGAGGGGCATGGTTTTGTAACAACTCGATACTTCTGGTTGAAAGATAACACAGCCCAACAGCCATTTGGCGCAGAACAAGTAAGACCTGAATTTGGGTATTTTTGATGCAGATATTTCGAATGTCCGTTTTTTCGTAGCAGTTCTATATTTCGATATATAAGCAAATCAATATTTGGAAAAGTGCAAATATGCCATTTTCGACCAAAAAAAAACAATACGAAATAGCGAAGACTTTGTTGTCAAAGTTCCTAAATATCACTCAAGTATCTATTAGTAAAATTCCAAAGCATTTTTGAGGGTACTGTTTACACATTGCAGAAGAAAAGGGTTGGCTTGGCAGCCTTAACGTCACTGCAATCCAAGTGGATCTGGATTTGTGACGCCTCTTATTGCACTGTGTCCAGCCTGGATCCTTCGATCAGACTCCATAGCCTTGACAGAGGATCTTGCGTGTAGCTTTCTGCTGTTGGACCTGTGGTTCCTAATATCTGAAACCGTAGCCTTGCCAGGTCTTCACAGATGCACTGGTTCCCTCATGCTCTTTGCAGAAACGGCACGTGACCTCTTCTGACAGATCCAAGAGTCTCATATATCGATTTAGATGACAGTGCCCTGTCAGGTTACCCACTATGGTCCTTACGCCCATTCTGTTAAATCCGAGTAGGTCCTCTGTAAATTAACTCTTTTGCCTGCATTTGCACTAATTGGCTGTTCCACCATTCTATGCCTTTTCTTGATCATATTTCTTGAGGACTATTTGGTGCATGTTCTCGCCACGCCACCGAAAGGCTCTGGACCTATAAGGCGATTAGCCGCACCGTCGGGCTAGCTCATATACCCTTTCATTTCCTGTGGGTCCTTCATTTCGGTTTCCCAGCTCTTTGAGGGTGTTCACGCAATCCCGTACAATTTAAGACGATATTTGCGATGAACTTAATGTCTTTATGGCTGCCTGGCTGTCTGAGCAGACGGGGATCGACTGATTTGCAGTCGCATTCCTTATTAGCTGGTTTGCGCAGACTTGTATGATAGTTACTTCAGCCTGATATATGGTTGCAATATTGCTTGTGATCGACTTATTATGTCAATATTTTTTCATATATATCTTAAAGCATACTTCTCCACCTATGGTTCTTAATGTAGGTGAATGCGCATAGGCACTTCAAGATGTAGTCTCATTCACCATTTAACAAATATCATTGACACGATAAGTCAACTAAAGCCAATTAAAAAACAAAAGCTTACAATAACAATACCCGCTAAAGTGTCATGGGATCTTGTTAATGGCGGTTAGAAGAAAATGTTATTGACACGATAAGTTAATTATATGCGATGATAGAACAAAGGTTTACAACAATGATATCTCTTAAAATGTTTCGGGATTTTTATTAGTGAACGTTTGAAGGATTGGCAACAGTAAAATTTTCGCTTTATTTCTGGGTCGAGAATTACATATTTTGCAGTTTTTTCAAATATTAAAATGCTTAACTTTCGAAAACCACAGCTACTACGAAAAAAGAAATAACATTATTGAAATCAGCGCATCTTATATAGTTGAAATCTGTTGTTACAAATTTGGCATCTTTTTTTTTCATTTTATTGGGCTGAGTACGTTAGCACTGTTTCCGCAACATTTCAACACAAAAATACTGCATCCCACATCCAAAATACGTCCAGACTGGCAATCAGGCATGTCAGAAGGCATTATACTCACGTATCTATGTGTGTTGCTGGCAAGATCTAGAGGTGCATGGATTTGTAACGGCTTCATACTTCTGGTTGAAAAATAATCTGATCGTCACCATAGTGAATAAAGCACCGTATCGACAACATTTCAACACCAAAAATATTGCATCCCATATCCAAGATACGCATGTTGACATTCACGCATGTCAAAATGCACTATTCTCACCTATGTACGTTGCTTTCAAGGTTTAGGGGTGCATGGTTTTGAAACATTTCCATACTTCTCGTTGAAGAGCAATCCGGAAGGATTGATATTGTCTAACTCAAGAAAATTACAAAAATCAGAAGGTATCATTGTTGTAGTTCACTTCATCTACTTAACATATAATAGTAGTTATACACATATTATCCTAGAACCATACGCAAACAGGGTTTCTGAGATCATTCTGTATGATAGTTAATAGGGAACAGGAAGCATTTTTAATACTTGCTGTCTTGAAAACAAAATGTCGGAAAATTTGATAATTATATTTTGTCTTGGGACTGATAGAACTAGACAAAATTATAACTGAAAACCATCTAAGATTGACTATCGTACTATCGAAAACTATGGGTTTAGTGTTGACTATGTGAATATATTTAGGAAAATACCAGTTTGTATTGTTGTTGTTTCCAATGGTTAAGGAGTTTTCAGAAAATTTCTGTCAAAAACATACATCCCGTTATCAAACAAATAGATCATAAATAAAATGTAGTGAAAATGAATGCGTATAACATCACATAACGTAGAGTTGAAATGCTTTTAACAACTTATATAATGCGGTTAGTGGTGCCAGATTCAGGAAAATAAAAAACTTGTGCAAATGGCAATGAGAATGTTATCGTGCTTTTGTAACTGTTAGGATAGCGTCCAAACCAAATTAGTACAGGCAAGTATATTTCAACTGTCTAAGTTTTATTTCTTAAATAACTTTTACACTCTCGTAACACTGAAAGAAATTTACATTTTTCACCCGGTATTTAAGTATCTATAGGGGCAATTGCACAGGCACTCCACAATAATTGGTAGACACGATTTTAATTTCGGAGTTTTGAATGATTTTTATGATTAATACAAACATTTTCGTTTAACGTTTTGGTTAATCTGTCTACCTAAACCTAGAAAAAACTAGGAAACACATCAGGATTGTTATAAAATTTTCATTTTATTACAGTGAAACGAACATTGTAGCACAT